TATACAAAAACATAATAAAACATAATTTTAAAAAAACCTTCCCTATACAGGGCTGCCTTCAGATGTCTTCTGAAGGTTGTATAGTTACTTATCTCCTTGACTTGGGGTCACATAACGCCATACCCTCCAACATAGGGATGTCCTAAGGAAAAGCGGGGCATTCTGGGATCAAATCAGAAACCAGGATGGCTTCTGTAAATCCAGGATTGTCCTAGGAAAATAGGGACACTTGGAGGGTCTGCAGCTGTCTCCCTAACCAGCCGCAGAGGCTGGTCCATTAGGACGAATGGCCCACAGGCCCACCAGGCTCAGTCTGCCTCCAACCAGCCCCTGCCTGCCTGCCTGCCTGCCTCCTTTCTTGCAACAGTCCCAGGGGGTGCCATTGGCTGTCAGCTTGATCTCAGTGCTGCCCTTGAAGAACTCGGAAGGAAGGAGGGTGGCGACAAAGCTAGAGTGAGTTGTCTGCACTTGTCATTTGCTCTGACTCTGCTTACTGTGGGCTTCCGCCCTACCAATAGGCACCAGCCGCCACTGCAGACGAGCAAGAACTTGACATCCCATTCACACCACCTTTCAAAGCACACAACTACTGTTAAAATCACCCCAGTGCCAATTCCAGGGATAGAAAGTCTGGAATTTGATGGTTTGCTATAGGAGGAAGAAGTTGCAGAACTCTTCTTAGGAAGCCCAGATTTTTGGCCTGTGGAAATCTTTCAGCCATATATTCTGGCAGATCAAAGCAAATTATGCTCAGACCTATTATCACCTCGATTTTGGCACACATGCTGCTGCGTGGTAGCATTAATTTTCCCTGAGTGACATACGTGGCATTCTGTGATGCATCATCGTGTGCGCTTGTTTCTCTGAGCGCAGGCAACCGAGAGGAGTTGGTTTTCAGGGGAGGAGGGGACAGTCAGGACGCGGAATCATTATTTGCATGCTGTACCTGTGTTGCTATGGGAGGGAGGTGAGAGCAGGTGTCAGGAAAGATCGCACCACTCCAAAGCCCATTAGTTCTGGTAAAGTGCCTCGGGTCTCCTCTCGTCAGCATCAGCAAAGCAAGCAACGCACGGCTGAGCCTAGGTGCCAACAGCTAAACCGCAGGAGTCTTAGTTCTTGGTGGTGGCTGTAGTGTCCAAATTCCTGCCCAAAGCTATCCTACCACAAAGAAAAAGGGAGCTGGTTTTTTTTAATCATCTGCAGAGCTAGTGGCCTTATCATGGGTTAAGATATAGTGGCTGCTTCAAATGAGAGTTTTGGGGGAGAACAGTAGCATGGGAGACGGACAGGTTTGATGCAGGCTGCAGCCAAGGACATGGCCTCCCCACCCATAGGGATGTCAGAGAATTCTGATGGGAACAGAAATTGAAGCAGAGGAAATGCTCGCTTATTTGCCCGTGTCTGAAACAGAAATCTATCCAGTGAATACGAGCCGTATGCGCTGTTGCTTTCACTCCACAAAACATATGCAGGTGACTCGACATACACGGGGGTTATGCTTTGTGGATAGTGTGTAAAGCCAAAATCACATATAGTCAGAACAATTTGGGTTTAATGGTGGGTGGGATTGCCAAACTCTTTTATCCCAGACGCTTGTCCGTTTTCTGCTCCCTTTTTGATTTTTTTGCCAAGCGCATAAATCTGAATGTGGACAAGTTAAATGTGTGTAAGTTGCAAGTTACTTGTCCATAAATAATTACATTCCCTTCTCTCCCCCCGTCTTTTTGCACTGTATTTCCTTTCCATTGAAATGGATGAATTGGGATAATGTAATGACAGCGTAACTTATGTCATTTACATAATTAATCATGCCAGTGACATGACCCGTCTCTAGTGTGGAATATAGGAAGATGCCTTGCCAGGCTGTATGTCCATCTAGCCAGTATTATCTACCTTAAGACTGTATCTGCAGTATACATTTCAAGCAGTATCATACCACTTTACAGTGGTACTTCTAGTTACGAACTTAATTCATTCCGGATTCATTCTTAACCTGAAACTATTCTTAACTAGAGGTGTGCTTTCGCTAATGGGGCCTCTTGCTGCCGCTGCGCCGCCGGCGCATGATTTCCATTCTCATCCTGGGGCAAAGTTCTCAACTCGAGGTAACTCTTCCAGATTAGCGGAGTTTGTAACCTGAAGCGTTTGTAACCTGAGGTGTTTGTAACTCGAGCTACCACTGTAAACAGTCATGGCTTCCCCCCAAAGGATCCTGGGAAATGTAGTTTGTTGAGGGTTTTGAGACCTATTAGGAGACCCCTATTGCCTTCAGTGAGCTACAATTCCCTGAGTCATGTAACAATAAATCTCTCTTTCCAGGGAACCCTGGAATTGTAATAGTGGATGAGTGCTACGAGTTCTTTGTTAGTAAACCCAGTTCTTTTTTACGGGGGGGGGGGACGCAGGGGTACGCATATCCATAAACATTTTGTGAGTCTAAGTTTGGCCTCATTGAGGGGCAGTATTTCAATATGAGTAGGAAAATGAGAGTACCCCTAAACATTTTTTTAAGAAAAAAGCACTGAGTAAACCTATCCCCTTCCCCAAACTACAGTTGCCAATATTCCTTGGTTTGAAACTATGGGCCCATACTCACTTTAGTTTGTCCCGTGATTTCAAGTCACTGGTCCAAGGGGACATAAAAACCACACCTCTTGGACCCATGACTTGAAATCATAGAACTAGCCCAAAGGCAGATGGGCCCATAGTTTCTAACCAATGAAAAGTGTGGAAGGGCCCTATGACAGGCTTGCAATGTGATCACATTCATTGTGTTGATATACGTTCCCCAGCTAGCAGCTGCTGCCTTTAACTGTCAACTACTTATCTCTGCACCCTGAGGGCTAGAAACCTGTTCTTTGTTTTTAAAGGACAGCTGGGCTTCTCAGGAATTTTTTAGGAACCCACATTCAGATGCGATGCAATAAACCTGCCTCAGACTCTATTAGCGGTAGCGGCCCAGGCCGTGTTCTGGAATGCTTTTGAGCCAGATCGAACCACTGTCAGAGAAATCATTAGTCTGTCTGAATACAGCTGTTCTCATGTCGCCTTGCTGGCTAGCCTGGGCAGGCAGAAATATAACCAGACCTGCCTGCAGAACAGTGACCTCCTTGGAGGCTTAATAAACAAGTCACGCTAAAGTGCAGCATCAGGTTCAGGCCCCTTGTTCCAGAGCGTCCACCTGCTCCTCGGATGTTGGGAGTCCAGGTCAGGCACGCATGCTGCATTAGCAATGCAGGCAATTTGCTAACACCCAGCACGTCATTCCCTCTGGCTCAGACCTGCTCCAGGCTACAAATCCCAAGAAGCAAGAGGAGGAGGCCAAAAATAGCTCCTTTCTCTCTCTCCAACCCCCCACCCCAGCTTCTTAGACAAAGATGCCATTCTACAAGATCAGGCCTGTTCCCTCCCACAAGGAGCGATAAGCTTCCTTGAGCCCTCTCTAGCCACCTGCCTCCTCTCTACCTCCCCTGTTCTGATGGCACTGCCAATCACCTACGCCCACCTTTGCCCAACAGCTTCCTTTCTGCCTTGTTTTTCCAATCTGGGCTTCAGTGCGCCTCTTCCACACCTCTTCTCTTTGTGTGACCCTCGCAATCAGTTTACGTCATGCTCTTTCCCCCGGAGAGCTGTGGTGTGATTAGAGTGGGGCCAGACCAGGGTTTGAATCCCAACTCTGGATGAGAAACAGGTTCCAGTTCACCCAGTGAGCTTCATGGCTAACTCTATCTCTCAAGATAGCTGCGAGGATGAAATGAACGCCCTCCAAACTGGTGGGTGGTTTTTTTGCAGCAACATGCCCTTAACGTAGTAGCAGTGCATTTGTGGTGGATTAATATTGGACCATCTACATATCATTCTGCCATATTTGTTATTCTGGGACGCTTCCCCAAAGTTACCACATTATTGCCATTTGGAGGGGTACGTTTGTGTTGCAGCAGAACAATAATAATAATAAAGCAAAGCAGAACATCTGTGGCATAAAAATTGACAAGATTTCAGGAGGAAGCCATGATGCACTGGTTGGAAACGAAGCCGGGCTGTCCACCCCAAAACTTTTGCAAACTTTGCAAAACCTTGATACCATCATGAGCATTAAGCCTCATGAATGCATAATTTAAAAAGACATCTGGTAGGAGCCCAAGTCAGTAGACAGGAGATCCACAAGAGGAAATGGTGGGATATAAATGTATATAAAGAAATGAAAGAATGTTCTTTCTCTCTTAAGCAAAGAAATGGCAGAGGGGACTTTTTTTTTTTTTTAAACCAGCTGTTATCACTGAATGGTTTAATAAAGTTCAGGGGACAGGAGAATCTTAGGTAAATGCTGGGAGAGGTGGCAGATAGTGCCAAAGAAGTTCAAGACTGATAGATTAATAACTCATATTTATAAGTTTTCTTCCTTCATCATAAGGTCACAGGGTGGTTTAACAATATGATCATTCAATTAAAAACAAGCAAAGCAGTTTATATCATTCTAATAACAAGTTAAACAGATTCAAATAAGATATGTTCCATGGTGGGATACAAGGTTCTTATTCAGGCGTCAGCAAACTTTTTCAGCAAGGGGCCAGTCCACTGTCCTTCAGACCTTGGGGAGGGGGGAGCAGACTATATGGGGGGGGGAATGAACAAATTCCTTTCCCCCACAAATAACCCAGAGATGCATTTTAAATAAAAGCACACATTATTCTCATGTAAAAACAGGCTACACAAATAACCCAGAGATGCATTTTAGATAAAAAGACACATTCTACTCATGTAAAAACACGCTGATTCCCGGACCATCCATGGGCCGGATTTAGAAGGCGATTGGGCTGCATCCGGCCCCCGGGCCTTAGTTTGCCTACCCATGTTCTTATTGATATAAAATCTATCAAGTGTTCATAAACGTTGCCATATAAAATCATATTTAGTAGGAATATTTTCACTGAACTGTAGAGTTGGAAGGGACCACGAGGATTATCTAATCCAACCCCCCTGCAATGCAGGAATCTTTTTGCCCAACATGGGACTCGAACCCACGACCCGAGATTAAGAATCATAAAATCATAGAATCTTAGAGCTGGAAGGGACCCAAGGGTCATCTAGTCCAATCCCCTGAGTCTCATGCTCTACCAGTTAACTACCCCAGTCCTGTCCAATATTTTTAAAGCTTTTTTATCTTGTATTTTTACTCTCCTTGGATTTATGAGTGTTTTAATGATGCATTTTAGTCTGTTGTTTTGCTTGCAGCATTCGCAAATATTATTTTTTAAAAAATTCAAATAAAAGCAGCATGGTGTGGGTTAAGCACAGGGTCGCCATATTCCAAACAGTGAAAATCCAGACAGAAAAGTTGAGATTTTATGGGGATACAGCAAAAATGACACTGCCAACATAGGTTGCCATACGTCCGAATTTTCATGGACACCTCGCCTATTTCTGCCTGGACACTGCAGCATTCCGGATATGCCCTGGAAATTCCGGGTGTATGAGCGTAGAACGGAGGAGGTGGGCTGAGCAAAAGTAGCTTTACTGCCATAAGGACAGGATAAAGAGGTGCATCTTCAGCATATGTCAGAAACCAAATGATGGTGGTGTCAGATGCAGCTCTGAGGGGAGTTTCACAATTTAGAGGCTGCCACAGAGAAAGCCCTCTCCTAGGCCGCCTTCACAGAACATCTGAGGGTGGCAGAACCACCAAGAGGGGCCCCTCTGCCTGTCTTCACATCCAAAGGGACCTGCAAGGATAGAGGAGGTCTTTCAGATATTCAGGACCTAAGTTATTTAATAATAATAATAATAATAATAATAATAATAATTTGTATCCTGCCCTCCCCGGCCAAAGCTGGGCTCAGAGCAGCTAACAACAGGTAAAAATAGCAGTGTACATAAAATTGCACAGTCAATTAATTAAAATACATTCTAGAATCAATTCAGATTAAATGCTAAAGTGAGCACCTCAAATGGAGCCCAGAAACAAAATGGCAGCCCATGTAGCTGTTTCAGACCAGAAATGATGTGAGCTCCAAATGGAACCGCAACCGCAGCCAGTGACCTGCTTGCTGCAATTTGGACCAGCTTCCGAATTGTCTTCAAGGGATTACTTGTTCTTGTTTCTTACAGTCCCTCCAGTTTGGGTTCTGTACTTCTTTTCTTCATTGTTATCATTATTCAGAGGAGGCTATCATTACAGTTGTGTAAATGCTTACGAAAGTGTAAGGTTGTAAGCACAGTGTAAGTGTAAGTATAAGCACAGAATCCTCCTGGAAAGAAGAGTTTTATTTCTATCAGGTTCTTTGCCCTGGATGGTGTCTGGTGAATTTCTCTTCACTGCTACAGGAAGGTCCCTGTTATTGCAGCAGTGCTGAGAATGCAAGGGGGGGGGTGTTGGAAGGGACCCCAAGAGTCATCTAGTCCAGTCCCCTGCAATGCTGGAGTCACAGCTAAAGAATGGGAAGACACAGGAAAGGTGCTAGGTTCAACCCCCAGCATATCCAGGAAGGGCTGGGAAAGACTCCTGCTTGAAACCATGGAGAACTGCTGCCAGTCAGTGTTGACAATACTGGGTTAGATGAATAAATGTTCTGACTTGGTATAAGGCAACTTCCTATGTTTATAGTGGCACCGCTTCAAGTATTAAGGGAGGAGGGGAGTCACAGTAAGGCTGTGTGCATAATCTCATTTAAGCTGCATCCAGTGTGGTCCCACTGCTAATTTGGGAAGTGGGGTACACGACATTAGCTGCAAGATATTCTGTATTTAAGGTGTCCATGAAATACTGTGTTTTTATGCCTTTCACCCACAACCAGCTGTGATCTGAACTGAGAAAAAGAATGACCTAGCTGCTTCTTAAACCAGTCGTGTGCATTGTGCACAGCCTAAGATGCGAAAGCAAAAGTAAACTGGGAAGTTTTCAGTAAGTTTTGCAGTAATTTGCAACTTTTTTTTTTACACCTTCTAATAACTATAGCAGGGTTATCAGCACAGGTTGAACCATCAAGGGCTTTTCTTTTTTAAAGCAGAGAGATTTGTGCCTCTGGCACAGGTCCCACATCCACAGGCAAACTCATGTCATTATTTATAACAATAGTTGCTTAGTGTGTGGAGTCGGTGAATTGGTCAGAAGTACAGGTGCTCTCTCCTTGAGAGACACAGTCTTTTGTAGTCTGAAACAAGAGGCGGTTGTTATATTAAGAGTTGGGTGAGGACAAGAGAGCTCTGGGTCCAAGCCCTGGTCAACCATAAAGTTCACTAGATGACCCTGGGGGATTCATTCTCTCACACATAGCCTACCTTGCAGGGTGGTGGTGAGGATGGAAAGGGGACATGCATGCAATCTAGGGCAGGTGTGTGGTAGCTCTGGCCTTCCAGATATTGCAAATTGCTGCAGAAATGTGGAGGACTGAATTTAAGACTAGAAAAAGGAGAAACCGAGAGGACTGAAATGGGCAGATCCTTCCGTCTCTAGTCTCCAGTCTAAAAACAGGAGTGGATGAGGGGAGAAACACGCTTCCAGGCCTGAAAAATATTGTTTGTCAGTTCAGGGTAGGATTGGAGCCGCAGGAGCACCTTCAGTAAAACATCAGGTACATAGGTCTATAAATCGCAGACATGGGGAGATAGATAGACCTGTGCTGCATTTATCAGTCCAAGAGGATTAGCCCTTGAGGCATAATGAGGCCTTTGCAAAGGATGGCATCGTGAGCAAGTGTCTGTCCCAGCCTTCCAGGCACCTGTGTGCAGAAATCAATGCACAACGCCGTCCTCGCTCATGGGCATAATTCACTGCTTCCGTGTTATATATGGAGGCTGCGAGCAAGTCGCAGTGCTGAGGTCATCCTTGGGCTAACGGGAGTCCTTCTCAAAGAGCTCCCCTACCGCATGACCATGGGAGAATTGCAATTCCACAAGGGAGAGGGCGGCTGGTTCCATCTCCCCCAGGGTGTGCGAAAGCAGGAGGGGAGTGTGGGTGGATGACTGGGTTAACGCTTTCCCTTCGCTTGCTTTTCTTTTCTCTTAAAATTCACCCCAGTTTTCAGGAACTAGGGTGGCTGCTTGTCAAGACGCATCAACAGCCTCCCCACAAAAAAAGGGTGGGGGGAGGAAATGCATCACACAAGGGGGAACGAGGCAGGACACAGAGTTGTATGCAGATGAAGATTTAGGACTTGCCAATCAGAAGATCGGCGGTTCGAATCCCCACGACAGGCTGAGCTCCTGTTGCTCGGTCCCTGCTCCTGCCAACCTAGCAGTTCGAAAGCACATCAAAGTGCAAGTAGATAAATAGGTACCGCTTCTGGTTCACCAGAAGCGGCTTAGTAATGCTGGCCACATGACCCGGAAGCTGTCCCTCGGCCAATAGAGCGAGATGAGCGCCGCAACCCCAGAGTCGGCCACGACTGGACCTAATGGTCAGGGGTCCTTTTACCTTTTACTATATTTAAAAATATATCTCACCATAGTTGGGAAGACTGGGACGAGGTGACCTATGCACTTGCCCAGGCTGCATACACATCATTTATTTAAAGCACCCCTCCAAGAATGCTGGCAGCTATAGTTCACTAAGGGCGCTGGGATTGCAGATCTGTCCAGGCGAACTACAGTTCCCAGGATTATTTTCTGGGGGGGAGGTGTTTTAAATGTATGGTGTGCATGCTGCAGCTAACTCCAGGTGCTAACTCGTGATGGGCAGCTCCCAAGCCCCTGCTCTTGCATGGGTGGCTCTTTACTTGGACTGAACTGCTGTCCAAAGAAAACTCTGCCCCTTTAGGACACATGGCTGCTGGCTTTTTGCATTCCTGGGTAATGGCTCCTTTCACCCCATCCTTTGCAGCCATTCCTCTCCGCAGGAGGAAAACAACCCATCATTTACACAGGATACCTTTAAAGCACATGAATCCTGGGAACTGCAGTTTGCTTGCGGTGCTGGGAAATATAGCTCTGTGAGGTTTAAACTACAGTCCCCAGGATTCTTTGGGAGACATAAGGGTGGGTATGCAGCCACAGGCCTGCAGAGTCAAATCACCATCTTCCTGGGGTATTTTGAGATGTCTGCAATCCTTTATCCATGCAGCTTCTTCATGAACTTTGGGCATCACAGCGGAGGAAGAGCCAGCGATGCAAGGCACAGGAGGCAATATCTCCCACCATTTTAATTTTTGCTGTTAGGCAGCCACTAGGTGCTCTGATTTTGACAGAAGCAACAGTGTTGCTGAGGGGGGGGGTGTGTGTGTGTGTGTGGGTGTGGGTGTGTGTGTGTGTGTGTTTTCAAGCCTTTCTCCTCTGCACCTTAGGAGCTGTGGCGTCAAGGCTGCATACACAGTGTGTCTTTAAAGCACATTCTTCCCCTCAAAGAATTCTGGGCACTGTAGTTTAACCCACACAGAGTTACAGTTCCCAGCAACACTTAACAAACTACAGTGCTCACTAAATAGCCAACGCTGTCTAAACTCTCTGCAAACAAATCAGGGTGAATGCTCAATGAACAGGGAGTTTGGAAAAGCGCTCCTAATGCAGACTTGCCACGATTTGTGTCTCTCAGATGCAGCGTTGCCAGCTCCCTGCACCCCTTCCAGTTAATCCGTGTGGGAGACGAGTGCAGAGAGCAACAGGAAGGCCCTCCACCAACCCTTGAAAAGGCTCCCTGGCAACACAGCCATCGGGGATGCTGGAGGATCAATACTTGAATCAGCAGAAGTGGCTTGTTGGGATGAGGGAGCGAGGAGGAGGTGAGGACCCCTCTAAGGTTAAGCCTGCCCCTCTTGCGATCTTTGAAAGATCGCCAAATATTACCCACACCACTTCCATCCATCTGCACGGGCAGGCCTGCAGGGTCTGAGTGGAGAAGTTCGTACAAAATGCAATTAATCTGTAGAATTCATTGGCACACGCTGAATGTCACTGGCATTAATTTGCTTTAAAAGCAATAAGGTCAATGCATGGTGGCTCTTATACATGACAGCCATAATGGCAACCTTAGATTTCTGAGACAGTACTAGACTCTGGGGAATAACCGCAAGTCATGCCTTCTGTGCTTGGCTATCTCCACTGCTTTCCCATTTTAAAATGCTGATCTAGAGATGGGACATAGATTGGTCTGTCCTAGCTTGGCAATTCTTTTGTTCCTGGACCAGTCCAAGTGGATAGCCCGTTTTGGCCTTTGAGAGCAGAATTTGGGCTGTTGGGCTAAGGAATGTGCCTGAGAAGTGATCCATAGCTAGTTTAGATAGGTGCTGTCTTGCCACATGATGCAACTTAATAATACGAAGAAGCAGCTCATCTCCTGGCATCACCCAGACTTAAAGTGTCTCTGGTAGCAGGGAGAGTGTTGCATGACGTTTTGGAAAGCAACTGCCATGATTTACCAAGAGTAGATAATGGGTGGTCAACTTACAGCAGGGGTGAGGAATGTTTTTTTGCCTGGCGGCCAGATGTTTATCCCCACCGCAAATGTCAACTTTGACAGGTGGGTGGGACCTTGCAACTGCCGATCATAACGATATCAGGGGATTGGCAGTGTGGTGGTCCTCTGCAAGCCTGTCAAAGTTGGACCACGGGGAGTGTGCTTGATGGTGACCAGGCAAGACACAGCTCCCCATGCATCAGCCAATGTGCGAAGAGTCTAATCATGGTTTCTGGTTTGGGTGTGCAAGGGAATTTCCCATGGAGAACTCTCTCACTGTCCCAAATCAAGCTGGATTGAACTCAGTTACTGCACAAGGAGTCCAATTCTACTCTCTGTATGGATTTGGTGCACATTCCAGGCACTTCTCTACCTGCCCCACACTTAATGTCACGGATGATGTCAGGTGTGGGGGAGGTGGGCATGGCTTTTGGGAAACGGCCTGGCCAGATGGGGGTGCCTGGCAGACCAAATATGGTGCATGGACTGGAGATTCCCCAATGGCTTATTTACAGGATGGGGGGGAAGGGAGGGGAATCCGTCAGGATTTATTTCATTTTTAAAAAATTGCTTCCCATGAAAAATCCCAAAGCAATCAGCAACAAAACAATAAAAACGAATATAAAAATTTCCAAAAAAGGGTCAACCACAGTGGAAGCAGGATGTTGGACAAGATGGGCCACTGGCTTGATCCAGGAGGGTCTTTCTTAAATTCTTAACAAGGTTCACTTCAACTTTGCAATCCAAAACAATGCTGTAGGCCAGATGTGTGAAAATGCTGAGCCTCCAGACGCTGCTGGTTGGAGCTCTCAGGAAGGAGAGTTGAAGGATCGCATGTGTGCCATGAGCCAATGTGGCACAGTGGTGAGAGTGTCATACTAGGTAAGTACTAGCTTCACTGCCCCTCAGCCAAACCTATCTCACAGGGTTTTTGTGGGGATTAAACGAAGAGGAGAACCACGAACAGCACCTCAAGCTCCTTGGAGAAAAAGGTGGGATATAAATGCACATCCATCAATGTGCACATATATGCAGACGCACGCACTCTGCAGAGCAATCTGCGTCTGAAAGGGAGATAACCTTCCTTGGCAAAAATGGTGCAAATCGTAGATAGTGGTTTATATGGATTGTATTAACCGGAAGGGGAAACCATGTGGACTCCCCCGCCCCCCTGGCTTGCAGAGCTGCTGGGGAGGGTTTTGTTGTTGTTGTTGCAGCCCCGGGCTAGATTCCCATCCCATTGCGACGCCCACCCTTTTTCGTTTCAAAAAGTCACATCGATCCAGTTTGTGTGAGCTTCCCTCCCGGCCCCCGGCCCCCCTGCCCATCCACCCCATAGTATGTTCTCCTGTCACGTTCTCCCACCTTGGCTCTCTCTGCCTGCCCTCCTTTGAACTCTTCTCTCTCTGCCTCCTCTGAAAAGCTCGGCGCCGAAGCTGAGCACGGAATCCCAGGCGTGCCCTGGGCGATGCAGAGAGAAAAGGCACTCCAAAGGCAGCGTCTGGTCTGCAAGCAGCTCGCTCGACACATCCCCAATTAGAATGCCTCCTGCTCCCTTTGCAGCGGAGGCATCACACTGTGAACTCATCTCCCCCTTGCCTCCCACCATTACCTCGAAATCGCTCTCCTCCTGACCGCCTTCTAATTAATACTCCCCATCTCCAGATCTGCCTGGCATTGATGTATCCCTTCCTGGGCACATTTCGCCTTGCGCTGCGATGCTTTCAAGTTCTGTGGAAAAAGTGGCGTGCAAAGGACTTGGCGGCACACCTATGTGCGCACACACACTCCCAGTGCGCATCACGAATCCATGTGCATCACAGCAGCAGGTGGCTCTTGGCTTGGCTTAGCTTTTGTTTTCCTGTTCCTAGGAAGCAACCTAGCCTTTCATCGTCAGTGTGGATGCAGAAAGGTGGCGTCACAGCAGCATCTCAACCCTCCTGGATAGCTCAGTTGGTAGAGGATGAGACTCTTTAATCTCAGGGTTGTGGGTTCAAGCACCATGTTGGGCAAAAGAGGCTATGATTCTATGACACACCAGTCCCTGGTCTGCTGAAAGGAGTCGTACTGCATTGCTGGGGAGGCCTGTGTGAATATGCTGCCTGCAGAGCCCAGCCAGCAAAGTGGCTAATAGTGTGAGCTCAGTGTTAGAAACTGAGATATGAAAGCTAGGAGCTAAACGGCACCTTAAAGGTAAAGGTAAAGGGACCCTGACCATTAGGTCCAGTCATGACCGACTCTGGGGTTGCGGCACTCATCTCGCTTTATTGGCTGAGGGAGCCGGTGTACAGCTTCTGGGTCATGTGGCCAGCATGACTAAGCCACTTCTGGCGAACCAGAGCAGCACACGGAAACACCGTTTACCTTCCTGCTGGAGCGATACCTATTTATCTACTTGCACTTTGACGTGCTTTCGAACTGCTAGGTTGACAAGAGCTGGGACCGAGCAACGGGAGCTCACCCCATCACGGGGATTCGAACCGCTGACCTTCTGATCGGCAAGTCCTAGGCTCCGTGGTTTAACCCACAGCGCCACCTGCGTCCCATTAAACGGCACCTTAAGCCTAGGTTATAGGCACAACAACGGAATGTCTAGGCATGCTTTTTAATATATATAACAAGAATACAAAGCTGAAAATTAATGAACTGCAGCTAAAATATTATGTTCATTTTTCACATGGTCTGGCTCTCCAGCTGTTTTGGGACAATAATTCCCATCATCCCTGACCACTGGTCCTGTTAGCTAGTGTTGGTGGGAGTTGTAGTCCCAAAACAGCTGGAGGGCCAAATTTGGTCATGCCTGGTAGTCCTTCCCCTGCCCACCCCCCTAATATTCTTAAGAAGGTCTCTTCTCCAGTCTTCGGAGAGTAGTTGGAAATGGGGAGGCAGAAAAAGGTCCTCCTTTCCTTCCACTCTGCCGTTTTATTCTGAAATCTTGGGCACAGTACTGCCCCCAGAGCTCAGAAGCTGCTCAAGCTAATAGAATTCTCTGTTGCAAAATGCACCTAGAACGATGGGAGTTTTGAACACTGTGAAGTGCATGGTTCAAAACACACCTTTACTTTGGGGGAGGGCAATAGCTCAGTGAGGGAACATTGCATGCAGAAGGTCCCAAGCTCATTGCTTCCACAGTGCATGCAGATGCTCCCAAGCTCAATCCTTGGCATCCCCAGCTATGTTTGGGACAGCCTCCCATCTGAAACCACAGCTAGGTGGACTAATGGTCTAACTTGGTATATAAGGGTTTCTGCAGCTTTTTCTATGAATCACTTATTCACTCCACGGATTGGGAAGAAACAGGATAGAAATACAGTGGTTCCTTCCATTCTGGAAGTTCGTTCAACTTCCAAAACATTTGGAAACCAAGGTGCGGCTTTCAAGCTCCTGCAGCCAATCGGAAGCTGTGGAAGCCGTGTCCGACATTTGGGTTCCAAAGAACGTTCACACACTAGAACACTCACTTCCAGGTTTGCGGCGTTCAGTAGCCAAAACGTAGGCCAGAACGTTTCCACCAAGCATTTTCTGTTGGCCTGCCAGCCACCTACTGAATTTGGAGGCAACATCAGCATCAGCGAAACTGATGTTGCCATGAAGGAAAAAAGGTTGGTAGTGGTGGTGGCATTGCCAGTGGAAGAATTAAACAAGCACAAAATATCAGTGAGACCAGCAGAGCCTGCCGCTTCCATTGTTGTCACTGTTTGGGAATCTTCAATTGAGCCCTCAAAGATTGTTGCAGAAGCGCCCTGCTCAGGCAAAGCTTCCTGGGCGCTCACAGGAAGCAAGCAAGCCTGCTGGCAGCTGAGGAAAAGATTGTGAGTGTGAGAAAGAGAGAAGGGATGTGCCAACACAGAAGAATGGATTTTCTGTGTGCAACTCTTGGCTATTGAGGAGGAACAATAGTCAGTTGGCGGTTTGAAGCATCCACCAGGACTGGACTGTGCACAACAGCCTGAAGGGAGCTGGGAGCCAAGAGCCGTGGGACAATCCGCTAGTCAGGACTGAAGCATTGCTTTAAATGTCCATTGGCTGTGCTTTAATGGTATGGTGTGGATCTGTCTGCTGTTGGACTACAGCTCCCATCAGCCCCTGCCAATTATCAGGGAGGATGGAAGTTTTGATTCAGCTGCATTGGGAGGGCATCAAATTGGCTACCGCCAGGATACAGGAACACACTGAGAAGGTTCAATCAGAACAGGAAACACTCTTATGCCACTTCCTGTCTGGAAGGATCCAATTGCCAGCCTGGGTGAGGGGAGTCCATCTTGGGCCTGAAGATGCTTTACTGCCTAGGTTTGGGGAAGCCAACATGGTGCCCTACAGATATCACCATCTTGCAATTCTCATCATCCCTGACCATCAGCCATGCTGGCTGAAACGGATGGGAATTGTAGTTCGGTGACATCTGGAAAGCACCGCAGTGGCTACATCCAGCCTAGATGGATGCTGCAACTTGCAGTTCAGTGGCTCACCACACCAGGCAACCACACATGAACCCAAAGGAATCTAGTTCAAGCCCCCACAGTACCTGAAATACAGTGGATTCTGGTCCATTTAGGTGCTTGAACCCACAACCTTGCAGGGGCGTACAAAGGGAGACAGGGGTGGCAAGATGGCCTGCTACCTACTCCCCAACTGTAGAGCGGCCGAGGGCGCACACAGCATCCATACGGGTACGGGCGCTGCACATGCGCAGTCCGTATGGGTGCCATGTGCAGCAGCCCATATGGACGCTGGAGAAGCTTTCTCCACCACTGCAACCTTGAGATTAAGAGTCTCATGCTCTACTGAATGAGCTATCCCAGCTGAATTAGAATGTGTTGATGCTGCCTGACATTGGGTTGGGCTTTACCCTCTGTTTGGGCTCCCAGAATTTCACCCTGACAGTATTGTTGAACACCAGTTAGCAAACCAACTTGATATAAATGCTTTGTGGGAGGAATGGAATAAAGAATTAGAGATCTCAATTTCGACCTCACAGTGGGAAACTGTTTTAAGTGCTATAACAAGGGCATCTCTGGACCTTAAACTGAGGCTCATACAACAACAAAAAATATTTAAAATATACTGGACTCCATTAAGTTTGTTTTAAAAAGGGCTATCTAAGGTATCTAACTGTTGGAGATGCAATAGGGACAATGCTTCTTTAAAACATATGTTTTTCATTGTCCTATACTGAAAGATTTTTGGCAGACTGAAACTATCAACAAAACTGTACAGAACAATCTTACATTTACAGTGCAAAATATCCTTTTGAATTATATGACGAGAACATGGAACCTTACAAAAGGACAACTTGAGTGGACTCTCCACGCCTTTACCACAGCAAAAAGACTAATATTGAAGAATTGGAAAAATAAAAATGCGGCTCCCTTGGATTGAAGACCTATACAAACTCGCAACATATGAACAAATTGCATATAAATACAGAGTTGCCATGGGCAAATTCAATGATATTTGGAATCTACTCTTACAAATCCTGTAATAGGTTAAGATCTGGTAAATTACAGTAACAACTTTGTAAAGTATAAAGTTTTGGGTTTTCTTCCTCTCCCCCCCCCCCCCTTTACTTTGCCTTCTACGCGGGTGCTGTTTCTCTTTTTCTTCCTCTCTCTTTTATTTACATCTCACCTTGTTTAGTGCACATATAATTATGTATTTTTCAATAAAGGTGTCTTTTAAAAAAAGTATTGTTGAACACCAGCCACTAGCGCTGAAATGGGATCTATGAGACAAGTTTTGTTTGGAGCGCATGCATGCATGCAGAAGCACACTCACAAGGAGGACCGGAGTGCAGTTTGAGATCTTGGGAAGCCAGAGAGGTACTGCCATGAATCCCGTCCTGCCTGTATGCTTGTTTCTGCACCTCTCTGAATGGTACTTGTTCAGTCTTAGGTAGATGGGTGCACGGGTGCCCCCCGTCGCATAAACACCCTCTGTGTGGAACTGCCACATCAGCAGTGATTGCAATGTTTGAGCCTCAGAGCGAGGCAGGGCAAAAACCAGCAGGGACATTTCAGGTGGAGAGACCAGATATATTCATGAGAATTAGAGCACAGCATCTTTCCTGTCTTACGCTTCTTCCCCCTAGAGATCCCTCCCAAAGCATAAACAGAGAGACATACACACTTCAGGAGAGGGGGAAAAGAGCAAGGGCTGCCCCTGGGGAGCAGAGGATGCTGGGATAGAAACAGAACAGCAGCCATATTCCCTGCAGTGTCCTTCTGGAAAGCTGATAAGTGCCTTTTGATTTCACAGTCACACCGCCCCAGTCACCGGGCTGGTGATTAACATAAAATCAATCCCCTGCTCCCCGCACCCTCCACCCACCCTCCTGAAGCAGCCAAGCAGCCTCTCACTGAGGGATAGGAAGCAATGAGCCTGTGCCACCCGATTAAAGAAAGCTTCCCCTTTAATCACCTCCTGCCACAGTCAGGGCTTTCTGAGTGGGCTAAAAGCAGGTCGTGTGCCAGGGGGTGTCAGCAGCAGGTCAGGGAGTTAACGCTTCAGCTGTCAGGGAAAGAGGAGTGCAAAAGGCCTGAGAGCAGGGAGAGGGGTGGGGAAGGAAGCCAAGAGAAAACAGGGGAGATGGAAGCTGCAGGAGCAGTGCAGGAAGCTTCCCCAGCCAAGGTGAATACCTTTCTCCCCGGTCACAGGGGAGGCTGCACTCAGCCATGCACCCATTGTGTGCACACAGACTGTGCATATACAGTAGTTCAGAGCAACACGGCATGCACTAAATGTTAAGGGGAAACCTTGTTCAGCCCAAGGGCCACATTCCCTCCTGGGCAACCTTCTCGGGGCCACATGCCAGGGGAGGTGAGCAGTGGCAAAAGTGGGCAGCAAATGTAAACTTCACCTTTGTACATTAGGCTAGTTTTGGCACACATGTCCCCCGCCCCCTTCCTCTATCCACACCATCAAAGTTTCATGACGCATTCCAGCCAAGCAAGCATCTCATTACCTTTTCGCATTTGCTAACTGTGGGTCGACAAACCATCACTTCACAGTGGAAAATTTGGGGTGATCCCAACTGACCAGCATGGCACACAACGATTGGGACTTTAGCAGCAGCAGAGAAAAGGACGCATAAAATCCAGGTTGTGCATGGAAAAGAGAAACCGCAATGATTTTCAGCCACCTGGCAGAACTTTATTGCACCTGCATCCAGCAAAGATTTAGAATAACACAAAACCAACAACGGCGGTTATGGATATTTGGCAGCTTTAACGTACGTAACACGAACCCTGGAACTTGATATTCTTTGAGGTCATGATGTGCCCTGTGTATTGGACTGATCCGGTTGTTGTTGGCCCCTGTACCCTTTTTCCTGTTTTATATTGTATTGGATAAATAAACTGCTGCAAAAAAACAGGCTATACTGTCACTTCCCTATCACACAACCTAATTACATTCAGGGCTTTGTCTGTTCAATATGAAGAGCAGTGGTGAAAGTGGGCAGGTAGCGGCAGGTATAGAGAGTACCAGCAAGCCAATGCTGTTACAGGAAATGTTTCACTCTCGTTCATCACGGGGCACCAGCAATCCATCATTGAGAAATCCGGAAAAACACAACATCCACCATTGCTATGGGCTGGCCACTGCCTTCCAAGCTCAGATACTTAGCAGGGGGAGCTTGCCCTGGCATGGAGGGAAGCAGGGTAGGGTGAGGGGAACCTCAGTTTCAACGAGTTAGCCTCCTGTTAAACAGACAGGAAGACAAATGCCACAAGCTGCTGAATAACCTGCACAAGTGACAACCCCACTGCCAGGCAGGCTCCAAATCCATCCTTTCATTAGAGGATTTGTGGGGTCGCTCTGGATATTCTCTTTGGCTCCCCCTGTGAGCCTGTCTGCAAGATGGGATTCTGCAGGAAGAGAGGCTGCTAAAGCAGCCAGACCAGGCTTTTTCTTGCTAAGTTTATTGAAGAACCCTTTGCATGACTAAAAAGTGTGGGTTACTGGCTGCCACAAAAACTACTAGGTAGAGCTGCTTCCAGAAAGGGGCAGGATTCTCCCTAACCCAGCCCAGCCCCCTGGCTCAAGGTGAGCATGACTTACATCTGGGGGACCTTGGGCCCTCTAGATGTTGCAGAGCCACAACTCCCATCAGCCCTGGCCATCGGCCATGCCTGCTAGGGCTGATGGGAGTTGTAGTTTCACAAAACCCAGAGGGCCAAAGGCTCCTCAACCCTCTTGTAAGAGAACAATGGATCTGAGCCAGTGTTGTCTGGAACTGAGGAGACACAGAGGCCAGACTTGCTTTCTGAGGTGCATTCACAGCTATGTGGTTGTTTTTTCTTGGGGGGGGGGGCGGTGTGGTGCTAGAAACCTTATGGGGGAGAAAGAGCTGTTGGCGTGTTAACACTGCGAGCCAAACCAGGCACCCCTGAGGTCTCTCACTGCTTGGAGATTGAGGTGCACGTGCAGCACTGCGGAGAGCACTGTTAGGACACTCCCCAGGCCTTTCTCAGGACGCATGTAACGCGTTGGATGCCAAGCAAAGTCTTCTCCCTCCCTCCGGCTGCTTTCCCTTTGCTTCAGAGGAGCCCTGTTTGCCAGGGCTGCTGGGTAGTAACAGCTTCTCTCCGAAGCAAACCTCCCTTCAGCAGCCGCAGAAAGCAGGGCAGCTGTTCTGCTAACTCCCCCTTCCCTCTTTTTTTCTTTTCTTTTTTGGCACAGCCAGGCCTCTTCCCTGTGCTCATTCCTCAGCGCGGCAAGAAACCGCCAGCTGTAATTAAGCACGCGAGATGCTTCAAACGGCGGCCCTGAGCCGCAACTGGATTGGCACCCATCCACTCCCTCTCCTCTCCCATGAGGCAGAGCGGGAGCAAAGGCGTCCTTCAGACTCTCTCGCTTTGTTTCTCTGGGGACAGCCTTCCAGAAGATGACGGCAGGCAGCCGCGCAGGGGTTTGGGTGTGGCTGAGGGGGAAATGTGCCAAGGGGAAAGACGGGCTCGCCAGCTGGCAGGAGCGCAGAGGAGAGGAAGAGTTTAGCAGGGCCTCCATTGGCAAGCAGGCAGGTGTGGTGGCTTCTGCTCTCTGTGGGCAGCGGAGGCTGGTTGCTTAGGGCATGTGGGGCACTGCCCCACCGCCTTCAGTCTGACCCTCAGCCAGCCCCCACCGGTCTTCTTGCCCACAGCCTGTCAGCTTCCTTCTTCCCAGTCTCAGTTCTGAGGTGGACGGAGACCAAACTAGGACCAGTTGACTCTGCTTGTTATGGGCTCTGGCACCGCCTGCTAGGCCACATTCGCTCTATGATACCACTTGAAACGCTCATGGCTTCTCCCAAAGGATTCTGGGAGCTGTACTTGGTTAAAGGTTCTTGCAGTTGTTAAGAGACGCCCCCCTTCGCCTCCCAGACCTACAATTCCCAGAGTCCCCTGGGAAGAAGGTTTGACTGTAAAACCACTCTGCAAATGGTAGCTCTGTGAGGGGAAGAAGGGGGCGGGGGAAGAATCTCTCAGCATCTTTAGCAAATGACAGTTCCCTGAATACTTTGGGGGAAGTAACAACTTTTTCAAGTGGCATCACAGTGCTTTAAATGCATGGTGTGAAAATCACCCGACTGCCTTCCTCCTTATCAGTTTCAAGGGGCACCACACACCCCTGCCTGTGGGCATCCTAGCTGCACAGAAAGGACTACTGGGAGCACGGGACAAGTTCGCTAGACTGGCATGCTGCCAATAATGCTAAGGTTGCAGGTTTGAACCCCGTAAGGGACAGCTGAAGATTCCTGCATATTCCTGCACTGCAGCGGGTTGGACTGGATGATGCTCAGGGTCCCTTCCAACTCTACAGTTCTATGAAAAATACGAACCCCCACAAGCTCTAGCTATGTTTGCTACAGCATCCTCCAGCTGCTTATGTCCAAGGCCATGCAGTCCTCCACTGAAAAAAGCCTCCCTACCTCTGCTCAGCTGTATTCCCTCAGCTGGTATATATAGACTCAAATTCCACCCGCTGCTATGCCAGAGGCACTTGCAGATTTCGTTTCAGGCAAGGGTTCCCTCTAGTCCTACATGGAGATGCCAGAGATTGAACTAGGGACCTTCTGCATGCCAAGCATGTGCTCCCCCACTGAGCTGCGACGTCATAAAACGAAAGGGGATGTTTATGCGACTTTTTGTCACGAACATTGCTGGCCCAGGCACTCTGCATTGCTTGACAATCAATAAAAGCAACCCTCCACCCTCAAAGGAGTGATGCACCGCCTAACAGTTCAGGCATCAACAGGTAGACTAGTGACCACCGAGCATGCAGGCGCGCAGATACAGCCAGGAAGGCTACATGATCGGCCGTTTCGCTGCTGTTGTCAAGGCAATGGCTGAGCTTGTACAGGCTGAAGAAAGCGAAGACATTTGCCAGTTGTCCTTCTTCTCTGGCTCGCAGCAGCACCGGGGCCCATTTTAGTCCTGTGCAAAGCAGCCGTCTTGTTGCCAAGCCTACAACTCTGCAGGCGGATGGCACTTGCCGCAGCAGCAGTTGGGTGGGACTTAACATTCCTCAATGCTGTTTTGGCTGCTGCTGCTGCTGCTGCTGCTGCTCAGGAAGAGCACAGAGAACAAAGGAAGGAAGGCAAGGCAAGGACAGACAGGGCATGGAGTGGTTTCATTGCTCCAGGTTAGGGCGAAGGCGGGAAGTCCTGTGCCTCTGCTCTCCTGCACGTGCACACACAAAGCCATTAAGCACTGGCCAGGTGCAAAGGAGGACAAGGTGCAGGCTTCGACTCTGACGGATCTACTTTGCTGTTTTTATTAGAGCCTGGAGAGCCATCAAGAGGAGCCAGGTGCAAAAGACATGCACTTAGCATTAAAGAATTCAGAGCCCAAGAATTTGTTTCGGTGATGAGAAATGAAGTGAGTTCACAGTCCTTTCACACAGAAAATCCACTCCTGGTCACACACTGAAGCTTCCTTTATTTCCATGGCATAATTTAGGCTGTGGAGCCAAGTCATCGTCGTCATAGTTGGGAGTCAGAAATCCTTGCTCATCTACTTCAAACCACCAAGAGATCTGTTGCTAGATCCCTTTCTGCCTTCTCCGAGCTCTTGGTGTAGAAAAAGGCACTTCAGCCGGTATCATGCTGTTAAAGGTGCAAGAGCCCTGTCTTCTTTTCTTTTTTCCTTCTGGCCACTCTACAGGCCACACATACCTTTGATGCCCAGGTGCTGCTGAGGCCAATCAACAAGGTGGGGCTATCACCATCATGTCTGGCTCATGAGCTTCACAGCCATTGACTTGGCTGGCTGCCACTGGAGACTGTGCCAGCTCCAGACCCAGAGAGGGCTCTTTGTACCTTTAGGTGGTGTGTTGACGAGAATATTCCACCAGGAAAGATGGCTTCTTCTGTTCTGGGAACATAGGAAACTGCATTGTGCTGATTCAGACCATTGTCCCATGTAGCTCAGCACTGTCCACACCGAGTAGCCATGGCTCCCTGGGGTTTTGGACTGAAGACATTCCCAACTCAGCATGGAGTTACCAGAAATTGAATCTGGGACCTTCCATATGCAAAGCAGTTGTTCTGCAACTCAGCTATGGCCCTTTTCCTGCAGTTCTATCATTGCAGCACTGAAGGGAAAAGCCATCACTGATGAAATAAGCCTATGCAATGTTTAAGAGATGTAGGAAGTGGACTCAGAATCTGGATTTAGCAACCAAAGCTTGAACAGATGGTCTGACACAGGAAAGCAATTCCTACGTGACTCCCCCCACCCCATTCACTATCACACTATAAAAGAAGAAACCTCTGTTCAAGCAGGTGAGAGCCAATATGAGGTGTAGGGGTTATGTTGGACTAGGCCTTGGGAGTCCTGGGTTCAAATCCCCACTGGGCTATGACCCAGTGCCAGCCACTACTTCTTGGCCAAACCTACATCGCAGCATTGCTGTGATGATAAAATGGTACGTTTGTGTGTGTGAAAGTGACCTGGGTGCACCAGCCTGAGCTGCAGGTAGGAAAGGTGGGATGAACATGACATCCATTACAACCAATCAAAAGCTTCCAGACAACGGCTGCCAGGCTCACTAGTGAGCATAGGAAGGTGTCAGACCACTGGTCCATTTATCTCAGTATTGTCTGCACTGACTGGTAGCAGCTTTCCAGGGTTTCAGACCAGGGATATTCCCAGCCCTACCTGGAGATGCTGCTAGGGATTGATCCTGGGACCTCCTGCATGCAAAGCAGATGTTCCTTAACCAATGAACTCACCCCTGTTGGTTGAAATGGCAGCCCAAGAACTAGCAGGATCAGCACGAACCGTGTACAGTCCAAAACTTGGCATTCAATCACAAGATTTGTGCCACTGAATATCTCCTTTTCTTTGATAAATACACACACACACACACACACACACACACACACACAGCACCTGACTCACTTTGTGCAGTGAATCAGATGGGGATGGGGACGTTCAGAGGCAGGAGGAGAACCCAGTTTATGTACTCTGCAGAAAACACTGTTGCAAATTGAGTTTGTCACACGGGGTGAGAAAAACAGCAGAAAAAGCCTCTGCTAAAGCAGAGCTATACCTGCTGAAATCTCACCTTCTGGCCAAAAAGCTGCAGGAGTCCCATTCTCAGGGCTAGCTCTTCAAGAAAACAAGCCTCCCTTTTGCCCTCCCTGCAAGAGCAAAAAGAGAGACCCCTGCCTAGATTCTGCAGGGCAGTCCCTGGAACTGCTCTTGTGAACATCCAGGTCTTTTTTACCCGTGATGCTGATGCAGAGGAGATCTCTGTGGAGGTGAGTCAGTGGGATTCCGCTTCAGGGCAGCATAAGGCAGGAATGGGGCACCTCTGGCCCATGGGTCAGTCTTGGCCCACCTGGTGGTCCAAGTTGGCCCCCGATGTCATTTTCCCAACACCACACCTGCCAGTCAGCAGATACCACCTGTGATGTCATCTGATGGGCATGCAGATGGGGTTAAATCCTGTACTGGCTGCACTTATCTGTTCCCTGCAAACAAGGGTCAAATCAGTTCAGCCATCCCCTGGGGCTGATGGGAGCTGAAGTCCAAAATATCTGGAGGGCATCAAGCTGGAGAAGGTTGAACTAGACCAGGGGTGGCCAACTCCCAAGAGACAGCGATCTACTTCAGAGTTAAAAACTGGCAGTGATCTACCCCCTTTTTGGGGGTTCAGGTCAAAGTTGTTGAGTTTTTTCAGGGATGAGGTAAAATGTTGAGCTTTTTTTAGGGGAGCCACAGTTGTTCAGCAGCTTCTTTGGGGAGAGCCAACGATCTACCAGTGATCTACCGCAGATGTCCAGTGATCTACCGGTAGATCACGCTCTACCTGTTGGACATGCCTGAACTAGATGAAATGTTAAATGTGTGATCTGCATTTCTGTATTGCTTTCAATCAATCCATCATTTTATTTGTATGCGGCCTTTACAAAGTCTAAACCAAGCCGAAAACGTCTTACAACATGTAAAAGAAATACATAACTACAAACATAGCAAAGGTAGTCATAAACAAAGCATTTAAAAAGTACACAACCAATTTGAACAATTTCTGCATGAATCGTAAGACCCAAAACAAATATACCAAAAATTAATAGCATTCCCCAAACCCCCTAAACAATACCCCAGCCCAAGATTTTGAGAAAGGACCTGCAGATGGGGGATCCAGATTGAAACAGCTGTGCAGGGGGGAGAAGGTTTTAACCCACCCCGTGTTATTTTCCCAGTGAACAGAGTCACCCCCAGCTGCTATTTGTGTCCATGACAACAGGAGCTTCCCTTGCAATGCAAATAGCATCTTCAGAGGACCAATTTCCAGCAGGACTGCAGGAGGGAAGGAAAGGGTTTGCTGAGAGTCCAGGAATTATCAGCTGCCACTACCTCCCACCTCCCCACAAGGGCTGCACAATTTATTTAAGGTGCATGTTCAATGCAAAGAAGCATTTGCTGTTATGCCTGCTTTGTCCCTATGGGAATACTGAAATATGTCATATATTTAACCAGACCACCCATTTATCTAGCTCAGTATTTTCTGCCCGGACTGGCAGCAGCTTTCCAGAATTTCATATAAGGGATATCCAGTCCAACATGGATCAAACCTGAGACCTTCTGCAGGCAAAGCAGGTGCTCTATCCTTGCTCTACCTCAACTGAGCTTCTCAGACCATCGTTCCAGGATGGGGGATTTGTGGCCTTCCAGTTGTTGTTGGACTGTAACACGTGTCAGCACTCACCACCATGATCAATGGTCAGAGATGAAAGACAACTGTTATGTATTGAAGTTCTCACCCTGGGCCAGCAGGGGGATACTGTATATAGTTTTCACTCAGGTCCACATATGCAAATAAGGAATTGAAAGTGACGTTCAGTGATTGGATAGTTACAGAAAGTTGTTACTGTTGCGTTGTAGTGGAGCTCTATATAAACAGGCTGGCTGAACCCTTCAGTTCTGGGTCTGTGAATAAACAAGAGCTGTTTGAAAAATCGCTGTGTCGTCTGATATGTTCACCCACAACTTAACAACAACAACATTTGAAGAGTTTCTCCAGCAACTTCTGTTGCTCCTGTTCCAGGAGTTTGCACTGGGAGTTGTCCCAGGTCTAATCCATCCTTATTACCTGTAGCGAGGACACTGGATGTATAGGCTATCTGGTATCTGTCTGGTATCTGTTGCTGGACCATGGCACAGGTCAGTCTCCTCCTCACAACCTTAACTGGTACAATAGGACTCTTGCTGTAAACGCAGAAGTGGAGAAAAGGGCACTGATTTAAAAATGAATGCTAATATTTCAAAAATTGAAATCCAATTTTTATTTCAACAGGATTTTTATGTCAATTTTTAAAAGATAGGTCAAGTGCCTCAAAGTAAAAAAAAAAACGATATCAGAATGACATACAAAGCAACATATCAGAGTTTACAGTCACAGTCTCTTAAAGCTGAATCCAAGATTCTCTATGAAATACTTTTGAGTGTAAGCCTGTTTTTTAAATGTAGAATAATGAAACGGGCAAAAGAAGAAGTGCGACTTTTGAAATGAAGCATAAATATGATAAATGGTCCTCACGAATCATATTTATTATTTTCCAACACATAAAGTTTTAATTGTTGTAGCAAACAATTAGTATGCATGCATGTTCCGAACGTGTGTGAACTGAAAAATTGATTTAAATCAATGTTCTTAAAAGGCCCTTTTTATTGATGATGTAAACCATGATTTCAGTCAATCCACCTGTCCTGAAGAGATGTTGGGTGTTTCCTTCAGCTTCCTTTCTGCAATTCTGATGTGTTTGCTTAGGGGTGGGAAAGGTAAGGACCAATGATGAGTTCTAACAGGTGATTTTTTTATCCGGCTTGGGACTTCTTTCCTCATATGAACCAGCCCAGACCCTGCAGTCTTCATGAGAGGCCCTTCTCTGTGTGCCCCACTTGAGGGAGGTGTGGAGGGCCTTTTCAGTGGTGGTCCCCCCATCTATGGAATGCTCTCAACAGAGAGATGCTCCTGGTACCATCCTTGTCCTTCTTTAGGTTCCTTGGAACGGCCTTTTGTTCAGTAGGCCTTTGGCAATAAAGTTGCCTCCTACAATGGTGCTCATCTTTTAGTAGCATGTGTTGGATTTGTCCTTATTTAAATGTTACTGAATGAGCATTTTATGTATTTTGTATTGATCATTGTTTTAAAACTTCCTGCCTTTTACTTTTATTTGTAATGCTTTCTTGTAAAGAATAGTGATAATGATGAAACAATTATTATTTCTGTTTTCAAATCTTAAAGTTCATTAGGCACATTTGCACATTTCCATTTTTTTTGTAACGTGCTCATGAAAATTCACCAGTGTTTCAGCGCACAGTTCTACTAATAAATAGATTTCTGTTCGCAGTTTCCCCTCAGATTCAAAGTTTTAGGCATGCATGCCTGCATGTTACTTTCATGAATATTTGCATTGTTAGGTATACGTTTCCCTAATAAACTCATTTTCCCACATATTTTGGTTGTAGATCTGCATGACAAAATTCGGACAAGTGTAAACTTCAAAGGATAGCTGTGTTTTGCTTTGCCTAGTGTTTTAGGAAGTCCTTCTGACTGAAAGGAGGTGAGCCCAAAGCAATGGCACACAGAAGATACAGGCCACCTCCATCTGAGGATGAGTCATCTTGCCTGCATCAGGAGTGACCAGATCATTCAATTGCACCTGGTTTGAGAAATGTGGTGGGCTTTCCCACCCCACTTGGAAGCAAGCATCCTCAGACCAGCAAAGCATACAGAGATGCAGCAGGGCAGCCTCCTCTGGTGATAGGTGTTTGAGGTGTGCAGGAATCGCCATTTGTTCATTCATTTCTTCCTTGTGACCCATGGGCATCTGTCTTGCATGTAAAAGTGTCCCAGCCCTCTGGCTCTGGAGAAGTGGCTTGCAAATCTTCCCACAAATTCACTGCAGTTTAAGTGTGTGCACTACAGTGGTACCTCGGGTTACAGAAGCTTCAGGTTACAGACTCTGCTAACCCAGAAATAGTACCTCTGGTTAATAACTTTGCTTCAGGATGAGAACAGAAATCATGCTCTGGTGGCATGGCGGCAGCAGGAGGCCCCATTAGGTAAAGTGGTATCTCAGGTTAAGAACAGTTTCAGGTTAAGAACGGACCTCCGGAATGAATTAAGTTCTTAACCCGAGGTACCACTGTACTCAGTCTCTGCCACAGTATCAGCCAAGTACATCAACCGTCTTTGCATTGCACCAGTACAGCTGAAAAGGCAAAAAACCCACCCAGCGACCTTGTTTACTTCCCTTCTATGTACGCGTTTCCCTCCCTAGGCTTTCTTCCAAGTGGAGGAACCCACCTCTCTCTCCTCCCTGACCATCCTGGCCCCTTGACCCTCCTACGCTTGTTGCACAGCCAGCTGTCTGTGCTGGCTGGGTCAGCATGAAAAATAACTCCTGGCAGCCTTGGCTGGGGCGGGGGGGGGGGAGAGGAGAAGCTGCACCAAATGGCCTCCGCAGATGGCCTTGAGCAGGATTGCGAGTGTGCTGGCTGGCTGCAGGGGAGGCAGGCAGAGCTTTGCAGCCTCATCCTGGCAGAGTGATCTTGCTTTGCGGCCCGATCCAGCTTTGCGATCTGATCCTGCGACTTGCAGCCGGGGCGATCTTGCTTTGCTGCCTGATCCTGCCACTGGCTGACAGTGATAGAGCGGGATTGCTAGCTAGCAACCTGGCAGCCACGACCGCAGCAGCAGCAGGGGGAAGTAGGCAAAGCTTTGCAGCTGGCAGGGCGATCTTGCTTTGTGGCTCGATCCTGCGACTTGCCGACGGTGGCCGAGGAGGATTGCTAGTACGCTGGCAGCTGCAGTAGAGAGGGAGACAGGCAGATTTGCAGCCTGATCCTGCGACTCTCTGGCAGCGCCGTCCTGCTTTGTGTTTTGCTCCTGCGACTCGCGGGCAGTGTGAACTTGGCTGATGCCAGTCTCAGAAAACTGGGGTGTGCGTATGTGTGTGAGCGAGCGAGCGAGAGCTGTGTCATGAGCACCAGCTGGACAGGGAAAGGGCAGGTGCTGGCAAGGCCTCTCGCTTAGCTGCACTTCTCTCACTGCAATGAATGTTGACATCCGGGGTGCCAAGCCTCCTACAAGCTGTTCTCTCTGCCACTGTCCTTGAGCAAGGGGAATCGCTGGCTGCTCCGGAGGTGGGGGAGAGAAGGCCATTGGGAGCTCACATCAGCTGCCCTGAACGGGCTCAATCCAAGGCACAGCCACCAGGCCAGGAAGCCCCCACCTCCCAGTGAAATTTTCTGTTCAAGGCAACCCTGGATGCTACTGAAGTCCAAAGAGTGACACCTGCTCTGGGACTGGGCCCAGCAACTCTCCACATGCACCTTCTGTACTTTGTAGTTGGGGGCAAACAGGAGCTGCTTTAGTGCTACAGCCAAAGCCCCATCATCCAGCACACTGTCCCCGCAGTGGCCAACCAGGTGCCCCCAGGAAGCCCATAAGCAGGAGCTGTGAGCAACAGCACTTCAACCAGCTACAATTCCTTTTGGGTGTGCTAATTTTGTTTAAATTAAAAGTTTTTGACATAAGATACCTATCACCTCTCTGTGTATGTCTTCATCAGTCCAGGATAGATTACTAAAAATAAAAAATAAAAACAGCTACAGGAGAAAAAAGGGGCTTCCCATTCACTATCTGTATATATAATAATCCTTCAAATTAATCGGAACATACACTACAGGAGAACATCTAGCTATAAAATATTATATAGCTGCCTATCATTCTTCTCAGGCGTCACATATCCATTTTCCCCCAATACAGAAATCCAAAAGTAGTTCTTTCCCCCCTTCATTATACTTCCCGAATTCTCCATTTCCAGTCCAGCCCCATTCAGTAATTCTTTACAAAAATTCAATCAGATCTTATATTAAAGTCCTTCTTCCTCACACCAGTCACCAGTGGCCTAGAAGCTTCTTGTCAATCACCCAGGATTCCCAACAACTGGCATCCAGAGCCATCCTGCCTCTGACTGTGGCCACTAGCCATTGTGGCCACTAGCCACAGATAGCCTTAACCTCCATGCATTTGTCTAACCCCTTTCCAATGCCGTGTGTATCTCTCTCCTGAACCTTCCAACATTTGATTTCATTGGCTGCGCCTGTGAGCCCTGGTATGACAAGAGAGGGAGGAAAGCTTTTCTTTCTCCACACACCATGCATCCTTTCATCCATTTCCTAATCATTGTAAACCTCTCTGCCCTTTAAGCTTGCAGCCACAAGCCAGGCAGCTCCGAGAGTGCCTACAGTCAGGGGCGGAGGCAGTCTCAGTGAAAACACACACACAAAAAACCTGGTCTGCATTCTGACTTGCAATGGGAAAGGTCCACCAGCAGAGGGCACTCACTGACTGGTGCTGTGAAGTCAACAGACCTCTCCATTTATGCACCTCAGTTCCTAAGCAGCTATACAACTTTTTTTTTTTTAAAGGGGGTTACAGTATTTATTTATAAGGTAACGAGAATATTGAATGCATAAATAACTGTAAGTGTGGGGCTCTAAACTTTAAAAGGTGGCAGGGAAGCATCTTATTTAGGAAAGGTATTCTGAAGAGGAGGATGTCTTTTTATATAAAACAGTTTATGGAAGGAGCAAGCTCTGCTTGTAAGGCAGAGCTCAAACAAAAGAGCTGCCTGAGAGTTGACTCAGAGGCTCCTGGTACGGCAAGTCAGGAGGGTCAATATCCTGCAGCCCACCTGAAGGATGATGGAGAGGCAAGAGTGACCACTGAACTAATGTTTGGTTTGCTGGCAGGGCCCATGAGGAAGACTGAAGCAGTACTCACAGGATGATGGAGGATGGCAAGGAGATGGAGGTCAGTGCACAGGAACCAGAGCAGCAGAACCCATCACCAGAGGGGGCCCTGTCTCCCCAAAGAGAGCAGGCTCTGAGGCCTAGGGAACAGCGGGAGGGGCACTCTAGGAAGCTGAGGCCAGCAGTGGCCCACAATCCAGCTCTCTAGCTGGCCAGGTGGGGCTCGCTAGCTCTGGGAGATTCCTTAGCTGGAGTAGGCTTGAGACAGGTGAGGGTCACCTGCCTCGTCATGCCCAGGTGCTGCAATCAGCATGCAAAGCACCAAAGGGAAGCAGAGCTGAGGTGCTGGGTCTGCTCAACTGTCCATGTTGATGGACCTCGGCTTGGATGCTCCTGAACCTCAATGGGTTTGACTCTGGACTGTATCCTGGCTGCTGGACTTCAGACTTGGCTACCTGGACTGTGTTTCCTGACCTTTGGTTTTTGCTCTTTGCCTGTGTGGATTGACCTTTGGACTTGACATACTGACTTAGATTCAAGAGTTTGGTAGTGGATGTAGATGAACAGATATTCTGACTTGTTAGCTTCCTAAGTTAGATAAGCTTTAAGGCAGCCTTCCCTAACTTGGTGCCCTCCAGAGGCTTTGGTTTATAACTCCCATCAGGTGAGAGTCTAGTCCAAAACATCCTGGAGGGCATGAGGTTAGAGAAGGGAAGTTTTAAGGGAGCCGCTGCAGCTACTCAGTAAGAAAAGTTGCTCAGAGTGAGCAGCTGATTTGGCGGTGAAGACCTGGTTTGTCTTGCTTGGGTCCTGTGGGGTCAACTGACTGCATTCTGCCAGGAGGGTGCACTTGATGCACGGTCTTTCTAACCTTCCTGGTTTGCTTAGGGACCAGATGGTGCAGGAGGTAATGTGCTCTCAACCAGATTTCAGAGTTCCTGGTTTGAGATGCCCCTTGGCATCATACAAGTGGCGCCTGCAGCCACAAACCTCTCAGATGGGCCCGTGCAACTTATAAACTGCCATGGCAAGCACAGACCACCTGTTGTGCACAGGGAGGGGAGGGAGTGAGAGGTTTCGCTGCACAAAGGAGGAGAGCTGGGCTGCATTTGTGATGGTGGGCCATAAGTTGTTGCTGACCTTTCTATGCAATTCAGTTTGTGTTGCCTAGGCATCCCTGTAAGCAGCGATGCTGATCACAGATGGTTCTATGTTACATTGGGCAGTGGAAGGAGCAAGAAACTACAGCAGGGATAGGGAACTCAGCTGCAGATGTGGTTGGACTCCAGCTCCCATCAGCCCCCGCCAGCATGGCCAATGGTCGGGGATGACAGGAGTTGTAGTCCCAACACATGGAGGGCTGCAGAGTCCCTTTCCTTGGATGACAGATTTGCAACAATAAGCATGCAAGTGGCATTGCTAGGAACTTGAAAGGATCAGGGCCACAATGCAAATATGCATAAAATGTGCTATTTTATAGGCATAGGTGCAAATGTAGATCTCAGAGCAAATTAAGATGCTGGGTTTCAATAGACTTTTGCACCATGCCCAGTAGTCCTGTCTATGCCTCATGGCCCCCTGGGTCCATGCTTCAGGACCCCTGGGCCACCCGCTAACAATGCCCCCCCATACATACTTAATTCCCTTCAAGTTGCAACCTGGCTCCATCTGCAACAAAGACTGCAATCTCCCTTTGCCCTGGTTTTATTCTGACTCTCGTCTCCACATGGCAAAGACTCACAAACTTCCCCTCATGGTAGAAAGGTTTATTTTTCTTTATTTACAGATTTATTTGTTTATTAGAAAACATAGTGTAAAATGGGGTAGCTCCAAAGGACTTGGAAAGGAGGGGAGCAGATAGAGGCTTGGCACTTGACTTTTGTGTTCACGTTTCCAGCTCAGGAAGGGTCTGTCTGCCTTGAAAGTAAGGATGGGGCTGGGGGTTTGATTCGGTTTACATTTAAAGGTGAATTTACCTAATTCACACTTTCTGAAACAATACGAAAACCAAAACACAGCCATCCTTTGAAATTCGCTATTCTCTGCATTTTGCAATGAAGCTCTCCAACCAAATGTACAAAAAAATACATGTACTGGATTAAAATGTGCATTAAAAGGCACGTGTCCATGAAAGTGAACATACTGAAATGCATTAGTTTAGAAGGAAGTTGCTTTAGGAATATGTGTGTATTGGACAAAATGGCATACAAACATGTATATTGGGGAAAATTCTCAATAACCTGCAGACAAATTTTCACGAGGATTTCTTTTTCCTCAAAAAATTGCAAACTGATGTTGAAATGGGGGAAAACTGAACTTGGGAAGAATGAGTGGTTGAGAGAACCCCAAATCTGGCAAGGTTTGCCCATCCCTAGCCTTGCTGCAGCTGACCCAGGGTTCAAAATTATGCTAGGTTGTCTATCATGCCTATGGCCCAGGGGTGTCATCATTCAGGGTTGCAGTGGGTTGAAAACCTGCTACTATTTCTGCCTCAGGGTCCTTGGCTCCAGTGCCCTAGAGCTGCCCATTCAGCATGGAAAGGGAGCTTTTTAGCCCCTGAATGCTCCAGACCTAAGCATTTTCAGAACTCTGAGCTCATGTCCCAAGTTCACACAAGGCTTTGTTTCTGCAAGGGAGGGAGGGAGGCCTCAAGTCAGCCTCTGGGGAGAAACAGGGCCCTTATGCTAGGAGAATAACTGGGAAACTCACCTGAGCATGGCTCAGCAAGGAACTTGCCATGTGCTGCAGGCAGGGGTGATGCTGGGTAAGGAAAGGTTCGGGGCAGGGGCCCAGAGACACACTTTTGCAGAACCTTTGCATACACTAACTGATATGTATTAATACAAGTTGAGAATGTAAATGTTCCAGAAGGCAAGCCGAACAATTTCCCACATAAGCCACACCAGAAAAAGCCGTCAATTAATTGGCACCCTTCGCCAGATCACCCCCAAACCTGTTCACGTTTGGTCCATTCACCGGTTAATTCCCCAGCAGGCCCTGCTCTGAAACAGTTCAGTTCCCCAACTCATTACCGCCAAGTTGTCTTGATTGTAAACATAAAATTTTTATCTCCACAAATTAATATCCTAGCTAGTAATCCAGATCATTCCCCTTTCCCTCAATGTCAGTTTTCCTCAGGTGCATTAGAAGAAGATTCAGGGTCGTCGTCCCCCCATGAACACACTCCTAGCAACTCCTTGCCAGAAGACTGACCTCCAGGGGAGAAATTTGTGGCAAAGACGGGAAACAGAGGGCAGTATCCAACCCAGTGCTTCCGCTAGCGCTGAGATTTTTGGCTGCTCAATGGAACTTCCCCTCCTTCTGCCTCCCAAATCTGTGCTGGAAGTTGCTCTGATCCTACAGAGCAGATTTGGGGGAGGGAGGGAGGGGAGAAAGGGGAGAAGTTCCATTGTGCAAGTGGAAATCCTTGAGCTAGCTGGAGCACTAGATACTGCCCAGACTGAATAGCAATGCAATCCTAACCACATCCACTCCAAAGCAGGCCCTGCTGAATTAAATGGGGCTTACTCCCAAGTAACCGTAGTTAGGATGGCAGCCTAAGGCACTGCAGCTGGTCAACTGACACTTTTCTCCTCATCGCCTGCAAAATCCCAAGTCCTTTGTAGTTTAAGGGAGTTTCTGTGTTACAAGACTGTTGAGACAAGGGTTGACGGTGGCGGTGAGACTTCATGTGACACTTTGACAAGTTTTCATCTTTTGAGGCAGCTTCCAGAATGGTCTTGCCCACTGCTGCTACCTCAATACTTTTTCCTTGCTTGTTCGTCTGCTCAGGTGGGAGACTGGCCATGGTGGTCAAGGTAGCTACTGCTGACCTGCCCTTTCCCTCCGGGCTCCGGTGATTTTTCCTGCTCCTGATACGATGGTTTAGCTACTTGCATTCACATACACAAGTAACCAACCAGGTAGTTTTCATGCCCACACAGTTCAAAATCCTGACAGCTACATCATTAGGAAGGTGCATGAATTGGTCTGACTCCAGAGTCCTGCTTCCCCAATAGGGAATTTTAGACTCCTGGTTTCCCGGAGACCCTAAGAGAACAGCTGCCAATCTTGTATATTCATTTGTCATACAGTGGTGCCTCGCAAGACGAAATTAATCCGTTCTGCGAGTCTCTTCGTCTTGCGGTTTTTTCGTCTTGCGAAGCACGGCTATTAGCGGCTTAGCGGCTATTAGCGGCTTAGCGGCTATTAACGGCTTAGCGGCTATTAACGGCTTAGCGGCTTTAAGAAAAAGGAAACAAACTCGCAAGAACTCGCAAGACGTTTCGTCTTGCGAAGCAAGCCCACAGGGAAATTCGTCTTGCGGAACGACTCAAAAAACGCAAAACCCTTTCGTCTAGCGAGTTTTTCGTCTTGCGAGGCATTCGTCTTGCGGGGCACCACTGTATACCTAAAGCCCTACTACAGCCAACAACTGTTTTACACTTGTCCATTATGTGTGCGACTGCGCGCACACACATCAGCCTGAACCAGGAAATGACCTGAAAACATCACAGAAATGTCACAGAAAGGGGCGGAACAGGGTGGCCTTACAGGGGCCCACCAATGTGCATGGGGATCTGAAATGTAGCCCCTGTGCACATTGATTGCTGCCTGTACACCACACTGAATACTCATGGCTTCCCCAATGAATCCTGGGAGTTGTAGTTTAAGGGTGCTGAGAGTTGTCAGGAGACCCCCATTTCCCTCAGAGAGCTACAATTAAAAGAGTGGCTTAACAACCAGTCTCTCTTCCCAAGGAACTCTGCAAATTGCAGCTCTGTGAGGGGAATGGGGTCTCTTAACAACTCTCAACATCTTTACCAAACTACAGTTCCCTGATTTTTTTGGGTGAAGCCTTGACCATTTGAAGTGGCATGATAAGTGATTTAAACATAAGGGGCACATGATATAGATGTTGTAGTGGTTAACTCTCATGAGATGGCTACCTAAGCTCCCTGTCTGATAAGGAACATTACAGTTCCACCTTGGTTCTCGAGCTTAATCCGTTCTGGGAGTCCATTCAACTCCCGAAACTGTTCAAAAACCAAGGTGTGGCTTCTGATTGGCTGCAGGAGCTTCCTGCAGTCTAGCGGAAGTTGTGGAAGCCATTCCAGACGTTGTGGAAGCCATTCCAGATGTTCAGAGCCGATTTTTTCAACAACTAAGCTGTTTGGGAACCAAGGTACCACTGTATCTTGCTACTGGAAGGCACTGATACAAAATAGATGAGTCGCAGTTGCAGAGATTTTCCTCTGAAGCAACCCTTCTTCTTGCTTCCTTCAGTGAAAGCCATAGCACAGACCTCCCCCTTGTACCTCCAATGTGAGCCGCTTTTTGTAACACCGCCCACTATCATCGCACCCCCAGTGGATTATGGCTTTAATAATATTGTCGCTGGTTAAGGAAATGGGGGAGGATAGGAAAAGCTATGGGGGGGGGAGAGGGAGGTGTGAAACACAACCAACAACCCCTTTCAAAGCCCTTGTGCATCTTGTGAGTTGGGGCTGGATGGCAACAGAATTGTAGAGGACAATGAAGGCAGACCCACAATCCCTTCGCAAGCCACCTGGGCCGAGTTTGGCAATCTCAACCAACCTTGTGAGGTGGCCCACCTATGCTGTGCAAAGTGGAAGGGCCATAGCTCAGTGGCAGAGCAGGCGTTTGGCATGCAGAAGGCTCCAGGTTCAATCCCCAGCAGCTCCAGGTCTGGGAAAGGCTCCTGCCTGAAGCCCTGGAGAACTTCAGTCACTCCATACAGGCCAAGGCTGGATAATCTGGGGTCCTCCAGATGTTGCAGAACTACAAAGCTCATCATCCCTGACCTCTTGCCATGCTGGTTGGGGCAGATGGGAGTTAGGGGACCAACAACCTCTGTAAGGTCACAGGTTACACTCCAGGGATGGATGGGAACCTGTCAACTCTCCAGATGTTGCTGGACTCCCATCACACCCATCCCCATCAGCCAATGGCTAGGGATGATGGAAGCTGCAGTTCAACAGCATCTGGAAGTTTAGAGGTTCCCCATGCCTGCTTCATTCCTTCCTTCAGAGAGTTGGGAGCACCAGGGCTGGTGGGAAGGGAAGAGAGGGTTGTTTATTGTCCAAAGAGCACTATCATGTTCCAAAACAATATAGGAGGGAAAGGGAGGGGAGGGTTGGGGAAAGGAAACTTTATTAAGCAAGGATGTACTGTACAAAACCCACTCTCTCCCTTTGCTAACCCGAGCCCCTGGCTCACAGTCCTCTTCTTAACTCCAAAAAATCAGCACAGCAGTCGCCCAAGAAGAAGCAGAACTTTAAAACACAAAATCACAATTAAAAAATCTCGGTGTGGAATTGTAAAAAAAAGGGAAGCGGGGAAGAGAGAGAGAGAGAGAGAGAGAGAGAGAGAGAGAGAGAGAGAAGGAAATAGGAGTCCAAGCCCACTTGTACAAAAAGTGATCCTTGGCCCCTGCTCCAGGGAGGGAGAGGACTGTTTCTGCGGACAGCCAAGTCCCAAAGTGCCCCAGGGGATGGGCTGTCCATGGTCCCTGCTGGCATCTGCAGCAACAGTTATTGGTTGTCTCCCGGCTGGTACTGAGGCTCTGTGGCGGTGAAGTAGTCTTCAAGGAAGGACTGGAGGTATTCAAAGGTGGGGCGCTCCTCAGGCTCCTTCTTCCAGCACTGCACCATCAGCTCGTGCAGCGACGGAGGGCAGTTCCCAGGGCACTGCATGCGGTAGCCCCTCTCCACTTGCTCCAGCACCTCCCGATTGTTCATGCCTGCAGAAAAAGAGCAAGGGGGTTGGGCAGGGTTCAGCAGAGAGCTCCAAAGGAGAAATTCACCGTAGATTTCTGTCGAGAACTGAATTTAAGATTGGGAAAGTGAGATATGGAGAGAAACCAAAAACGGTCAGGTCCATCTCTCCAGACAGGGGAAGGCTTTACCTGGGTAGGGGACTCGCCCCTTGGTCACGAGCTCCGTCAGGAGGATGCCGAAGGACCACACGTCCGACTTGATGGTGAACTTGCCGTAAAGGGCAGCTTCTGGGGCCGTCCACTTGATGGGGAATTTGGCACCTGGCAGGGGAGGGAGATGGGAGAAGATGCTGAGATGGAATAGAAGGGGAATGTCCCCTCCACTCCCAGCACCAAACCACCACAAAACACATCTCCAGGCAGGCCCAGTTCATCCATAGGGCTTTGCCTCTTCACCGTGGCAAGTCCAAGGGGATCTTGTCAGTGGGGCCCCGGCAGATGCCCAGCCATGGCAACATTGGCGCTGGCCCTGCCTGCTTTGCATGCATAAAACCCTAGGTTCAGTCCCTTGGGCGTCCAGGTAAGAGACAATGAGAGAGAACTCTACCCAAGACCCCAGAGAGCCACTGCTAGTCATTGTTGGCAATACTGGGCTAGATGGGCAAATACTCTTGACTTGGTATAAGACAGTATCTTGGGTTTCTTAACATGGTATGTTTCCAGGAGCTTACCTTGCCGTGCTGTGTATTCATTGTCCTCAATGAGGCGGGCCAGGCCAAAGTCAGCAATCTTGCACACTAGGTTGTCGCCCACAAGGATGTTGGCAGCACGCAGGTCCCGGTGGATGTAGTTCATCCGCTCAATGTACGCCATTCCAGCTGCAATCTTGGGTGGTGGAGACGTGAGAATGCAACAGGGAGGTGGGTGACTCAAATGATGTCGCTCATTGCCCAAGGATCATCTTCATACTTTAGCCTTCCTCTGACTTAAGGTCTCTTCAGACGCTGTTGGACTACAACTCCCATCAACCCTGAATGTTGACTGTGCTGTGCTATGCTGGCTAGTACTGATGGGAATTGTAGTCCAAAACATCTGGAGGGCACCCTGTTGGGGAAGTTTGTCATACAGTCTATTATCCCTTTCTAAAGAAAAGAATGAGACTGAATGACAGGCATGCTTGCTTATTTCACATTTCCTTAAGCTGTCTAGGGAATTTTATTGTTAAATTAAATGTAGCTTCCCCAAGTGCCCCCCACCCCAGTTACCTGGGCTGCCATGTCTACCAGCTGAGGTAACTTCAGGAACCGGCCATCGCCATCCTTCAAAAAATCCAGCAAACTCCCTGTGAAGGGCAGAGTCAGGAGATCAGACCAGCATCTTGTTAGGATCTTTTCCCAATAACCCACCAGCGGCAGCTGCCCATCAACCACTTCACCCAGTTTCTCTGTCCGGTCTACTTTCCATGCCCAGTTTCCTGCCACTGCCCTTTCCTTGCAGGAAGCAGCTGGGGAATGAGTCTTATCAGCCTTCCTAAATCTGGCACCCTTCCAGTGGTGTTGGACTCCAGGTCCCATGAGCCCTAGCCAGTGTGGCCAATAACCAGGGGCAATGGCAGTTGCAGTCCAACAACATCTTGGAAAGTGGGCGCTAGGTTGGGAAAGGCTGAATGCATATGATGAACTTTTCCATGATAGACTAGACAATTGGGTTAGTGCAGAGGTAGCCAATGTAGTATCCTTCAGATGCTGCCAGACTCCATCTCCCATTATCCCTGACCATGAGTCATGCTGTCTGGGCCTGATGAGAGTTGGAATCCAGCAAGATCTGCAGGGCATCACATGGACTACTGCTGAGCTAGGCCATCAGTGGTTTTATAACTGAACTAAAAAGGCTGCAATTGCACAGGGACCCAACACCATTGACCTCCCAGGTACCTTCCAGAATTCCATTTCAAACATAAGAGAAAAACCACAGTTCCCTGGTACATGGACAAGCCTGCACCAATCTCAGGCTCACATGCTCTCCCTCCACCAAGTCCCTCCCTCTTTCTCAACTGCAAGGAGGACTGGAAACTTCCATTCTCTGACATCCATTCTCAGGGAACTGTGCTTTGTCAGCTTAGTCCCAAAGTTGCGGCTGAAGAACTCAGCAGGGAAGGAGGCGGGGACAAAGCTAGAATAAATGGTGTGTGCCCCATCAGTGGCTGTGGCTCCACCTGCTGTGGGCTTTGCTGCCTCCTGCCCTACCATTCCCAGTTGTGACCCCCCCCCCATGGATTGGTCTAATACCCTTTTCAAGCCGGTCAAATTGCCGGCCATTGCTATATCTTGCAGGAGCCAGTTCCATAGTTTAAACCATGCACTGTGCAAAGTTGAACTTCTTTTTGCCTGCTTTGAAATCTCCCGCCCTTGAGCTTCCTGGGATGCCCCTGGGTTGCAGCTAGTTGCTTGCCTGCCACCCGGAAGCCTTGGCGCCCTCCCACCAGCCTTGGCCTTGGCCATGCCAACATATGGCCGCACCTTGGCTCATGAACTCGGTGACGATGTAGATGGGCTCCTCCGACACCACCGCGTACAGCTGCACCAGCTTGTCATGCCGAAGGCGCTTCATGATCTGGGCCTCTTCCAGGAAGGCTTCCGGAGACATGGTCCCTGGCTTCAGCGTCTTCACCGCGACTTTCGTGGTGCCGTTCCAGGTCCCTGGAGCCAGCGGGAAGCACGGGAAAGAGTCACCGAGGGGGATGGCAAGGGGGCACCCACCAGAGCGAGGACACTTCCTTGCGCTCTCCCACCTTGACCCATGTGGAGATGGAGATGGATGGGAGGGGGAAGTTATGCCAGATCAGGATGGTGCCCCCTCAGCAGAGAGGTGAAACGTGTGGGATGGAAGGAATGCCCTCCTTCTGAAAAACCCAACCCAGAAGGGCCAATTCCACTGCTTCCACCCTTGTCTAACTTCCTAGCTGAAGAGCAATCCTTTTCCAGTACATGTATGTCCTTCTCATTTGTTCTGTTTTGCTAGTAGTAGGGAAGGGGCCAGGAACTATGCAGCACACTGGAAGGCTCAGTCCCCGAGCAATGGAAATCCAGCTCAATCATGACCCCGCCCCATAGGAGCCAACACCTAGTTGTTGAAGTCCCTTCGCCCCCCTCCCAATAAAATGGGAGGCCTTGAAGTTGATGGTCCTTGCCACTCTTGTGATAGGTTATGCTGGGTGGAGCTTCTCCCCGCCCCCCAAATTTTATTCAAGTTGGCACCCCCGCCTCGCCCTCCCTACTTTGCAAGCAGCTGGCTTCTGAGAGTTCACCACTTCTGACTCTGAAGGCAGCAAGGGCCAAAAAGCAGCACTTATATTTAAACAAAGAAACGAAGAGCTTTGCTTCTCAGGAAGTTGCAGATCCAGTACTAAACCCTGTGCTTTCAAGGACTGATCACTGAACATCGCAGCTCTGCAGGGTGTGATGCACTTACTGGCTGCTCTTAAAAGCTACGAGGAGTGGTCTGCACCAAGAGAGACCCCCTGAGCCTGTTCTGAATAGGAAGAATAGCAGTAGCAGAAGACCTTTCCAGGCAGAAGATTTTGCCCTGCCTTTCCACTCTGAGATCCTTGTGACTGGAGATGCCAGTGACTAGATGAAGGATGGGTCACCTGCGGCTCTCTAGAGGTTGCTGGACTACAACTTCCACCATCCCTGACTGTTGGCCACACTGGCAGGGGCTGATGGGAACTGGAGTCCAACAACTTCCAGAGAGCCACAGGTTCACATCTCCTGGGTGACGTCTAGGACCTTCTATATACAAAATTTAAAATTCGGCTTTGTAATTCGGAATTTATGTGATGTGATTTAATTTGATTTGATTGGCCGGTTAATAAAAATTATTTTTTTAAAAAAGGACCTTCTATATACAACGCATGCATTGTCCTGCTGTTGAGCTACAGCCTTTCCAAAGGAGGCAGGATACTGATCTTTCCTAGGTATAAAATCAGCAGCACCTCCCAAAAGTTGCCTGATCCTAAAATGCACTCTCATTCCATGGGCTTCCTCCACCCACCTCCAACTCATGTGCCCTCCAAGCTACAGAGTGACCCTGGAAGGCCCCCACCTTACCCATCCACACATCTCCAAAACATCCCATGCCAAGCTTCTTGTCAAAGCGTATGGACTCGCGCAGGATTTCCCAAGCGTCCTTAGACAGGCCCATAGTCTGGGGTTTCGGAAAAGGGCACACCCTGGTTAGTAGTTGGCAGAGACCATCATTGTACTCTGTAATGGATGGAATGGGGTGGGATGGAGAAGGTGGGAGAGAGAGAGAGAGAGAGATAGAATGCGAGATGGAAAATGGAGTGATGGATTCCACATGCACCCAGGAGGGACGGACAGGGACCAGGAGGGGGAGGAAGAGGAGTATGGCACCAGGCCCCATATTATATCAGGCAGAAGTATCTGCTTTGACCACTAGTTGGTGCCCTTGGCTTACTTTTAGAGCAGCCGCTCTCTGCACAAGAATAGATTTCCCTTTTTGACTTGCATAGAAAGAGAGCATTAGGGCAGGTTCAAGCTTGCCTGCAGAAATCACCTCCATAAAGTTAATGCCTGGCCACTCTTACCCAAGTTATTGATGAAGTGGCACTATACTACTGTATTGACGCTGTTTCGGTATTTACGCGAACTGCTTTGAGCGCAGATGGAGCATAAGAACATACAAAGAGCCTGTTGGATCAGGCCAATGGCTCCTCTAGTCCAGCATCCTGTTCTCGCAGTGGCCAAGGAGATGCTTCTGGGATCTGAGCACAAGAGCCCTCTCTCCTCCTCTGGTTTTCAGCAATGGGCATTCAGAAGAAGCATTGCCTCCGAACAAATCAACACAGGCTGATTGTAATCTCACCCTATGGTGACTTTTGCATGTTGGAATGAAGATGTTAAATCAGGGGTCACCAACCTACGGCCTGGGGGCTGAATAAGGCCCGAGGGACCCATTTATCCGGCCCGCGGCAACCCCTGCTGCCGCCCATTCTTACTGGCGCGGCACAGGGACATGCTTCCGGGTCAGAGGAGCACTGGAAATAGCTTGTGCGCATGCACATGGGCCTCCTCTGACCCAGAAGCGCACTGGAAATAGCATGTGCGCACGCGTATGGGCACGCTCTCTCCAGCCCGCCACACGATCGTCGCTTGAGACACCGGCCTGAGGCAAGGAAAGCTTGGAGACCCCTGCGTTAATTGATGTGCATGTGCCCTCTTTTTCCTGTTTCTTCCCGAAAGGCACAATAATGTGAAGACGTTAGCAGCCCTTGATAGCAAGACTATAGCAATGGAGACAGACTTGAATGGGTTTAAAAGAGAACTAGACAAATTCATGGAGAATAAAGCTATCAGTGTCTACTAGCCACGATGGCTGTGCTCTGCCTTCAGTCTGCCTCTGAACCCCAGTTTCTGGGAATCTCAAGTAGGGAAAGAGTTGTTGCACTCAAGTCCTGCTTGCAGGCTTCCCAGAGTCACCTGTTTGGCCACGGCGAAAACAGGACGCTGCATTAGAAGGGCCTTTGGCTTGGTCCAGCAGGGCCCACTGGATGTTCTTGAGATGCCACTTTGTGTGGGCATGCCCACCCCGTGACTGGCACTCGGCCTGGTGTCTTTGCCTTCTTCCTTCTCCCCTCTAGGGCCCCGTCTCCTCTGTTCTCGCGGTCAGTCCTACCCATCCACACTTCCCCAAACTGCCCGTTGCCCAGTTTCTTGATAAGCTGCAGCGATTCGCGCGGGATCTCCCAAACGTCTTTGGTTTTGACGGACAGGTCTGCCAGCTTGGGCATCCCTTTGTGACATGGCACAGCCAGGCGGCAGCACAGCCCTGCAGCTCTCTCTTGAAGAAGGAGCCCCGGAAAGCAAGGATTGGGTGCGGGGGTAAAAAAAGGGGAATACACATTTTTAAAAAAGGGGGGGGGAGGAAGAAGAAGAGTTAAAGAACAGTAAGATAGCCAGTGCAGAACAAGTTGGTCACCAAGGAGGAAATGCCCTTTTACTACACAGAAACTGAAGCGGTAGCAAAACCATTGCACTCACTGGATTTGCCAGTAGCAATTCCCAATCCCCATAACCTACACCCGACAGGCAGCCGTTTCCCAGAGTTTCTCAGCACTACCAGGAGATGCTGAGGATTTGTCCGGAGCAAAGAGGAAGGACAATATTCCAAGTCCTAGGCTTAGAGACGAAGGATTCCAGCGGTGGAGGCTCCATTAGGGCATATGGGTCTTTGCTCCATCATCCTCGGCCGGCCCCCACCCTGTCACCCTTCCTGTCCAGGGCATAGCACTGCCTATCAGCTTCCTCCTCCTTAGACTCAATGGTGCCCCCTGTAGGGAGGGAGGAGGGTAGGGACAAAACTAGACTGGGAGGGAGGAGGGTAGGAACAAAACTAGACTGGCTCTGGCGCCCCCTACTGTTGGGCTCCCTGCCTTCCGTCCCACCAGTGCCAATGGATGTCATCCACCGCTGGATTCCAGGAAACCACTTCCAGGAAGAGTTGAGCTTTGGCACCTCCACACAATACATTTAAAGTCCTCTATTATATATAGTTTTATAAGAGGCTTCTTCCCCCAGAGAACCCTTGGAACTGAAGATTGCTCAGGATGCTGACCCCACAGACCTACTTCTCCCAGCACTCTTGGCGAACTACAGTTCCCAGGATCCTCCATTGCTCTTAAAGAGGTATAAAGGAGTGCTTTCAATATACAGTGTGGAGGCGACCTTTGTGAAATGAAACATTCCAGCCACCCAAATCTTCGAAGGGCTGGAGGAGGAGGGTCCAGAGTCCCTGTCTCTTCTTTGATGCTCTCCTGCTGATCCCTCCCCACAACACCCTACCTATATAATGCTGGACCAGCTGCTGCACCGTCTCAAACTGGGCCCGGGTGGTGATGTAATAGCCGCCGTTGTCCAGCTTCCGGATCTTATAATGCTTGACGTGGTCGCCCTTCACTTCATCCCAGTCCCGGATGGATAGTGAGTAGGCACCTAGGAGGAAGAGACCCGGAGGCAGAGGCGGGTCCCGAGGGAGGAGCAAAAGCAAAATGGAAAACATTCCTTAGACACTGATTGGTGCACAGTTGTGGAATAACCTATCAAAATCCAGGGATGGAGAAGCCAAGGACCCACCCCTTCTCTGAAGCCCCGCCCTTCAGCTTTGAACTATGTATGCCGCACTGAGTTCCTTGGAGGAAAAGGTGGGAAATAAATGTAATAAAGGCAAAAATAATGATAAAGGAATGATCGAGACGTAATTGCACAGCAAGGCAGCAGGTGGTGCTGTACTCCATGAGGCCAAGTCAAAAGGGATTGCATTTCCCACCTATTTGGGAGATGAACCTTCTTCTTCCATAAGTTACTTTGATTTCTGTGTCCTCCCTGGGGTCTTTTAGGACCCTTCTGTTTGCACACCTAGCGTGCCCAAAGCACAGATGACCTGTTTAATGAGCTGTCATCCTGATGTGTTTACAGGGAGAATAGCTGACGTTTTTAAGCAGAGGTTGGACAGCCACCTGTCATGTATGATCTAGTTGAGATTCCTGCATCGCAGAGGTTTGGACTAGATTACCCTTGGGAGAAAGGTGCTACCTTTGGTGGTCTCGCTCTCGCGGATGAGAAAAGTTCCCCGGGGGTTGCCATGGCACAGAAGCTGCCTCTCGGCATCCTTGCGGCCAATTTTCCCAAAGTACCATCTGGAAAAAGAAGATTTAGAAGTGAATGCTTGGAGGCGGAGGGGAAGAGGACCTGGGCCAATTGCCAGCTTCTGTAGAGCAGAGAGAGGTTCAGTCCTTCTGGGTGCTGCTTCACCAGCGTGTTTCCTGTGGGGGAACAGACCCCTCTTCCCCACTCCTGTCACTCAAGTTTGACCCCCTGGGGATGCGGGGAGATAAGTGATCTAGCCCGCCAGGCCAGAAAGTTTCCTTACCCGGCTAAAAGCAAATAATCACCTCCTTTGAGTACCTCTCCCCTTTCCCACCCCCTGCATGCCCCCCCTCCAGATGCCGCCATACTTACTCTTCTGCCTGGATGGAGTCCACGGGTGCCACGTAATTGCTAGGGATGTAGCCCGTCGCTCCTGTGTTGAGAGACCTCGCCTCCCACCAGTCACCCTCCCTGGAGAAACAGGAGAGAGAAAAGAAACCAGTGAACCATGAGGAAGGGTTGGAACTAATGACTCTTGTGCTCCCTTCCAACTCTACAGATCTATAAAGCTCACCCAGGTGGAGGAATAGCTTAGTGGCAGAACCCAGGCTTTTGCATTCAGAAGGTCTCAGGTTCAATTCCCAATGTCTGATTTTTCTTTTCTTTTCTTTTAATCTGTTTTAAACACTATTCTTTTCACCTGGTTTGTTCTATTGTATATTTTAATTAAGGATGAATTGGTTTTGTTTGTGTTTTTATTAGGTAAAGGTAAATGGACCCCTGACCATTAGGTCCAGTTGCAGACGACTCTGGGGTTGCGGCGCTCATCTCGCTTTATTGGCTGAGGGAGCCGGCGTACAGCTTCCGGGTCATGTGGCCAGCATGACTAAGCCGCTTTTGGCGAACCAGAGCAGCACATGGAAATGCCGTTTACCTTCCCGCTGGAGCGGTACCTATTTATCTATTTGCACTTTGTGCTTTTGAACTACTAGGTTGGCAGGAGCTGGGACAGAGCAACGGGAGCTCACCCCCATCGCGGGGATTCGAACCACTGACCTTCTGATCGGCAAGTCCTAGGCTCTGTGATTTAACCCACAGCACCTTTTAATTAGGTGTGGATTTTGTAGCTGATTGTATAGCTGTAAACCACTTAGAAGCCACTTATTTTATAATTATTATTTATTAAATATGTAGACCGCCCTTCATCCAAAGAGCACAGGGTGGTTCACAACATGGAAGTGGCATATAAATTAATAAGAATACATGCACTGTCTCTCATCGGCCCCAGTGAGCATGGCCAAGGGCCAGGATTGGTGAGGGTTGTAGCTGAGCCAACTCTAGAGCACCAAACGTTCTGTACTCCTCCTTTAAGCCATACTATAAGCCAATACTCACATATTGTTAATTATGTGGAATTTCTCTCCTTTCTTGAACGTGAGGTCGTCCTCTGTTCTGGCTTCATAATCGTACAAGGCAACAAACAGGGTCACTCCTCCACCTGCAGGGGGCAGCAGCAGAAAGGCAGTGAGAGGACCCAGCAAAAGCTGCAGAGGCAGCTCCAGCTCAGGAGAAATCCCCAGGTATGTTACCTATGAGCATGGTATTTCCTGAATTACAATCGGTCCACAGGAAATGCCAACGCCACCTGGGCTGCATCCAACAGGTTGTCCAGAAATAACTTTGTAAGCATAAAAGCTCAGATGCGAGGAACAAATGTGTGTTGTCGTGTCCCCCCCCCCCCTGCATCTCTCCCTGGCCCTCAGGACTCTCTCCAGCCACTACTGCTCTCTCCCTATGCCACACTCCTCACTGGCCCTGCTTTCTACTCCTCTTGAGTGCTTTTGTCTGACTGGCGTGTGTCCTTGAGCTCTGAATCTGGGCACCACAATTTAAGAAGGATGTTGACAAGCTGGAACATTTGCAAAGGAGGGCGACCAAGATGGTCAAGGGTCTGGAAACAAAGCCTTATGAGGAACAGTTAAGGGAGCTGGGAATGTTTACCCTGGAAAAGAGGAGATATAGCCACCTTTGAATATCTGTAGGGCTGTCACATGGAGGATGGAGGAAGCTTGTTTTCTCCTGCTCTGGAGGGCAGGAAATGTGCCAGTGGCTTCAAGTTGCAAGAAGGGAGTTTCAGGAAGAACTTTCTGACAGTAAGAGCTGTTTGAAAGTAGGACAGTTTCCCTCAGGAAGTGGTGGACTCTCCTTCAATGGAGGCTTCAAAGCAGAGGTTGAACGGCCATCTGTCATGGATGCTTTAGCTGAGATTCCTGCATTGCAGGGGGTTGGACTAGATGACCCACAAGGTCCCTTCTAAATCTATGATTCCGTGATCATGCTGCTTGATTGCCTGATTGGAGGACAGAGGGGACTGTGTGTTCTTGTATACCTAGCAACCATCCTCCTGTACAAAGGTAAAATTGGCATCCATTGCCCCACCCATGTTAACCTCTGGCTCCTCCCACCACTGGCATGTGGCCCCCAAAGGTTTGTTGAGAAGGAAATGTGGCCCTAGGACTGAATTGGTTTCTCCACCCATGACTTAGGCCTGCCCCAAAGGGTTGGCCCAACCAAAGCAAGCATTCGAGGCTTGCCCACCACACCTGAGTCCTCTAGCTGCAGCCTTTCCTGAGAGACTGACCTGCAATCCCGGCTCCAGACATGGGGAGGGAGCTGGGATACAGGCTGGACCCCCCCATGAAGGCCGGAGTGGAAGGCCCCGAGGTCCCTGCCTGGAAGTTGTTGTAGTCGGGGATGCGCGTGAACGTGTTGGTGGGGTTCTGTGGGGTGGGGTCAGGATCGTAGCAGGAGTTGGGCTGCAGGTTTGCCATCCCATCGCCGCCATTGCTGGGGTTTTTATTGGGCCTCTTCCTTTTGCATTGCACACAACCCATCGCTGGCAGCACCTGAAATGGAATAAGAGAGACAGACGGAGAGAAGATAAATTAGGACTGGATGAAACACTGAGGGCTGCAGGGACATTTCAGGGTATAGGAGTAGGGATGGGTTGGTTTTGTTTGCATTTAAATGAGAAACTACCTCATTTACACTTTTTTCGAACCAGAATGTGAACCAAAACACAGCAAGCCTTCAAAACTCACACTTCTCCGAGTTTTGCGGTTTCATTCTCCAACCAAACAGTGCATACTGAAGAATAATAACAGCATGTGATCTGAAATGTGGGGAAAGGAGCAACTGCCCCCTCCACATTATTATTATTATTATTATTATTATTATTATTATTATTTAGGCGCCAGGCAAAAGCATTCCTCTTCTCCAAGGCCTTTGGCTGATTAAACAATCTGTGGCCTTTTAAACTGTGTGTGGTGGGGGATTAATGTTTTGTTTGTATTTTTATGTTTTTATATTGTCAACTGCCCTGTAATCCTCAGGTGAAGGGTGATATAGAATTTTTATGATTATGATTATTATTACCTAACCTTCACATAAGGTTATAGAACCATAAAATGGTAGAGTGGGAGAGGAACATGAGTGTCATGTAGTCCAATCTTTCGCCCAACATAGGGCTCGAACCCACAACCCTGAAATTAAGAGTCTCATGGTCTCCAGACTCCCTGTGGGTGTGTTTTAGCAACTTGAAATACACTTTTAAAATCTGTTTAAAACAAAATATGGTCAAGAGAATACAGAAGGTAGTGTGCGTGTGTGTGTGTGTGTGTGTGTGAGAGAGAGAGAGAGAGAGAGAGAGAGAATGTGAAAGTCCAAGCCTAAAGAGCTGCATCTTCAGCATACAATGGAAAGTTCTGTACATAATGGAGGTGCCTGATGCACCTCTGTTGGAATGGAGTTCCACAACATAGGAGCTGTCCTCTCCTGGGCCTCTGAGGATGGAGGAACTACCAAGAAAAGCCTCCTGTGCTGACCTTAACATCCAGGAGGGTCTGTAAGGACCCCGACTATAAGCCATGAGGAGATGATATGATCATAAAGGGTTGCAGCTTTACTCCATTGCCCATCAGGAAAGGAAGGCTCTCGAGATCCGTCTGTGCAAGACATACAATGCCGTACAGGTGGGTGGGTGGGTGTGGAGATGGTGCAACATAACTTGAAGCTGGAGGCAGCGGAGGAAGAAAGGTAGCTTGCTGGCTTTATTTTTCTCAAGGACCGTCAAGCTGTGATTCTCTCCCCCTCCTCCCCCAACCACAATTCTTCCTTTCTGCCACATGCCGGTTGCATGGCAACGTGTCTGGGACATCAGCCGAAGGGAAGAGACATGGTAGGCTCTATAGGGCCAGGAGTTCATGGAGAAAACTTGGAACAGTTCAGAATGGCCCCGTTGGAACTGGAGTTATTGGGTTGTATCCAGCTAAGTTTTACTCAGCGTAGACCCCCTGAAATTAAGGGACCTCTCAGTCATTTTCAGTGGTCTACTCTCAGTAGGACTAATGCTAGAGATGGCCCATTAACAACCTAAGAAGAGCCTGCTGGATCAGGCCAGTGACCAACCAGAAGCTTGTGGAAAACCTATAAGCAGGATTCAAGCACAGGAGGCCCACCCCCTACTGTGGTTCCAAGCAAATGGTATTCACATTAGGACTGCCAGACGTGTTTGTGGGGTTATTTTGGGGCCTGGGAGTTAAAAAAAGATCTTTGGTGCCTCAAGGCACATCCACGCCAGACAATGAGCAATCTCTTTGAATGGTCACCTCTGAAATTCAGTTTATGGAAATTCCAGGAGGGGAGAAGGCACTTGTGCTCTGGCCCTGCTTAGGGACTTCCCACAGGCGAGACCAGGATGCTGGGCTAAGTGCTCAAGGCCCGGAGAAAGTGTGAGGAGGATAGAGAGAAGTCAGCGCAGACATAAAGGGGTACAGGTATTGTCTAGGAATCTGGACGTCTCTTACTTTATCTGTCTAAACCCTATGAAAACCCCTATCAGCAAGCTGCGTTGCATTCGATTTTCCGGAATTGATTTCCAGTGACAAACTAAGCAATTGTTTTGGATGCCGGAATTTCAGGGAGGCTTCATTGACTGTGTTAACAAATTGGAGAGAAGAACTACGGCCTGCATTTTTGGAGGAGGTGCACAGCACAGAGGAAGCAGAACATCTTGCCAGCTGGGTGATATTCCCTGCAATCCGGGAGACATAAAACTGAGCGCCTTCTGATCTCTCTCAGCCATCTGGAGTACCGATACAGTGAGAGAGAGAGAGAGAGAGAGAGAGAGAGGGAGAGGGAGGGCGCGCACACAGAAGATGGAAGAAGATGTTCAGAACAAAAGCAAGGAAACCATATCCTGGTTCAATGTTCCACAAAATAAGGTGCCAAAGTTATGCTGCTCTAAGCCCATTGACGACCAGTTTATTGAGTTTATTCATTCCGATCTGTGTGCAGGTTGGTAAGAATGGCTGGTTAATTAGCATTAATTCTGAACAGATTGCGGGGAGGTTAGATGGTATTGCATCACAGGCGTAGCCAAGCTTGCCCCCCAATCAATAAAACTACATTGCTAACTGAGGTTCTGCCCCCCCCGCCCCAACAAAAGGCCTGCCCCCGCCTAACAAAAATCCTGGCTACGCCCATGCATTGCATGAAAAGCAAGTGTTATCTCACACTTTCTAGTACATTTCTCCATCATTTTCCCTACTGCAAAAATTCCAATCTTTTGGGGAAACAAGTTTCTTGCATAAGACCTCCAAATCAACTGTAACTGTCCCTGTACCCTGACTTTGAAATTGACAGCATTTTAATATAGTTTTCTGTTTCTTGGATGAATTTTAATTGTTTTTATTCTATGCATTTTTTTTTATTTAAAAACCCAGAACATTTTACAGTGGTACCTTGGTTTGCAAACAGTCTGGTCAGCATATGTTTTGGATTACAAGCACATCAAACCCGGAAGTACGTGTCCTGGATTGCAACCTTTTTTTGGATTACAACCCATTTTGGGGGGATTACAAACAAAAAAAATTTGGAGGCCCCATTGGCGAAAGCGCGCCTTGGGTTACAACCTGTTTTGGTTTACAAACGGACCTCCAGAATGGATTATGGTTGTAAACCAAGGTACCACTGTATCTCACACCGCTTAGAAATTGTGAATATTAAGCAGTATATAAATCAGTGGAGGCCGCACCTTCTTACAGCAGCCCGAATAGCTCTGTGTCAAGCATTGAAGAAATCTGACCATGCAGAATAGAAAATTGAGACTAAGATTCTAAATGTAGCTCAGATGGCCAAACTTGCAGATATAATAAGGATTATAGAAGGCTGGCAGTGAGATTTATAGAAAAGTGGAGCTTGTTCACATATTGGAAAGAAAGGGCACAGGAGGCGATAAATCCATATTGGTTATTAGGGGAGGTACAGTTTTAAACATATCGGAACTCCGGTTAGATAACGAAATATAGTTAGCTTAAGGAAATTCTGTTTAGAGCCCTGGTTGTTTTACAAATTAAAGGAAACAATCAGGTTAACTTATAATGGATAATGTTGAATGAGTTTGCACAATATACATATTTAGCATGAGAGCTTGTCACTCTAAAGAACCTTTGCTGCAGCAGGGATTTCAGTAGCATGGCAATGGAAAAGTTTGAAAAAATATACGTTTGTCCTTGTAGTTTAAGAACTTATGGTTTTTGTGGAAGAAATAACACATACATTTGTGTGTCTCCAAAGGAATGGAGGCCCAGAACAATTCCACACCAGCTGGGGGAATTTTATTTCCTCTGCTTTGGACTTAGATGCTCCACGTTCACCATTTAAGCCAGCTTGGGAAATATGGGTGTCTTGATTTTGACTGCTGTGTGAGTATTCCTTTTTTGTTTTTGTATGTGGTACAATGTAATGCCCTGCTACTGTACTTTTGGGTTGTCAGAAATAAATTTTAAAATGCTTTTTAAAAAAAGATTTTGCAATTATTATTATTATTATTATTATTATTATTATTATTATTACCAAGGTCTTGGGAGAGGTTACAACACGAAAACACAATATTAAAAACAACTTGCAACTTACTTACTTACTATGTGTATTTAATGTTTAGATAACGTTTGTATATCTATGGACAGATGAATTTAGTCTTAGTTATTTGCATTTAATGATTGAAAACACGCACACGATCAATACATAGACATAGAGATTTATATCCACACACCCCTGAAATACATAAAATAAACAAATCAGTCCCTGTATGGGCTGGAGGAGGGATTTTAATTTGCCCAGGGAAGGCAAAACAAAATCCACATGTGCCGCCCCCCCCCCCCACCATGCCACCTTCAGAAAACAAGCTCTTCCCATCTTCGTGGAAGGAAAGCGAGTGCAAAGCTGCATCTAGACGGGCCCTTAGGCAGAGTCTGGATCTGCAAGTAGTGAAGGAATGCAGGCAAGGCGCCCAGGAGGGGGGTGGGGTGGGAGGGAGCATCTCTTAATCCGGAGTGACAGGGACATTAGAGACACCTGCCACCGACAGCCCTGGGTTAGTAGGACAGTGGGAAGCAAGTGAGGAATGGTTGGCGCTGGGTCGGGGGGAGGTAAGATATATATAAACATGCAGAGACAATAACATTGCCAGGGGTTTCTTCTCTCAGACCCAGACTGAGGAACCACGGCTGTTGTCTAGGGGATATTTCTCATACAACCAATAACTGGGGCACATTGCAGCATTAAAACAATATATTTGTAGCCTTCTGTCTTGTTGCTTATTTGTGGGTTTTGAAACTGCATTTATTGTGTAGTGCCATTGATTGACCCCCACACTGGAAAAGGGATATTGGGGGATTCTGATGAAAATGGAAGCAAAAATTGCTGGTATTTGCTTATTCATCCCATGTCTAGAACAGAAATCAATCCAGCAAAACAGGATTGGCATTTGCTCTCATTGCTTTCCGTCTGCAAACAATATGTAATTGATTGCGTTTTCTTCCCCTGTTTGCGTTGTCGGACCTTTGTGCTGAAATGAACGGGGAGGAATAATATAATGGCAATGTAATTTATGTAATTAATTATGTAAGTCAGTACTTTCACCGGTGGACAGCGAGACGAGTAACTTAGTTTTTTGTTGGAAAATGAGCTGCAGTGGAATGGAAACAGAGTTCCATGCAACAAATACAGGGCAGAACAGAAATTGATGTCTTCTTGCATCTCTACCCTGGAATATTTTTATCAGGGCTGGCTCCAGGATTTGGGGAGCCCTCAGTGGACCCCCTAACCTGGGAGAGGCAGGACAAGCAAACTGTGATTTCATCTATGCTGCAACTGAGATTCTTGGGTATTCTGTGCAAGGTAGAAATGGTACAAATGTCAGGGCAGTGGTCCCTTTACTGGTCTTGTAGCCCAAACAAATAACCAAGCTAGCCACCCGCTGGTGATGACCCTGTCTTTCGATAAATATTATAAATTTTTTTTTAAGTAATATTGTCCCGCGTTGAAAGGGACCATGAGGGTCATCTAGTCCAACCCCTACAATGCCCAACATGTCAGGATAAAGAAATGTATTTTAAGTGGACACTTTACCCTGGTATATCCACCTCCATCGTTCTGCCCGGACGCTGAGGTCCAGCGCCAAGGGCCTTCTGGCGGTTCCCTCACTGCGAGAAGTGAGGTTGCAGGGAACCAGGCAGAGGGCCTTCTCAGTAGTGGCACCCGCCCTGTGGAACGCCCTCCCACCAGATGTCAAAGAGAAAAATAACTACCAAACTTTTAGAAGACAACTAAAGGCAGCCCTGTTTAGGGAAGCTTTTAATGTTTAATAGGTTATTGTATTTTAGTGTTCTGTTGGAAGCCACCCAGAGTGGCTGGGGAAACCCAGCCAGATGGGCAGGGAATAAATAATATATTATTATTATTATTATTATTATTATTATTATTATTATTATTATTTTCGGTACATGCTGCTTGGCCAGAGAACTGCATTATGAAATTCAGAAAAGTGCAAATTTCAAATTTCATTGTTTCGGAAACTGCAAATTAGGCTAAGTTTGCCTTTAGGATGTGAACTGACTCCAATTTCTCCCCTACCATCTGCCCACTTACCAGGCTGTCCCGTCAGGTCAGTGCTGCTGTGTCATGTCTGCTGCTGGACGGGAACACGTGCCTAAGAAAGAACAGCAGGAAAACAAACAGAAAGGGGCTTGGTTACTACCCAGAGATACTAAATCACATGCCCTACACTGTTATAGCCCCTCCAAGGTACAAGTACTTAGCACACTGGCATCCATCCATTGCAGTGTCCTTGCAGCCAGGTAGGAATCCTTATGTCAAAACTCACAACACAGGTGACCCAGATGATGGTCCCATTCCTCTGATGGACATTGCAAAAGACATTGCAAGTCTGCATTGCATTTACTGAGCATTTGATTGTCTTGCACAAAGTTTACGCAGAGGGTAGATTATACCTGGCCTTTATGGAGCATTTGTTCTGATTTGTTTGTGAGGTCATAGAACCTTGCAATCTGGTCATTATAAGGACAAATGTTTAAGAATTAGTGCCTGAGTTTGATCTTCATTTTCCTCTTCCCTCCCTATCCCTTTCCCCTTCTGTGTCATGTTTTTTTGTTTTTTTAACTTGAATGCCTGTGGGCAGAGACCAGCTTGGATTAATTGACTGTATGCAAGCCACTCTGTGAGCCTTTTTAGAGTGGGGTACAAATGCTCTAAATAAGTAAATAATAATAAATATTAATAATAAGCATTTGTTCTGCATTCATCCTGAATTGCTTGCAGGGTGCTTATAAGTCTTCCTGTTGTTTATTAATTCCACACTTTCCGATTCATTTCCCTGTCACTTTCCAAACTACAAAAAGTCTCTTTTTTAAAAAAAAGGTATGTTTGTTGTGCTAGGGCAACACAGTCTTTTAATCCACTCTGAAGGCACAACACTAAAGTTCTGGTATTCACTTGAATCCCTCCTGCAAAATACTGAAGGTTGTATCCAAACTTGTGCAGATAACATGTTCCACGAGCACAAGGATTTCTGCTTCTGCAGCAGGACTCTCCCATTTCTCTCCCCTCCCCCCAGTGCATCCACTAAATCTTTTCTATGTTTTTAGCTGTTCTGATTTTTATCTGTAAGCCGCCTTGAGTCCCTGTCAGGGGAAAAGGCAGGGTATAAATGTACACACAACAACAACAAGTGTGCCCCAGCCCTCAGGACCAGATCTGGGTTGGGCACAAGGCACACTTGGAAGGAGAAGACAGCGTGTGTTCCTTTGATACTGCCCTGACCGTCTGGGTCCTGGGAGGTACCAGGTTCGATCTCTGGCTGTGGAATATGGTGGGGATAAGACTCAGCCTTGTGCTCAAATCCCAGGAGGGTTAAGGGGGCCAAGCCACTTATTTGTTATATTTCCTTACTGTTCTTAGGATACAGGAAGGCTCAGTTGGTTAGAGGGTGGTGCTGATAACACCAAGGTTGCAGGTTCAATCCCCGTATGGGACAGTTGCATATTCCTGCATTGAAGGGTTGGACTAGATTATCCTCAGGGTCCCTTCCAACTTCTATGATTGCTCTATTCAAGGGTTTCCTGTGTTACCCGGGACCCAGGTGGTGCTGTGGGTTAAACCACAGAGCCTAGGGATTGCCGATCAGAAGGTCGGCGGTTCGAATCTCCGCAATGGGGTGAGCTCCCGTTGCTCAGTCCCAGCTCCTGCCAACCTAGCAGTTCGAAAGCACGTCAAAGTGCAAGTAGATAAATAGGCATTGCTCCAGCAGGAAGGTAAACGGTGTTTCCGTGCGCTGCTCTGCTTCGTCAGAAGCGGCTTAGTCATGCTGGCCACATGACCCGGAAGCTGTACACTGGCTCCCTTGGCCAATAAAGCGAGATGAGCGCCGCAACCCCAGAGTCATCCGCAACTGAACCTAATGGTCAGGGGTCCCTTTACCTTAACATTTACCTGTGTTACCCACTTCCCATCTCGCAATCAACACATGCAGAGAGAGGCTGTTATGTGTAAGTAAGGAAGAGATATTTACTCAGGGAAGCAACAGTACAGGCTTAGTAGCAGTTGCTGCCACCTTCTGAGTTACCTGCCTCCCTGCACTGCCTACTGCCCTCCCCAGCCTCCACTGAGACCCTCCACTTTGCCAGGAAGTGGGGGCAGGAAGGAGCTGGCATCCCTGTTCTCCCTTCTGAAGTGGCTGAAAGCAAGGTACACGTGGCAGAGCACTGCCTTCAAATCCCACTTCCCATCAGTCAGGCCCCTCCTCTTTGTTCCTTCTTCTTCCTGCTGCTGCTGTTGCCACCTTGGGGCTTGCCAGCCCAGTCCTGATCTTGACAGCATTGTGGGGCCCATGACACCCCCTCACTCCCTCACTCCTTCCAATTCCATCCTGCTTCCCTGTGGCTCTGCACTTAGCTAGGGGAGTCATAGAACTTGCAGGGCAAGGCAGGAGGTGGATTGGGATCTATTAGTACATTTCTGGGCGATTTGCCGTAAATTGGCAAGGCTTTGCAACTCCCAGTTGTTCAACTGCAACAACAAAATGACTCCCCCACCCACCCAATGCTTCCTAAATTAAGCTGCTGAAATGACAAAAAATAAAATAAAATGGTTGGAAAACCAGGAGTGGATTTTTGTCTGTGGCAGGATTGCAAGCTCAGCCCTGGTGCTCTTTCTTAATTCTAAGTGTATGTTTTCCCTATCCTTCCTCTTTTTGCACCTGACTCCAGCCAATGGACTTCAGGATTCCAGCAAAGAAACTGAAGAGTTGACCACACAAGCTTCAACGGAGCTTGTTCTACAGCATAAGCATTCTCAGCCATTTCCAGGTGGCCTGTTTATTGAGCACCCATCCTGATTGGGTTGCAAAGTTTGCAGAGAGGTGAGATGAAAGGCACTTCCAGATGGTTGCTGTTTCAAAATGGGATTCAATCACATACTGCCTCCTTGCGGGCTCCCCATCTGGTTGACTCCTGTGAAAACACAATGCTGGACTAGATGGGTCATTGGCCTGATCCAGCAGGCTCGTTCCTATGTTATTTTTCTTATTTAAGATATCCTACCCTCCAAGATTTCTCCAATGAAAATAGGGACATTCTGGGATCTAATCTGAAACCGGGGCGGCTTCTGTAAATCTGGGACTGTCCCTGGAAAACAGGGGCACTTGGAGGGTCTGAGACAGCTGTTAGGTTGCTTTTCTCACAGAGAGGCTTGTTATGCCCAGTTATTTTGCATTTAAAGGTAAAGGTAAAGGGACCCCTGACCATTAGGTCCAGTAGTGGCCGACTCTGAGGTTGCGGTGCTCATCTCGCTTTATTGGCCGAGGGAGCCAACGTACAGCTTCCGGGTCATGTGGCCAGCATGACTTAGCCGCTTCTGGCGAACCAGAGCAGCACACGGAAACGCCGTTTACCTTCCCGCTGGAGTGGTACCTATTTATCTATTTGCACTTTGACGTGCTTTTGAACTGCTGGGTTGGCAGGAGCAGGGACCAAGCAACGGGAGCTCACCCCGTCGTGGGGATTTGAACTGCCGACCTTCTGATCGGCAAGTCCTAGGCTCTGTGGTTTAACCCACAGTGCCACCCGCGTCCCTATTTTGCATTTAGGCACCTTAAATTGTTTGCTCACCGGTTTTCTCATGTCTGTGCCCAAACATGTGACCGTGCAATCTTGAGGGCTGCTGATTCCACACACTGCTAGCTCCCAAGAGCTGGAGCGAAGTCACTGTGCCTTCCCTTCATCCCTACCCCCACAAAAGCAGCAGCAGTAGCAGCAGCAGCGCCAGACTCCCTGCTCTGGGCCCTCTGCCGAGTTTGCTCTGCTCTCTGTTTCGCCACCAGGCCCATTTGCCGGCCAGGCAATTGTCACCCCCGATCTTTCTCTCCTGACGGCTGGTCTGTGAAATTGTTTTCCATGGTGGGTGCCTTAACACAATGGGAGCAAAGAACGACGGACTGAATTGGACGTGTCGTGGCTCAAGGGCATTGGGCGCCCTTCAAAGCGGCCCAAAGGGCAAGGGGTGGGGGGTGGCGGTGAGAAGGAAGATAGAGACCTCTGGGGAAGCCAGGACCAGCCAAGCCCACCACAGCTCTTTAACCCTTCACTGAGCAGTAACAAAGAGAGGTTCTGACGGAGACTGACATGTCTGTCTGTCGTTTGACATGCCGTCCTGTGCCTCTGATGGCAAACTGGTTATTCTAAGGCAGGGGTGGCAAACCTTTTCAGACTGAGTCCCCCATTCCCTTCTGGGCAACAGTCCAGGGGCCACGTGCCAGGAGTGGGAAGGACCAGAGGAAAAAGTGGAAAGAGCAAAGAGAGAGCGGGGAATTTATCACTGTACACTAAGCCAGTTTCTACACACACACACTCCTGTCTGTCCTCCATCCAGACAAGCAAAAATGCACCATCAGGGTTCAAGGAGATATTCCAGTGCAGCAGACCCAGGAAGGGCTGTGGCCTGAGGAGAGGAGCGGGACTGTGGCTGGGGGGAGTCCAGAGGGCCTGTTACAGTAGGCTAGTTTTTGCACAGGCTCACATTCCCCTTCTCTGCTCCAATTCCAGGTCAGCAAGAGGCAGTAAGTTGAAGAATGCATTCCACCCAAGTAAAATCTCTCAAGGAGGATGCGAAGCCAAGCCAGTGAGGCTGTGTAGCTCAGAAGGGTCAGGCTGGGCCGGGGTTACTTCACTCCTTTTGTAGATGCATTGTTGCATCTACAAAAGGAGTGAAAGGGGCGTCTATTTTTCAAGCCCTTTTCAGCCAGAACTCACCAGAACTCAGTTTTGGCACCTCTCAGGTGGGCGCCATTGTCATTAGAAGAGAACAAGGGTTCATGGTGAGTTCCAGCACCTCTTTTTCTAGAAAAATAGCACTGTTATTTAAAAATAATATATGTATAAATTTGTTTTCTGGAGATATGGAGAGTTAGAGATTGCTCTTACTTACCACCTCCCCCTCTTTCTCACCCCTTGCTTGTCTTTTTCCTTATTCTTCCTACTTATCTGATCAAAAACAAATATCTGGGTTTCCAGTTATTCCACAGGCCCCAAGGCTGCTAATATCTGAGCCATAATTTAATTATTAGATATCTCTTTCCCTCCTAGTGTTTTCTGCCTCCCAAAAGGACATCAGGGTTGTTGTTTTTCTTCCTTTATAGTTTTTGCTCTCATGTCAGCCACTGTTCTTCTCTTCCATTTCCTCTGCAGTTTGTTATTCTTGTAGATCATCACAAATCTTTATAAACTATTGACAGGGGCTTGTGCTAAACTAAGGTTTACTCAGAAAAGATGCGTTGAAATTAATGGGCCAGGACCATGGACTTCAATAGGTCTACTCTGAGTAAATGTTCATTGGCTACAACCATGGGAAGGGGGGATGCTGGGAGCTGAATGGAGTGACTCTCCTAGGAGGAAAGGCTGAAGAATCTGGGACTTTTCAGCTTAGAGAAAAAGCGAGTACGAGGCAACATTGCAGAAGTTTATAAAATAATGCATGGCATGGAGAAAGCAAGTGCAGTCGTACCTCGGGTTAAGAACTTAATTCGTTCCGGAGGTCTGCTCTTAACCTGAAACTGTTCTTAACCTGAAGCACCACTTTAGCTAATGGGGCCTATCGCTGCCACTGTGCCGCCGCTGCATGATTTCTGTTCTCATCCTGGAGCAAAGTTCTTAACCAGAGGTACTATTTCTGGGTTAGCGGAGTCTGTAACCTGAAGCGTCTGTAACCCGAGGTACCACTGTAGTGGAAACAAGCTTTTCCCCCTCTGTCAAAACACTAGAACTTGTGGACATCCAGATATTTATTAAGGTTTTTATTAGAACTTGTGGACATCCAAAACAGTAGAACTTGGAAAATTTGGGACAGATAAAAGAAAGTCCTTCATACTGCACGGGGTCAAATTATACAGGTCACTTGCACAAGAGGCATTGATGGCCACCAACCTATATGGGTTTAAAAGAGGATTAGACAGATTTGTGGAGGATAAGCCTGTCAGTGACTCCTCAGCTGGAGGCAGTAACGCTTCTGAATGCTGCAGAAGAGGAGAGTTGTGCTCAGATCCTGCCTGCGGTTTTACCACAGGCATCCAGTTGGCCACTGTGAGAACAGGATGCTGGGCTAAGATGGGCCAGTCCATCAGGCTCTTCTTAGGAGTGTGGGACCTTCTTTAGTGCCGAGCTATAGCCCCACTTAGAAGAACACTTCTCCTCCTGGACCAGCCTGCATCAGGGGTAGCCAGTGCAGTTCCCTCAAAATGTTAATAAAATCATAGAATTGTGGAGTTGAAAGGGACCCCCAAGGGTCATCTAGTCCAACCCCCTGCAATGCTGGAATCTCAGCTGCATCGAGCACCCGTGACGGATGGCCATCCAACCTCTGCTTAAAAAGGAGAATCCACGACCTCGTGAGGGGGTCCGTCCCGCTGTCAAACAGCTGTTACTGCCAGAAGGTTCTTCCTGATGTTTAGTCGGAATCTCCTTTCTTGCAGCTTGAAGCCATTGTTGTTGTTGGACTCCAACTCCCATCAGGCATGATGGAAGCTGTAGCTCAGCAACATCTGAAGGGCATCGGTTGGCTGTGTGTAACCTGAGGCAAAGCGGGAAGAGGAAGATGAACTGGACTACCCTTCCCGATCCGAGTTCCTTGACTCACGATCGGCTGAGCAAACTTCTCCATTTTGTAACTGCCGCCCCAATCAGGAAGCAGTGAACCAGCCCCACCCTTGAGGAAAACCATGGCTTTTCCAACACTGTGAATCCAATCTGGTGCAGCAGTTAAGTGTGTTGGGCTAGGACTGAGGCTGCCTCACCCCCCCCCACCCCACCAGCCATGAAATCTGATTGGATAACCTTGAGCCATTCACCATCTGGCAGCCTGGCCTACCTCACAGGATTGTTCTGTCACAAGATAAAAATGGAAGCTTGAGAGAACCACCCCACGATACCTTCAGCTACATAGAAAAAAGGCGAGCTCAAATTGCAGTAAATAAACCCATACTAAAGTTCCATTTCCACCTCACAGACCATGTCGCGCTTTTCAGAGCAGAAACCACGCTGGCCAAAGTCTACTCTGATGACACAGAAATAACCAACTGTGGTCTCAGCAACAAGTGTATTGCCTTCACTTTCATATCACAGCCTGTTTCCTGCTGGTGTGTGCTGGTCTAGAATGAAATAGGTGGCAACTGGTGTAGCTCTGTTGCCTGTTGGAGCTGCCCCATCATCTATCTCTACAATTAATAATGTAAAAAAAACCCCATTGTACTAGCCAAAAGCCATGGCAAATCCATACAACCACAAGCCGCTTAAAATATCTGAAACAACTGCAAATAAAAACAGGAACCATAAATTAGGAAGGCGACAATAACAGGGAAACCACCAGGGATACAGTAACTCAGTTACTTCTTCCTAACCTTTTTTTGCCTCCAGAGCAAAAAGGGCCACTTTATGTGCCACTACAGCACTGTTGTCACTCAGCAACCACTGGACCCTCTCTGTCAGGGAGAGCTGATTTCCTGTCCAAAGCGGGGTTTTAGAAAGAGCCTCCTTGGATCTGCGTAAAATGGACAAGTTAGCATACAATGGGAGATATATTCTACCTGGGGTTGCCCACAAATAAAGGGTCTGTGTGCACTTGAAATCACAACTCTATAAAAGCAGTTCTTAATGAGGCAGGCAAGAGTTTGGTCAAATAGCTAGATCTGAAATGCTCTGTTTTCAAAAGGAGAAAAAATGGTGGTTCAAATCGATTGCAGGTCCCTTCTGGATTCTAGCCATAAGAGCCGGTCCCTTAGCTTATCCACGTTCAACTCCTGGAAACAATAATAGTCTAGAATACTTTGACCATTTGAATTCCACAGATGGCTAGTCCTCAGTTCCACAGAGCACATAGCCAGGAGATGCTCAATGGGTAAAGAAGTGAGCCTTTTCAAGTAGTTTAAGTGGGTGCAAGCCGCTCTGGTGTTATACGTTTCCCACCCGGCTTCAGTGTGTAAAAGAGATGCTGACACTCCTGTAGGTAAGGAGAATAATCTCCTAATAAACTGAGTCTGCACTATTTCTAACCCTTTAATCGAGTTCAAGTTGTGACCCCAGATTTCAGCTCCATACAACATTTGAGGAATCATTTTGCTACTGTAATTTTTCAGTGCAGGTTTGAATAGCTAACCACCCTCATTATAGTAAAATTTCATCAGTGCCCCTATTGGCTTTCTATGTGTCAACTTTCACTGCCTCAATATGCCAGTTCCAAGGCAGATATTCACTAAAGAGTATCCCAAGGTATATAAAAGATCAGATCTGCTCTAAATCATGATGGTCCCCATACTCCATTTAAATCTAGTACTGTGTTTACTGAAAATCATGATATTGGTTTTGGAGAGGCTTTCATGCTTACAATAGGAACTGAAAGCAACCAAAAGATTTTTAAGGCCCAGGTGAGAAAGAGGAAGAACTGTGTCTTCTGTGTACAACAGATGTGAATTTTTTAATTCCTAATTACTGGAGAAGGGGAGTAAACTTGGGTTAAATAAGGTACCAAGTCATTAATATAGAACTTAAAAAGACTGGGGCCCCCAATCCAGCCTTGTTTCAATGCTCGAGTCGATTTGAAAGCTTCAGACACACCACCCTTAAGAACTACTCTAACCTTCATTTCCATGTCACTGTAAAGTTCCCAAATCAGTAACAGAAGTCTGTGGCCGATGCTGGCTTTAAGTAGTCTCTCCCACACTCTGCTTCGCTTAATAGAATCAAAAGCAGCAGAGAGATCAATGAAGGCGGCATATAGAGTGTTCTTAATGTTTTCGGTATATTTCCTAATGATGTGCATCAATGTGAAGCATTGATCGATAGCACTGTATCCTCTAAGCCCTGCTTGGTGTTCATGAAAAATATTATTAGTGTGCAGCCAGTCTGATAATATATGAAGGAGATGTCACACATAAAGCTTGGAGGAAATGTCTGGTAGCCTAACTGAGCGATAGTTCTGTGGATCATTTCTATCCCCTTTTTTGAAAATTGGGACAATGGTACTCATCTTCCATCCAGAAGGGATTTGGGCCGCGCTATTTATGAAAGTAAATAAACCTGCCAAGATGGGTATCCAACATTCCATGTGGTCCTTAAAAAGCTCAGGAGGCAACATATCTTCTTTACTTTAAAAAAATTTCAAACCTTCAATGAGGGATTTAATTTCCTTATTCTACACCAGTTGCCATTCAGTAACTTTAACAAATCTTTACTTGCAACTGATTAGTGGGATTGCCCTGAATGGTCACTAAATACGTTAGAGAAATGCTTAACCCAGTCTGTAGCCAGAATTATGGCTTCATAAGATGATGTATCTTCCAAGCCCTGGGCTATCTCTGTAATGGCTTCCCTCCCTCCCCCAGGTTCCCACAAACCCTTCTGTGTTTTCACAAGCTGACATAAGTTCTGAGCAGTGTTGGCTGGCACTGTCCCACCAACCTCAGTCTGCCCGCAGCCAGCCCCCACATGACCATAAAGCATGAATCTAACTTGCCAGCTTGTCCAGGACAAGCAACCTAGACCTTACCCAATCTATAGCTTCAACTCCCCTGACTTAAAAGTTACCCTTCTCATCATCAGTGAATCCATCAAGAACCGTTCTGAGATCTTTGGATGAAGAGTGGTAAATAAATCGAATGAATGAATGAATGATACCTTTAATCCACATCAAATCCCTATGTGTATATTAAAAATCCCCCAAATAACTAATAAAGACAAAAGATTAACCTAATAGATTTCTGAGCCATGGTCACTCCTGGGTCATAAGGCTGAATATCAACAGGGAATGTTTTTGCCAGGTTTTCGGAAGTGTACATTTTTGGCACAGAAGAGGAGTTTGGGGGCACCATAAAATATTCCCCCAATAACCCTCCAAAATGTTCTGTGTGCACCATTTTGCTATCCATCTGTCTGTCCATCCCTCTCAAATAGTTGCTACTTTGGAATCATGTTTGCTTGTTTCAAACCAGCATTCTGATCCAAGCGACTGCCCTGGCTCCCCTGCAACGCACACAGACGGAGGATCTTTCAAGGAAGGAAGGAAGAAATCCTTATTCAGGCAAATAACCAGACAGAATCAGCAGCAGACACAGTGCTCGGAAGTCATGATTCAGGAACTGAACAGAAGCAACAAAGATGTCCCAGCAAGTTGCCCCACCCCTCTCACCAAGCATTTAAAGGCAAGCCATCACCCATTCACTTGTGAGACTCTCTCACCTTGTGGGAATATCAGGATTGTGATCACATACTCTGCCAGTCACCCAGTCACTGCCACTTCTTGTTCTGCCTTAGTTGATCCGTTTTAGTTATCTTATGTATTGTTTGTTTTTAATAGTTTTGTAGCTTTTAGCTGTACTTCATCTACAATTTTATTCTATGCAAGGTTTAGAGACCTCTTTGATTAATGTCGTTTATAAAGCTCTCCCTCTCTCCTCCTCTGAATGCAGGACTAGAATAATTGAAATATGAGATAATGCCTCAGCAATCCAGAAAGAGACAAGGCAATTTGTACAAGAGATCCAGCTTTCAGCAGCAAGATACCCTCAAGAGGTCCAATACCCTCAAGAGGTCCAAATTCACCTTCCCCACAGGAGCTGGCTCAGTTTCTCATTTCAGCTTGTATCTTACCTCATAGGGATATGAAGGATTTAATAATGTAAACTGGACCCAAGACTGGAAGTCAGTAGGCAACTGCCTGGAAAGATAATGTAAACACTTGATAGCAATTGAGGTGAAATTTGACTAGGCCTCAATCTGCACTATAAATTTAAAGCTGTATCTTTGGCTAACACCCCCACCCTGCCCCGCCCCGCTGCCCAAATCGTAGTGTGTTAAGAGTGCTGAGAGTTGTAGGAGATCCCTATCTCCTTAAGAGAGCTACAGTTGTCAGCATTCCCTGAAGAGAGAGATTGACTGTTAAGCCACTGTGGGAACAGCTGGAGAAGGGGGGGCGTGTTAGATAGGAAATTGATATTTATTTGTATTTGGTTTTGTGTGTAACTTTGTATTAATGTAACATTTTTATTGTGTATCTTTGTAATATTTTGTTTAAAGTCGGCTGTTGTTGCTTCCGTTTTTTTGTGCACTGCTTATCAATGTATTGAATTTATTAAACAGCATAGAAATTAAATAATCAGTCAATCAGCAGTAGCCCTATGGAGGAAACGGGCAGTTCTCCTAACAACTCTCAGCATCCTAAAAAAAACCCCTACAGTTCCCAGTATTCTTTGGGAGTAGCTACAACTGATTAAAGTGGTACAATACTGTTCTAGATGCACAGTGGTAAGGTAAAGGGACCCCTGACCATTAGGTCCAGTCGTGACCGACTCTGGGGTTGCGGCGCTCATCTCGCTTTATTGGCCGAGGGAGCCGGCGTACAGCTTCCGGGTCATGTGGCCAGCATGACTAAGCCGCTTCTGACGAACCAGAGCAGCGCACGGAAACACCGCTTACCTTCCCACCGGAGCGGTACCTATTTATCTACTTGCACTTTGACGTGCTTTCGAACTGCTAGGTGGGCAGGAGATGTTAAGTACTTAATTCGTTCCAGAGGTCCGTTCTTAACCTGAAACTGTTCTTAACCTGAAGCACCACTTTAGCTAATGGAGCCTCCTGCTGCCGCCACGCCGCCGGAGCACGATTTCTGTTCTCATCCTGAAGCAAAGTTCTTAACCCGAGGTACTATTTCTGGGTTAGCGGAGTCTGTAACCTGAAGCGTATGTAACCTGAAGCGTATGTAACCCGAGGTACCACTGTATTGGGGAGATGGGTCCTTAGACCAGATAGTCTAACAAATAGAGGACTGTCCACTGTAAAATAGGATACCTGGCCACTGCAGCTGTGGGCTTCCTGGAGGCACTTATTTGGCCCCTGTGGGAAACAGGATGTTGACCTACACCAGGGTTGAGGAATTTCCTTCATTCAAGGGCTGCATTTCCCCTTGTGGGGACCATGACATGCCAGTGATGGGCCAGGCCAAAGACAAGAGGTGGATGGAGCAATAGATGCATTTCTTACCTACGTACAGTTGGCTATTTTTCAGCCCCCACCCCTTCTCCAACCTCCATCCAGGCAAGCAAAAGGCATCATCGCAGGTCAAGGCACAGAAAGAGAGCGTAGAGCAGGGTCAGTGAGGGTGTGGCCTGGAGAGGATCATGAGGGCCAAATGAGATGTCTGGGGGCCACATTCAACTCCCAGGCCTGAGGTTCCACACCGCTGGACTAGACAGTCCTATGTTCCAGCAGGGCCTCTCTTATATTCTAAATACTCTGGAAAATCTCTAGTTCACACAGGGGCATGCTGATTTGATTTGATATTTTTATAAAAATTAAAAATGCATCCTCAACGTCTTCCCCAAATACAAAAACAGGAACTAAGAGCAATTCCAGGCTGTTAAGTATTTTTGGGTTGGATTTAACCACATACTGGTCAATTTAAATTTGTGCATTTACAGTTGATTGGGAGGTCTTGCACAATGGACACACTTCCCCAAAACACTAGACTTTTTATACTACGGAAAATGATGGGGAAATGCACCAGGGAGCGAAGGATCACTGAATGTCATTGAACCTCCCCACAAACAAATGAGAAGGGTTGTCGTTAAATAACCAACATCGTCTGCCCTCCATGCACACAAATCAGGATGGTGTTGCTCCATCGACAGGTTGCCTGGAAGCACCCTAAAGCAGAGACAGTGTCTTAGAGAATACAGCTGCTGCTATGCTAGGACAAGGGCAAGGAACCTTTGGCCCTCCGGATGTTGCTGGACTACAACTCCCATCATCCCTGGCCATTGACCATGCTTGCTGCGACTGATGGGAGGTGCAGTTCGGCAACATCGGGTGCACCAAAGCTTCTCCACTCCCATACCAGGACTCTGTATACTGGGAGACCTGGCTCACATCAATGCCATACATTTGAAGGCCCTGGGAAAGCCAGGTGGAGAGAATGTGACGGCGCCAAGTCTCAGACCTCTTGCTCTTTTGAACCAAAGGCAAGGCTTGCTGGCTGGTTACTTTTGCTGTGACTCACAGCCCAACTTTCACTTCCGCACAGTCACTAGCTGCAATTGGCCTGGAGCTGCATTTCTCAGAACACAAGAGGAAGCTGGGATGTATACGGTGAGGCTGCAGATCCCAAAGCGGCTGCCCTGGGCTGCGAGACATTGGCTTCTCTACAGCCCCACAGGCTCTGAGTGGGATGTTCTAGCGGAAGGGGCACCTGTGTGACTGTCTCTCTACTCCCTATTCTGTCCCCCAAAACTTGGATAAAACGGTTGGGGGGGGGAGCTTTAGGTTGCAATCCTGATAGTCAAAGATCTGGGCTGCAAACCCACGCACAATGTAGGAGGTAGAATCTATTGAGCTGAATAGGACTTACTTGGAAGTAGGTAAATGCATTCAGGCTTGCAGCCTTTCCACTCATTGGAAGCGCAACAGCAGTGATCACTCCGTGCCCAACTTATGGGTTAATTCTGTGCATGTGAAAGTCAACTAACCAAGAGGGGGACTGCAGAAGGGCTGGAAGTGATGCTTAGCTGCCAGGCACATGGGCCTAGATGTTTGCTGAAGGAGCATATGCTGGCTGTGCTGTTCCGAGGGAGTTTTTCATTGGTATGTTTGGTTGAATGTCTCCCTGCTGTGTACAAGGCTACGTACAAGACCTGCTATGTACAAGGCAAGCAACACTTGCACTACTACCTTGGCGGTGGCAGGCAGGTTTATCTACCATCCCCCCCGCCAGCTTTGCTTCAGGGGCCATCTCAAGACATCTGTCAAAAGAGCACAAGAGACAGGGCCTTTTCAGTGGGAGTGCCATAGCTCCAGAATGTTTTCCACATCAAAATGAGGAGGCTATGTCTTTCCCATCAGAAACTGAAGACACTTATCTGCTGAGCTATATCTCTCAGCAGTAAGAGAGACAACAATGATATATATTGCCCACAGAATATTGCTTATTACCTCATTGCTTATGCAGCCAAAACAGTCCCACCCACGAGGAGGAGGAAGAATTGACAGGCTTGGGTGGCATTCTTTTTAACAGGCTTGGGAGAATCCCAACCTTTGCACAACTGCACAATAAAGGGTCGGGGCGGTGGCAGCTAGAAGAAAGCTCATGGGGACTGAGCATGCTCAGTCACCACAGAGCGCCAATTGACAGTTGGTGCAGGGGGGGTGGAAAGCAGTGACCAGAGCTCTGAACAGAAGCACTCCATGCTGTAACATTTTGTTGCAGGCCCTGCTTATGATTGCATTCATGTGAGTCGTTCATTATGCACTGGGCAAGAGGATTCTTCGTTCCCATACGTATTGAACCTACTGCTGCCAGTCAGTGGCTTTAGGCTGGAGGAAACCCAAGAGCTATTTTTAGGATTTCTTCTGCATTTTAGGGATGGATCCGTGCCCAGTTTGCCTTCTTCACACACACCCTGCCAGCTCTGCGTGACCTGGTCCTGAGGGTCTAAAATTGCATGCCAGAACCAGGTGTGTATGCGTCTTGATCCATGACCCCCCCCAGGCACCCCATGAATATGAGAGCAGGACCCCAGACAGGGGAGACACACGCAAAAGCCACTATTAAGCTGACTAACATTTTGTGAAGATGTGCTTCATCCTCCCTATTCCAGGTTGGGCACACATGAGGAGTTGGTACAGGTCCAACATCACCAGAGGCTACAAGGGTAGCCAACCTGGTGCCCTCCACTAGTTGTTTGACTACAACTCCCATCCTCCTCAACCACTGGACTTGCTGGCTGGGGCTGATACGAGCTGGAGTTGAACAATAACTGGAATGCTGCAGTTTGGCTTCGCCAGGACTACTGATAACATACAAAGTCCTGTCTGCACTCTACTTTTAAAGCAGTATCGTACTACTCTAGACAATAATGGCTCCGCCCCAAAGAATTATGGGAGCTTCAGTGTGTTAAGGTTGCTGAGAGTTGTGAGGCAACCCCTATTCTCCTCACAGAGCCACAATTCCCAAAGTGGTTTAACAACCAATCCCTTTTACCAAGGAACTCTGGGAAGTGTAGTTTTGTGAGGGGAACAGGGGTCTCCCCACAATTCTCAGCACCTTTAATGAACTACACTTCCCAGGATCCGCTGGGGGAAGCCATGATTGTTTAAAGTGGTATTATACATTTGATTATTTTTCTAGAAAAGAGGTGCTGGAACTCCCCATGAACCCCTCTCTTGTTCTCTTAGAATGGCAATGGTGCCCACCTGAGAGGTGCCAGAACTGAGTTCCAGCTAAAAAAAAACCCCTGCACTGAATGCAGTATAGTGCAGATCCTTTCAGACTGTAACTCTGTTTTTATGATGCTGTGCTAAGGTTTCTTTAAGTTGTATGTTCCATATACCACTTGGGAGGTTTTAAAATATTAAGCCATTGAGAAATGCTTTTAAACAAATGAAATAAAACTAGATGGAGAGACCCATCTTCTTTAAACCACATCAAAGCATTGTGAGCCTTCCCCACCATAAATGAAATTCAGTACATTTGCTTCAGATACCATGAGAAAAGAAGTTCACAGCAGCAGAACTGCAAACAAATGCTTTGGGGGGAAGCAACTTTGTGAGGTCTGCGGCTTGTAACACACTACAGCCATCGTCTTTGAGAACATTAGCTAAAACAAGGTCCCCTCCACTAGGCTAAGGGTGGGGCAATTAAACCCTTTTTAGAAATACGTTCTTATTGGGGCTGCAGCCCAATTAAATGCAATTTAAATTGATTCATCGACTCCCAACTTGTATGATTAAGCAATTGATTAAATTTACATGCCAGTTTTAAAAAAATCTTCTGAACCAAGAAGCATATGCTCTCTTTCCAGCAGATATATACACACATTTTTGAAAATGTATTCTGTGTGTGCATGTGTCTTTGTGTGTGAAAGAGAATTCCTCTTTTAAAATGCTGTTTGCCTCCTGCAATGTTATAAAGATGTTCTTTAAAAAAAGAAATCGGTTGCCAATCTTTCTGGAATACATTATTAGCCCATCAGAAGGTTAACTGAATAATCTAACCGGTTAATTGTTTAAACCAGGGCTGACATTGCCGGAACGCATCTCCCCTCCTCACTGGCTATGCTGTCTGGGGCTGATAGGAGTTGAATTCAGCGACCCCTGGAGGGACACAGATTCCGCAGGCCTGGTTTAAACACCAAAGGCCCAATTCTTACATTTTTGCAGAATGTCACCTACAGATCTTGCTACCAAATGCTGCTGGGTTTGTTTTTAACAATCACAAAATCCTACATGTAGCCACCTGATCTAAGAACCTCAGAAGAGCCCGGCTGGGTCAGAGTCCTGCTGGCCTATCCATTCCAACATCCCAGTCTCACAGTGGCCAACCAGTTCCCTTGGGGAAGCCTGCAAGCTGAACGTGGGTTCAACAGCACTCTCCCTGCCCTGAGATTTTCTGAAACTGCAGTTCACACTGGGATTCGCATTTTGTATTCAAGCTCAGGTACCAGAGCACGAAATCCGGTCCGTATCAGTTTATGGACATGGCTTCCCGCATCAAAGTGCATTGAATTAGCACTCATTCACCCACCCAAAACTCTTCCCTTCTTTCTGTCGCCTAAAAAGTTGTCTGAAAACTATGGAGCTACTTCACAACTGACAGAGAACATACGTATTTTGTTATTGGGTACCAGACCACTTTACAGGCATCCCCCCACTTACGGGCGTTCAACTTATGTGCATTCAGTTTCATGAGCTTGGCAAAACACACAAACAAACAAACAAACAAACAAACAAACGGTGGGCATCCGGGAAATTTCTTTTTTCCCCCAATCCCACCTGCCATTGAACCCAATGATGTTCCCACTATACACAATTTCACATATATGTAAGTTCCTTTGCCAACCTAGCAGTACGAAAGAACGTCAAAGTGCAGGTAGATGAATAGGTACTGCTCCGGCGGGAAGGTAAACGGCGTTTCTGTGCGGTGCTCTGGTTTGCCAGAAGCGGCTTAGTCATGCTGGCCACATGACCCGGAAGCTGTACACCTGCTCCCTTGGCCAATAAAGCAAGATGAGCGCTGCAACCCCAGAGTCAGCCAGGACTGGACCTAATGGTCAGGGGACCCTTTACCTTTAAGTTTACATACCCGGGAACGTAACCCCCGTGTAAGTGGGGAGTCACCTGTACACAATATCACCTTGGAAGAAATAGTCTAGTGGTCAATGTGCTCTATTTGGAGAACATGCTGCAGCTCTCCACCTGTGGTCCATGAGCTCCATCCAGGTGGCCTGCAGAAAGGAGGCTGAACGATTGAGAACATTTATACCTGGCCATGCACTTGATTTATTTATTTTTTTCTGATGGGGAGCAAAGCTGTCTGGATCTGAGCCAGATTATCAGAATGGGCTTAGGCAGCCTTGGCCTGGTGCCCAAGATTTGCATTATACTGCCCTGGTTTTGATAATGATTCAGACATGGAAGAAGCAGCAAAAGGCTATTTTTCTTCATATTTAATCCAGAAGCACATCTCTCACATTAGGAAGGAAAAACTAGTTATTAAAATGTGAGTTATGCATATGCATCTGTAGGGTTTTTTGTTTTGTTTGTTTGTTTGTGTGTTTTTTTTTACCAGGGCAGTGCACAAAGTAAATACTGCAAATAAATAATTAGGCTGGTTTCTCACTAAGCAAAACAAAGAGAATTGTACCTGCATATATCTCAGGTTCTACCAGGGCTAGAAACTTTTTCTTTTTTAATAAAGCTGGGGATCTGCGGGTTGTGTTCACCTAGGGTGTTGCCCCACACCCAGCAGATGCCCATGTATATGTGTTTCCATTTGTAGAATGAAAAAAGTGCTCACCCAAGACCCTCAGTAATTTTAAAGTAGTCCATGGGGAGTGGGATGGAGTTTGAGAAACACTGCTGTAGCATTCAGGCCCCTGCTGCACCGCGCGTTTCAAGCAAAACCATGCCACTTTAAACAGCCAAGGCTTCCCCCAGAGAATACTGGGAAGTGTCGTTTATTAAGGTGCTGGAACTTTTTAGGCAGTCTCTAACCTGCTCACAGAGCTGCAATTCCCAGAGTGGTTTAACAATCAATCCCTCTTGCCAGGGAACTCCAAGCACTGTGTCTCTGGGAGGGGGATAGGAGGCTCCTAGGGGCTCTCAGCACCCTTAAGGAACTACAGTTCCCAGAATTATTGGGGGGAAACTATTGCACTTTAAAGTGGTATGATACCGCTTTAAATGTATAGTGCAGATGGGACCTCAGAGCTAATATTGGTAGAAGGAGAACAAAACGGGAACCAGTGTACTCAAGAGTTGCTGAAGGTTATACCAGGGGCCTGTTAGTCCACTCAGCTCAGTTCTGCAGCAGCCCTCCAGGGTTTTTCCTAACACCTGCACCTGCTCTTATTTTAAAAAACTGGAGATGCCTGGGCTTGAACCTGTGACCTTCTGCATACTGAGGACACATCCTTCCACTGAGCTATGGCCCTTCCCTGGTTTCCTCCCATGCACCCACAGGGGGAAACAACCATAGAATGGCCAGGGAAGAAGATGGCCAAAGTCTTGCTTGCCGGTGCTACAAATCACAGCAAACAACAGCAGCAAGGAAACTCTATTCTCCTCCAATGGAAGAGATTTCATAAGAACATAGGAAGCCACCTTATACTGAATTGGACCTTTGGTCCACCTAGCTTCATGCTGACTGGCAGCGGCTCTCCAGAAAATCAGAAATGAGACTCTGCTAGGTCTTACCTGGAGATGCTGGGGATCAAAGCCAACACCTTCTGCATGCAGAGCAGACATCCTACCACTGAGCTCTAGCCCTTTCCCTGCCATCACCAGTCCCTCTGCTTGCTGCTAATCCCTTTCTCTGCAGCTGGGTTTTCCCCAAGAATAATGAAAGCATCCGTAATTGGAATCCTATTGAAAGCTTAAAATAGCTGAACCCAGGGGGGGCTATTGTTAGAAGTAAGAGAGCCTGACTTTGCATACCCCCTGGGGCACTCCCCCTTTGACATCCCAGCAGGCTTGTTGTCCCCAGAGGAATCTGGCAGCATAAATCAACAAGGGAACAGAGCCCAGAATATTTCACAGGCTCTGCCTTCACACAATGGCAAGGGGAAAGGGTGTTGAGGCTGGGGGTCGGAAGAGCCACAAGGAGGCAGGCTAGGCCTCTGGTTTTGTCTTATCTCCCTTACAGGTGGAGCTTACAGAAAGCTGCAATCTTAGCTTACCTGGGCCCACCACTTTTCCTTTTCTACAGCCATCCAAGTTGATGGCCGTCACTGCCTCCTGTGGGAGCACATTCCATGGTTCAACTATTATTATTATTACTAATTTACTTAAGACAGGCTCCGGCAGATTGGCTGGACGAGACCAATAGTGGGTCCAACAGTCAATATGGCGACTCCCTCAGCCAATAAAGCAAGATGAGCGCCGCAACCCCAGAGTCGTGCGCGACTGGACCTAATGGTCCGGGGTCCCTTTACCTTTACCAAGAATCACAGAATGTTTAGGAGTATGCATCCCCCTCTGTCCCCCCAGAAAAAAAGCACTGGCTGACAACATATATGGCAGACCCCCACTCAGCGATTTCATGTAGATGTTAAACGGTGTAGGGGACAAAATCCAACTCTGAGGAACCCCACATTGAAGGCTCCATGAGACCAAAGAATAGTCCCCCAGCATTACCCTCTGGAAATGACCATCCAAGTAGGACCAGAATCACCACAAAGCAGTGCCATCCACCCCTTTCTTTTATCTGTCTCAAATATTCCAGCATCCAACCTCACTGGATGTCCTCAAGTTCTAGTCAGTTATTTCTCCGTGCCTTGAATTACTTTACACACTTCTCTCATGCCACCTCTTACTCGTCTTTGCTCTAAAGTTAAAAAGTCCCAAAGGCTGCAACCTTCCTTCGCAGGGGACTCTCTCCATCCCCTCTTGTGGGCGTGAGATGTGGCCTTTGAACTTCTGCCCAACAACCCAAGCTGCTGGCGAGGATATGGCAGCCTGCGCACGGAGGCAGATGGTCATGGACGGGAAGGACTTAGCCAGGAGATGCTGGGATGTAGCAGGTCCTGTCAGGTGCAAACAAGAGAGTGGAGAGCCAAACAGCAGAAAAAAAGAACCCACTGCCAGCCCTGAGAAGAAATGTGTTTGGGGGAGGGGGCTGTAGCTCAGTGGCAGAGCAGCTGCTTTCATACAAGAGGTCCCAGGTTCAATCCCAGGCATCTCCAGGTTGAGCTGGAGAAAACACCCATCTCAAACTCTGAAGAGCTGCTGCCAGGCAGTGCAGGCAGTGCTGAGCTAGATGGCCCAATGGTCTGACTCAGAATGCAGCAGCTTCCTATAGTCTTGGGAAAGGGACGTAGCTTAGTCACAGAGCATCTGTTTCTCATGCAGAAGGTCCCAGGCTCAATCCCTGGCATCTCCAGGTAAGGCTGAGAAGACTCCAGGTGGAGAACTCTGGAGAGCTGCTGACAGCCAGTGCAGACACTACTGGGCTAGATCGTGGGTAGGCAAACTAAGGCCCAGGGGCCAGATCCGGCCCAAATGCCTTCTAAATCCGACCCAGATCCGGCCCAATCACCTTCTAAATCCGGCCCACGGATGGTCTGGGAATCAGCATGTTTTAACATGAGTAGAATGTGTCCTTTAATTTAAAATGCATCTCTGGGTTATTTGTGGGGCCTGCCTGGTGTTTTTATTTATTTTATTTTATCTCTGGGTTATTTGTGGGGCATAGGAATTCGTTCATTTTTTTTTCACTGTATAGTCCGGCCCCCCACAAGGTCTGAGGGACAGTGGACCAGCCCCCTGCTGAAAAAGCTTGTTGACCCCTGGGCTAGATCAACTCCAACAATCTGTAGAAGGCAGCTTCCTATATTCATATACAGTGGTACCTCAGGTTACAGATGCTTCAGGTTACAGACTCCGCTAACCCAGAAATAGTGCTTCAGGTTAAGAACTTTGCTTCAGGATGAGAACAGAAATTTGGCTCTGGCGGCGCGGCGGCAGCAGGAGGCCCCATTAGCTAAAGTGGTGCTTCAGGTTAAGAACAGTTTCAGGTTAAGAACAGACCTCGGGAATGAATTAAGTACTTAACCTGAGGTACCACTGTATTAGATTTGGTCCGTTTTTAAGGCAGGCTGGGGAACCTCTTGCTCTGCAGACTTTGTTGGACTCCAGCTCCCATCAGCCCCAGCCTGCACAGCCAGTGGTCAAGCAAGCAGGAAGGAAGCTGCAGTCCAGCAACATCCCTGCCTAAAAGCCTAACAAATTTATTTTTTTGGCCTCTGTTTGCAAGGACTGGATTCTGCTTTCCTTCCTCTGATGAAGTGGGCTGCAGACTTGCGAGACGATCATCTGTCAATTGTTCAAGACACTCTGCTGGCTTTGGCGCAAGGAACAAGCAAGGCTGCCCTTCCGAAACTCCCTGCTACACTTTGCACTGCATTGTGGGGAAGGGGATATATTTTTCTAACCCAGGCAACCGGGACCTTTACAAGCGAAAGAGAGGGTCTGAAGCACAAGCCAGAGAGGAAGTGGTGAGGGCGTTTGCTGGAGGGAAACCAGATGGAGACAGGAAGCCACCAGGATTCCGGTCCAGTTCACAGTAGCTTCAAGGAGGAAGCTGAGGAGGACTGCGGAGGGGATGGGGGGTGGGGTTTGGGGGGCGAAAGGCTGCTGAGCTGCATGCAAATGAATGTCCAATGAACAGCAATATAAGCGGGCTTGAGATAGGAGAAATGGGAATAGAAGGCAGGGTGCATCGTGGGAGGGAATCTCCTGTCAAGGGCCCCTGAAGTGGGGAACCTCTTTCAGCTCCTCGAGGGCCACATTCCCTCCTAGGCAACCTCTGGAGACCCAGTGGGCAAGGCCAGAAGCAAAAATGAGCAGAATAACCAATAAGAACCCTGCCGTGGGAGAGGAGACTAGCTTCTTCTTTTTGTATTTTTATTAAAGATTTTCTTGATTTACAGAAGTATGTGTAATGTCTCTCTCCTGTAACATTTTTACAAATCAGTTTCATTCGTTGAGACATTAGGAAGAAAGGGGGGATAGGGGTGGAGGGGTGGAAGATGGGTGAGGGTGGGGTCGGGTGGCGATGTTTCTATTTTGCTTAATGTATGTGGGGTTTGGTGTCAGCGTTGCTTGTGCAGGTTCTCTGCTGTTCACTTGTGTTCCTTTGGTGGTGAGAGAGGCTGGGGTTGGCCTTGTTTGTAACAGACTAGCTTCTACACAAACCTTCACGTTCCCTTCCCCATCCAGGCAAAAAAGAGGCATTGTTCTCAGAGTCCAATGACACAGCCAGGCAGGAAGACTCCAGAGGGTGGCAAAGCAGGTCTGGTAAGGAGCGTGGCCTAGGGAGAGTCCCAAGGGCCAGATGGAAAGGCCTGGAGGGCCACATACGACCAACAAGCCTGAGGTTCCCCAGCCCTGGTCTAACCCTCCTGTAAGGATTGTGATCTGACGTAAGAAGAAGAAGAGGAGTTTGGATTTGATATCCCGCTTTATCACTACCCGAAGGAGTCTCAAAGCGGCTAACATTCTCCTTTCCCTTCCTCCCCCACAACAAACATTCTGTGAGGTGAGTGGGGCTGAGAGACTTCAAAGAAGTGTGACTAGCCCAAGGTCACCCAGCAGCTGCATGTGGAGGAGCAAGGAAGCGAACCCGGTTCACCAGATTACGAGTCCACCGCTCTTAACCACTACACCACACTCTAAGGAGGCGTGGGAACAGGGGCCTGGTTTGAGCAGAGTGGGAGGGTCAGGACAAAATGCTCTTCAAACTTCTGAAGGCACACTGAAGTCTAGCTATGCTCTGTGCCATAGACTGTATTCTGCAAGACACATGAATTGCCTTAATTATGGGAAATAGAAGAATCTGGGACTTTCCAGGGTTTCACATATATATATGGCAAGAAGCAAAAAGAAAGGAAGCAACATCATGTAAGTCAGGGAAGGTTATGACAGGAAGAAATGGGTTGGGTCACCTAGTTGTGCAACCTCACCCCTGGAACCCACACTGATTTGGCCCTGGTGTTTTCTAACCATCATCATCACTCCATTTCCAGTTTATTACCGTATTTTTCGCTCTATAAGACGCACCAGATCACAAGACGCACCTAGTTTTTGGAGGAGGAAAACAAGAAAAAAATATTCTGAATCTCAGAAGCCAGAACAGCAAGAGGGATCGTTGCACAGTGAAAGCAGCAATCCCTCTTGCTGTTCTGGCTTCTGTGATAGCTGTGCAGCCTGCATTCGCTCCATACCTTTACCTTTTAGGAGAGAAAAAGTGAGTCTTATAGAGCAAAAAATACGGTATATCCTGCCACTGTTCACCTGAGGGTTAGAAACTTCCTTTAAATTATAAAACGACACTTTGCCAGAAGCTCATCTCTGGAGTGTGCACTGTGTCCAGTTATCTATTACTTGCAATGAGGCACTCGGGTGTACTGAACGCGCCAGTGGAAACTCAGAAGCTGCAGAGACACCATACATTTACAGCTGCACCTCCCAAGAATCATAGAACCATAAATCCAGGAACTGTAGTTTGTTAAGGGAGCTGGGAAATGTAGCTCTGTGAGTGGTAAACTACAGTTCCCAGGATTCTCTACCCGCACTCTAAATGTACTTTAAATGTACAGTGTATATACAGCCTATATTTAATCTTGGAGGGTTTCCCGGCCCCCGTTCACCTAATTAGGTATAGGGTACAACTGATGTCATGGGCTGTAAATCCATGGCAGTTCACATCACAATCTACAAGCTTATAAAAATGAGCCACAAAGCATTTAAATTTTTTCAGGTGGTATCTGTTTTGCAGCTGGGGTCAGGAAGTTATCATCTTCCATGTCAGATTAACCATGTCTGTGACCTCGGTGACCTTGAATTCTGTTTTCTCTCTTAAGCCCCACCTGATGCCCTCCAGATGCTTTGACTGCAACTCAGTCAGCACGTCTGTTTGGCAAAGGCTGCTTCAGCCTGCCAGGCCAACATCTGTCACTTGACAGGTGGTGGTCCTGCCTACCTGTCAGAGTTGACCTGCAGGGGTAGGTGAAGCTGACACCAGCAGGATTGCACTCTCTACTCACCAGCTGGTGAGTGCAATTCTGCTGACTGCAGGAGTCTGCTTTGCCAGCTTGCTCCCCCCAGGACTCCAGAAGGATCAAACCCCACCCACCAACCGATGCCACCAGTGAAGGCAGCTGGTGGAGTGATGGGTGTGGTTTGGGGAAAATGGCTTGGCAGGCCAAGATTGGCCAGAGGTTGCCCACCAATGATCTGGTCCAACACCCAGCTCAGTGCAAGACATTTGCAGTTACTGATGAGCACCCAGCCTCTGGCGAAGGAGAGCCAACCACTACCCAAGATGGTTTTGTTCCACAACAGACAGCTCTTACCACTAAGAGGTTCCTCCAAATATTTAGCCAAATCCTGCTGCTTTGCCATCTCTATCCTTAAACTGCAATCCCTACAGCCGCTAACCTAGGAGTAATCACCACTGAACCCAATGGGACTGTATAGACATAATCTGTTTTCATTTTAAAAAAAATTCTATTCCACCTTTTGAACAAAGCTTCCAAAGTAGTAAACATTTCAGATACAACAAATTAACACTAGAGATAAAATAATAAGATAGAAGCACGCGCACACACACATAATAGAAGTAGTAATAAATAGGGGATGGAGTAGAAATTTGTTTGGATCACATTTTGAAGTGAACCAACCAAGTTTGTACATAGACTGGAGCACAGCTGCCAAACAGATTCTGTGAATTTTCCTAAATGATTTCAGTTCAAATATGCACACCAAAGAAGCCTATTTTATGGGGGCAAACACATCGGAAAGCATTCAAAAATGTGTGGTTTAGATTAAAAATATACATGGTTCAAACACAATTTCTTTCCCCCCATGCTTTTTTGGGGGAAATCTGTCCAAATGAGATGGAACAAACTCACAACTGGGTGCATGTGAAACTGACAAAGTGGAAATGGGCTGAACTGACCTTCCTTAGCAATAAAAATAATAATCATCTACTAAAAGCTAAGGGAAATAACATTTGTCTTCATGTGGTGCTAAAAAGCTAGCGAAGCAGATGCCAGACAAGTGTTTCTGGGGAGAGTACAGTATTCCACTAGCAGGGGATGAAGCTCCTGGACCAGGAGGACCCGTGGTCTGCAGAGCACAGTCTGGGAACCCCTGCTCCAAACAGAAGATTCATAGGAAGGAAACAGTGGGTGACAGGCAGTCAGTGGCTACACTATGCACAGATTAGGCCGTGACCCTTTATAAATGTACATTTTCATTTTTTAGGACTTCCGGGTCAGCGCCATTGGTGAATGGCGGAGTTCCTCCGACCGGAGGAACGGGCTCCGTGGAAACTGGGTCTTCCCGCCGCGGCGAAGGTGGGGACCCGCTAGAAATCCCAGGCGGAGGAAGCCTGGGAACGTGGGGTTCGGCAGGGCACCAGAAGCGCCCCCCTACTCGCGGGGAATCCCATCAAGGGGCTCCGGAGCGAAGTGGGGTGAGAAGCGCGGTGCTACGAACTGACTGCTATTTTCACGGAGTGAAGCTGCACAGCCATTGCCAGAGAGCGCTGACTTTTTCCTGTGGACAATTGGACTTAAAACAAGTACCCGTGAGTAGAAACGGAAAATTGGATCAAGAAATTGTTTAATTTGGTATCGAAGCGGGAAGGTGCAAACAGGAAGTCCGCCTTCCGCTTTTTTGTATATAGACTAAAGCAAAAATTTTGCAAGCTAAAGCCGGGAAGCTGTCAAAAAAGACTAAATTTCCTTCATTTAGAATTACTGAAACCCCCCTTGGAAGCAGGAGAAAAGGGGGGGGGACTCTGTTTAACCCTAGCAGGAGAGGGAGTGAAGAAGGATAAGTTTCCACCTTCTCTAACCTGGGAACGGGGTGTCAGAGACAGAAACTGTTGGAGAGGCTCATTGACTGTGAACGTAATACTTTGACAGATAGCTAATGAAGAGAAACAAGTTGACTCTAATGTTGCCTTTTGCATTTTAAAGAAACAAAACATCTGAAAAACATCTGAAATATCTGAAAAATGAAAGTAACTTTCTTTTGTCTTCAAGAAAAAAAAATGGATACAAATAGTTTGTCTCCTCTAGAGGGAGCTTGCTAAATTGTTGCTGTAGTATATTTGAGACCCAACATCTGTGAGATTAAGACCGTGGGAACAGTCTTTTCTGACCTTGAACAAAGATGAGCTGGGAGGAAGACTGGGTGCTTGCTCTATGCAAGACAAATGCTTTGCTGGAACAGATGCATGAGAAGATGGACTTGATGAATGAGAAAATGGATTTGACTGTTGTGGTTAATAACTGTGGACAAACAGGGAACATTGATACAGAAATCATTCAGGAACCAATCTATGAATCTGTACTGACTGGGCAAGTGCAGATGACAATGGAGGAGGATGCGGCTGCACCTCAAATAGTACAAATGGAGAGACCTGAGGCCCTACAGGAGCATAAGCCGCTGTTATTGAAGATTGAAGTTGGAGTGGGCCAAGGGAGTCTGGAGATGAGGAGGTTCCTAGCTTTGGAGAGATCTTGAAATTTGATTTTAAATACATTTTGGATTATATCGAGGACTGTGGGGAGTGGGACTGTGGGGAATGGGCGAGCTGGATGAAGGGTGATGGAGACAATTTTGGGGTGGCAGTCCCCAGAGACCTACTCCTCAATGAGAAAGGAAAGAAACTAAGACAGAGACCAACAAAAGACAAGGAAAAGGGCAAGCACAAACAAGATGAAGAAGAATTGCAGAAGGGACATGGAAGAGACTTAAGGGCCTCGGGCATAAGGCTTCCAGGTTGATGGGCTAGATGGAATGGACAGTAAGGACTGACACGACCCGAGACCAGGAAGAAGAGACGCTGGATGATGATTGAAAGAGAATTTATAATGGAATTTTTTTATTTTAGAATCAGCTTAATGAATATTAGGGAAAATGTGGGAATAAAACTATACGACTCTAGCAGAAATGTTATCAGGAGCTATGTATATTTGAAAACTAAGATTTACGTTTTAAGGTACTTAGGGGTAAGATAAGGTTAAATAAATTAAGATAATTTGAATAACAGAATATGGGGAAAGATGGAAAGGATTTGTTGAGTTAATTATTAGGTTAAATTGTTAAGATAAATTTTATAACAAAAATTGAGAAAGATGGAAAGAATTTGCTGAAATAATTATTAAACTAGAATACAAAAAGGGAGGTGTGAGGAGGTCAATGAAACAAGCAAATGGAAATTATGGATATGCAATTTGGGATTTGTGTTTTTTTCTTCTTTTTTCTTCTTTTTTACTTTCTTTTGCTGTATTGTCGTACTGGTTTTTTATATTTTGTGCTTTTTTTCTTTTTTTCTTTTTTTTTGTATTGTATTGTAGTGTTGTTGTTTTTTATTTTTTCTCTTTCTTGTAATCCTGAAATTATCAATAAATATTATTTTAAAAAAATATATAAATGTACATTTTCATTTTTTAAAAACCTTATACCCGCAGCACCATCTGTATCCAGATTAAGAAGGAATGTGGAATGCTGAGATAGATACCACATCCTCCTCCACTAAACATGAACTTGAAACACTTCTTGGGGGAGCTCTCTGGTACTTTCCCAGCAACATTTAGCCAGAGATTGCCACAGTTGTGACGTGACAGCCGTCATGAGGGTGTCCAAAGGAGAAGGCACTAAGCAAGCATTTTCTGTTTGCTGGGTTAGGGCGAGAAAGCAAGAGGTTCACGAAGAGGAAACATCATCCCCAAGGCTGCATGAGTCAGTGGCAGGGCTGTGAAGAGGATCACTCCACCTCTGAGAACATGTTGCCTCTCTCCATAGCTTCCTGCGCGATGGAACATTTGGGAGTCACCCAGAGCAGAACGATGCATCCAGCAGAAACCGTGGCAAATAGCCAGGTCTGCCTTATCAAGAAGCCAAGTGAATCTGCTGTTTAGGAAAACACATTCCAGAGCACTATGGCGGGGAGGAAGCACCCGGAAAGCCATGCTAATCTATTTTAAAGCACCAGAAGGTCTATTAGATCCCTTTCTGCCTTCTACATGCTCTTTCTGTAGAAGAGGGCACTTCAGCAGGTATCATGCTATTAAACGTGCAAGAGTCCTATCTTCTTCTTTTTGCATCTGGCCACACACACCTTTGATGCCCAGGTGCTGCTGAGGCCAATCAACAAGGTGGGGCTGTCTCCATCAAGTCTGTCTCATGAGCTTCACAGCCATTGACTTGGCTGGCTGACACAGTGCCAGCTCCTGACCTAGAGAGGGCTCTTTGTACCTTTAAATATGGTGTTGAATATTCCACCAGCATAGATGGCTTCTCCTGTCATAGGAACATAGGAAACTGACTCTGAATCAGACCATTGCTCCACCCAGCTCAGTATTGTCTACACCAGGGGTCAACAAACTTTTTCGGCAGGGGGCCGGTCCACTGTCCCTCAGACCTTGTGGGGGGCTGGACTATATTTGGGGGGGGAAATAATGAATGAATTCCTATGGCCCACAAATAACCCAGAGATGCATTTTAAATAAAAGGACACATTCTACTCATGTAAAAACACGCTGATTCCCGGACTACCCACAGGCCAGATTTAGAAGGCAATTGGGCCGGATCCGGCCCCTGGGCCTTACTTTGCCTACCCATGGTCTACACTGACTGGCAGTCGCTCTCCAGGGTTTCAGAGAAGGGATATTCCCTGCTCTACTTGAAGATGCCCCCGACTGAACCATAGATCATTTGCATGCAAAGCAGATACTCTGCCACTGCCCCTTCCTACTGCAGGAGATTAATATTTCCACTGGTGCCCCAACACCAATGTCATGTTCTATCAGCTGGAACATAAGAAGAGCCTCCATGATCAGGTGAAAGACCTATTTAGTTCAGCATCTTGGACTAGACCGATGCCTACAAGAAGCCCGCAAGAAGGCCTTAACACAACAGCCCTCTCCCACCTTGTGATTCCAAGCAACTGGCTTTCTAAGGCATTTTGCCTCTGACAGTGGAGGTAGAAAGGAAGCACAAGAATCAGTAGTGGAGCTCAAGATTTGCATGCAGAAGGTTCCCAGTTTAATCCCTGGCATCTCCAGGCTGAGCTAGACACTTCTCTGAACCCCTGCACAACCACACTGGCAGTCTGTGTTAATACTGAGTTCCTCGAACCAGCGTTTTGAGTTGGTATTATAAGTCAACGTCCTATGTTCCTAATAATGATGGCAATGCAAAAGCAGGAGGGAGCTTGCCGTCTTCTGCACAAGGAGCCCACTCACAATAGCAGGTACAGTGGAACCTCGGTTGTCAAACATAATCCATTCCAGAAGACTGTTTGACTTCCAAAACGTTCGACAACCGAGGCGCAATGGGCAGTCAGCAATTTCAATGGAAAAAATGAAGAAACACGTCTTGGAAGCCGTTGGACTTCTGAAGTGCGTTCAGAAATGGAAGCATTCACTTCCAGGTTTTCAGCATTCAGGTTCCGAATCGTTCAGCTTCCGAGACGCTCGAAAACCAAGGTTCCTCTGTATTTGCACTATTACTTGTATCATTTACATCCTGTATTACAGGAGGTGTCAGTTAACATTGAGGAAAAGTTCTTGAACGGATGGGCATTTTGGGTATAGAACTAATTACCTAGAAGGGAGGCCTTCAAGCAAAAGCAAATAGCCCTCTCCTGCTGGGGATGCTCTGTTGGGGATGCTCTGGGGATTTCTTGCATCAAATCAGAGCTGGACTAGATGATGCATGTGGCTCCTCCCAGTTCTGTGATTATATCAATTAAAGCAGGCATAGCCAGCATGGTGCCCTCCAAATATTGTTGGACTGGAGCTCCCATCAACCCCAACAACTGGCTATGCTGGCTGGGAGCTGATGGGAGTTGAAGTCCAACAACATCTGGGTGGTGCCATACTGGATACTCCTGAATTAAAGAGTCAACATGGTTTTGCTCAGTGCTGCAGAATGGAGGCACTGGGCAACCTGGACACAAACACACACACAGCAATACTCCAGGGGGCAGATTAAAGCTTTTGAGAACTTGATCTGAAAGAATGCAAAATGCCTCCATTGTAGCCCAGCACTGACTGGATGAAGACAATAAGCAGCACAGCACACTTTGCATGCTGAAAATGCTACTGAAAAATAAACTGCCATACATTGTGCAGCTCCAGATACAGAAGCCCAAGGTTACACAATAGAGAGTAGATGAACATTCTTTCCTTGTTCCATTCAAATTTCTACTTGCCCACACTTCCCAGATGCCATTGAAAACCTTGAATAGGCAGAGGGATGTCTTGGGGAGGGGAGGGAATTGCGGGGGCTGCTTCGTATGCTGCTACATCTTGTACTTGGTGATTTCCTGAGTACAAACTGCATGTGCATGGTGGCGTTTCTGAATGGCTCACATATGTTTTAAACAGAGGCTTCAACCCTGCAGAATATATGCCAGTGGGAAGGTGGGGAGGGGTGCAGATCATGAGGGTTTTCTAAGCAAAACCCTCCACTGAAACAAGTGTGTGCTGTTAATAAAATGGCATGGTGGTGTTTGCTTGGCTGTGCAGGTTAAGAACATAAGATGAGCCTGCTGGATCAGGCCAAAGGCGCATCCTGTTCTCACAGGGGCCAACAAGATGCTCATGGGAAGCCCACAAATCAGAAATGAGTGCAGCAGGCTCTTGGCCTCTGACCATAAAAGGACAGCACAGCCATCCTGGCTAGCAACCGTCAATAGCCTTGTCCTCCATGAATTTGTCTAATCCTTTGTTCAAGCCATTCAAGTTGGTGGCCATCACTGCCACTTGGGAAAGTGAGTTCCATAGTTTAAAGTACAAGCGGCACGAAGAAGTTCTTTCTTTTATCTGGATCTTCCAGCGTTCAGCTTCATTGGATGACATAAGTTCTAGTGTCATGCAAAAGGGAGGAAAAGTTTCCTCTATCCACTTTCTCCACACACGGTGCATAATCTAATAAACTTACACTGTGTCACCTATTACTCGCTTTTTCTCTATCAGGTTGTGCGCAGAAACTGATTCCATAGCATAATTCTGAAGTAGCTCCGTTAGATCAGACTCATCATTTAAAATATTTTTTCCCCTTCTTTTTCCAGGCAGCAAACAAGAAATCTTCTGGTGGCTTGTCCATTAGGATGATGAGCAACTGCCCCACCAACCTCTGTCTGCCCCTTCTTTTGAAGAGCCACTTTCCTCTTCCTTGGTCTCTGTGTTGCCCTTGTAAAATTCAGCAGGGAAGAGGATGGAGGCAGAACTAGGATTAGTTGCCTCTGTCTGTTGTGGGTTCTGGCTGCTCCCAATCAGGCTTTGGCTCCGCCTCCCTTGGCCTCCCTGCATTCTGCCCTGCCAGTACTAATGGGCACCAACCACCATTGTCAGAGGGCCCATGCGGACATGTGGGTGTGGCCAGAACTAAAAGGGTGTGGCTCCCCCACCTCCAGCAGGCTGCTTGGAGAGGAACAGATTGCATGAAGGAGGCTTCTGAAATTAGCACAAGGACCAGAGGTTGATTCTCCCACCCTCAACCAACTCTAATGCAAAAGATTATCCTCCAACTGCTTTCACACATTTGCTGCTGTCCAGTCCAAAACTCTGGTCATCCCAAATGCACAGGCAACCCAAGAGTTCTATCATTCTGGGTAAGCACAGCCAATGACTGTTGCCATGACAGTTAGTCATATACTTCCACATCTAGGGCAACCTACCTCCCAGTTACTAGAGACAGACTTTTAAAGTAGACCAGGCATGTCCAAAGTCTGTTTTGGGGGCCTAATTCGGCCCCTGTTGCAGTGTATGTCCTGGGGTAAAATCCTTAAAAAAGCTCAACAACTTTGGTCAGCCCTCAAGCATGTTCACTTCATCAAATCTGGCCCTCTTTGAAAAAAGTTTGGGCACCCCTGAAGTAGACTGTGATCCAATACAGACAAACAACTCTTCAGCTCCTGAAGACATACCCATTTCGGCAAGCGTTCCCCTGAAGTGAACTTGGGATTTTATAGTTTTGACTGCTTTCAACTGTTATGCTCTTTTAAACTGTTTTATTGTGTATTTTAGTTAAGGGTGCTTTAAAATTATTGTGTACTTTAATTGTGGATTGATTTTGTAGTTGTAAATCACTTAGGAGCTATTTTATCATAAAAGTGGTACATAAATTAAACAACAATAATAACCCCCTTGTAACAACGTAACTTGAATATTATGCTCCCCTATATCCTATCTGACAGTGCAATGAATTTTGGGGCACATGTCTTTTCAATCACAGTGCAGTTGCTTTAGAGCTAAGCCAAATATGTAGAACATAGCAAGTTGACATCTACCAGACCAAGACCATTGGTCCCTCTAGTGCAGCAAAGTCTACACTAGGGATGGGGAACATGTGGCTCACCAGACGCTGCTGAACTCCCAGCTCCCAACATCCCCATCCATTACTCACACTCTCTGGGGCTGAAATGACCTGAAGTCCTACAACAGATGGAGGACCACTTGAGAATTTTTCCTAGGCCTGCCTGGAGATGCTGCAGACTGAATGTTGGCTTCATCCCCAGTATCTCCAGGTATGGCTAGAAGAACACCTGTCTGGAGAGCTGCTGCCAGTGAGTATAGATCAGGGGTGGGAAACTTCAGGTCGGGGAGCCAAATGCAGCCCTTCAACCTTCTCTTCTGTCTGGCCCTCAGGACTCCTCAGTCCACACCCACTTTCAAGCCACTCACCTTACATAGCTCAGTCAGTAGAGCATGGGACTTAATCTCAGGGTCAAGAGTTCAAGCCTCATGTTGGGCAAAAGATTCTTGCATTGCAGGGAGTTAGATTAGATGACCCTTCCATCTCTACGATTCTTTGATTCTGTTATTCACACCCTATGTGAATGTTTTTGCCTGGCTGCAACTCTGATAGTGCTTCTTGCTTCATTGGATGGAGGCTGTGTGAATGTGTGTCAAGTTAGTCATGTGTACAAAATTTGCATTCATTGCTCCACCCACTTTTGCCACCAGCCTCGCCCAAGAGTGACACACTTCCCAGGGGGGAATGTGGCCCTTTGGCTGAAAAAAGTACGAACCTAGAAGGACCAGTGGCCTGACTCAGTGTGAGGCAGCTTGCCTTCTTCCGGTGCTCTCGCTACATTGCTGAGACCTTCTGCAGGCAAAGCATGTGCTCTCCCACTCAGCTGCAGCCCCTCCCTCGCAGGGACTGTCCTTCTGAAACCTGATAAAAATACTCTCTCCGCAAAGTGACCCAGAGGAAGGCGCACATGCGAGCGAGCGCACACACAGAGGAAAGAGAAATGTTCATTTCTGCGCAGGAGTAGTCATAGTAACCCTTTCCCCATAAACCCTATCACCTCCCCCCAGCTCAACCTCTGGCTGAGAAAAGCAGGACTTCCGCCGGAAGGAGGTGCCAATTCCCGGATCTGTGAGTGCTGGAGGAGAGGCGGAAACTGTTGGTCACATTCTGGGAGAAACCCACAGTTTTGGGAAACAGACAGGCATTTTTTCCTTCATTTTTTTCTTTTAAAAGAAGAGGAACAATGCAGGAGAGAAACCAAGGACACAAGTGGGGTGGGCCATTCCAAGAGAGAAGGAAACAAGCTGTTTCCCTCAGCGGCTCTCTCAGCATAACTCTGAGCCTCCGGAATGTGTGCTGAGGCCTGGTCACCATGCGCATAGTTAGAAGGGGGAAGCCTGGCAGTAGGGCAGTGCTGGGGAACCCTGGGCCTGTGGGTCAAATGCACCTTCCAGGTCTATCTAACCCTCAGGACTCTCCCCAGGCCACTTCACCCACCCACCCGTCCGCCCTGCCTCATCCCTCACCAATCCTGCTCCACACCTTCCTTGAGTGCTTTTACCTGCCTAGATAATGCCTCTTGCTTGCCCAGATGGGCAACAGAGAGGGGTGCATGAATGTGTGTAAAAAGTCAGGCTATGGTACCAGGGCTGTCTTAAGCATATGCGGCGCCGGGGTGCAAAGATCTGCCCGGCGGCCCCCCAGGTTGCCCGGTCCCAGGCGCGCAGGAGGGCGGAGCCAGCCAGCCACCTCAGTGTCTCACTGGCTCGGCCGCCCCCGAACTCTCCAACCGACGGGCAGGCTCTTTCCAGAACTCAACTCTCGGGCCCTGGACTCTCGGCCTGGTGCCCCTGAGAGCCTGGCGCCCGGATGCCCTGCACCCCTGGCACCTATGGGTAAGACGGCCCTGTATGGTACATAGTTAACAACCACATTCAGTCTTCCGCCCACGTTTGCCTCTGGCCCCGTCCACCGCTGCTGACATCTTGCGGCCTCCAGGAGGTTGCCTAGCACGAAATGCGGTCCTCAGAATGAAAAAGTGGTTCCCCTGTCCCTGAGTCCCTGTCCCTTTTAAAGCTTTATTTAACCTGAGTCAAAGACCCAGTTTGGCACCCCCCTCATGTGAATTTGCGTACACACACAAACACATACAGAAGCTGGGAGGCTCCATAGCGCCCCTCTGGAGGTTTCACGCAGGGCAAAAAACCTGGCTAGCCCACCCCACCCCCGTACCTACAGCTCTGCTTTAGGGCAGAAGTGCAGAGCCCCACTCCGCAGGAGGGCACCCAGAAAGACAGCTGGCTTGCTACATTTTGTAATGTAGCAAGAGAGGCATGCCTTGCAAAAGACCACCAAGTCCGGAACCCAAGAGGACCGAAGTTCACTGGTGGGGAATCAGGTTTCCTGCGAGGATGCCGTGACTGCGACTCCTGCGTGGCACAACTTCTCTTAAGGCGACATTGCCCACGCTTTCTTCACAACATGAGCGAAGAGGGGGCGGGGCTTGGGAAGAATCTTATCAATGGCCAGAGAGCTGGAGAGGGGTGGGGGAGAAAAGATGGCTTAATTTTACACCTCTCTCAACATCCGATCTGGCAGATAAGCGGACACGGGGGAGGGAAGAGCCGGAGAGGAAAGGGAATGAAGAAAGCATGATCTAAACGATGCAGCTCCGGCCGGGGCAAGAAACGCGAGACTGGAGCGGGCAAGGAGAAAGGCAGGCAGGTGGTCCACAGGTGTCTGGTCCAGCGTCAGAAGGGATTCTCGTAGGTCGCCGGCCTTACAACGGTGGGGGGAGGCGGAGGCGGAGGCGGACACTCCTACGCTACGCACGCACATATACACAAACCGCTTCTCCCCCTGCAGGGCTGGAGCAGCCGGCAACTCACCCCCTTGGCTGTTTGCTGCCGAGCCTTTTGTTGCTTGCTGTGTGGAGCGCCTAGCAAGGGAAGGATTTATGGCCCAGGCGTCCCCAGGGAGGAGAAGGCGGCCGGGGGCGAGGGGGCGTCAGTAGAACGAGAAAACGTTCCCCACCCTCTCTCCCCAGTTCCCAGTATAAGCAGCCGATTCTGGTCCTGATCTTGGGGCGGGTATCACAAAAGGAGCTTATTGATGCCTCACTCCAGCTGTTGAAATTGGAGGCGGGGGAGAGAGAGGAGAGGACAGTGGTTGCTTCTTTTTGCCTGCACATCCTTGCACGAAACGGGGATGGGTGGGAGGAGGAAACACAGCCGGGGGGGGGGCGGAGAGACAAAGGTACATCAACCTGTGCCCATCAAACACACCTCCTTCTCTCTCTCTCCGGCCCTCTCTTTTCCTTCTCCTCCCCACCTTCGGCTTGCGCAGTGTGGTTTACCAGGGAGATTGCGAGGGCTCCGGAGAACGTTACAGCTCCCCATCCATCTTCTCCTCCTCCTCCCACTGACACCACCACACTGCAGTTCCGGGAACGGTGCTGGACCCCGAGAACACCCCCTTCCTCCCCGCCCAATACTATGGGGGAAGTCACTCCCCTGAGCACCCACACATGCCACCCTCCTCCCCAAACGCTTTCGTACATTTGCCGCCCGCACTAGCCACTCTTCGCCCCCCGATCATTTATTTAGGGACGCGTTTCCTCGCCCCCCAGTCTCCAGCTTCCGCGGCCTGGGCTGCTCTTCTTCTCTTCCTCCTCCTCCTCGTTCCCTCGATGCAGCAACAAGCCACGGAGATGGCGAAGCTACTACAGGAAGGCGACCAGACCCCCTCTTCTCTGTGTCTTTCATATATATATATATATATATATACCCACACACACACACCCCTATACACACACACACACACACACACACACACAGACATATATACAGGAGGGAGGGGGATCCTTTCTCGGCGCAGAGATCCTAAGCCCCTGACCCCCAACTCCGAGCGCGCATCCACAAAGCCGCGCACCCGCCGCGCCACTCAGCTTCGAACAGCACCGGAGATCGAGGGCTCGCCTTACCTGGAACTGCTTCGCCCCCTCGTCCAGCTTGCTCGCCCGCTACGGGTCCCTCTTTGCCCCACTGGCAGGACCAGCGCTGGGGTCCCTTCGCTTTTCCTCCCGGCGCTTCCTCTGCTGGGGTTGCTCCTTCCCTTCCCTAAAAGCGCAGGGAAAGTGGGCTTGGACCAGCCAGAGTACTTCCTGAGCGCGCAGGCATGTGAGTGCGTGCGTGTGTATCTGTATATTCCCCGGACTGACCCTTCAGCTGGTGTAATGCCACGAACAGAAAAGCACCTCCTCTGTTTCCCCACCTTCCTTCTCTCTGCCCTCCCCTTTCTCGCCGAGCAGAAGCTCATTGTAGGAAAGCGGGGGGAGCAGTTCTCTAGCTCGAGCGCCTCTGCTCCAGCGCCACCGCCCCCAATCAGCTGTCAGGGCGGGACCCCCGACTCGCCAGGTCCCACCCATTCATTGATTGCCGGCTTGCTGCTTTCTGGAGGAGGGAAGGAACGGCCAATCAAGGGCTTCTCTCATGGGTGGTTTTTTGTTTTTTTTTTAAGGCATGTCATGTTGGTTCAGAAGAAGAAACGTTCCTCCTTTAAAATTATTCTTAGTCTTATTCACTGCCTAACGGTGGGCGAGTGCAGATCCCCATCCTTAGAAGGGCACTTCCGGAATAACTACCTGTGTTCCTACTCTGGAAAAGCCCTAGAACATTTTTTTTTCTGGAGAGGCTTGGTCAATGTGAGTTAGGCAATAACTAAGGCACATTGACACCCTATATTTGATGCACATGATTTCCCCTAAAGAATCCTAGGACCTGTAGAGAGCTACAATTCCCAGCACCCTGAACAAACTACAGTTCCCAGGATTTTTTGGATCGCAGGAACCCTTGTGCTTTAAATGTATGTTGGGGGTGTGGTCTGAGCCCTCTGCTTCTCATAGGCCCTCATCACAGAATCTATTATAGTTTCTTTTGCTGTATAAGGGGACATTCACACCTCATCTTTAAAGAGCTATGCCAGCACTTTACACAGTCCTGCCTTTCCCCAAAGAATACTGGGAGCTGTAGTTTGTTAAAGGTGCTGAGAGTCGTTTAGGAGTTCTGTTTCCACACATGGAGTTCCAGTTCCCAAAGTGGTTTAAACAATCCCTCCTCACAGGGAATTCTGGTAACTGGAGCTCTGTGAGAGGAATAAAGGTCTCCTAACAGCTCTTAGCACCCTTAACAAATGACAATTCCCAGGGTTCTTGGAGATGATGGGAGTTGTAGTCCACAAACAGCTGGAGACCCAAATTCGGGAAACCCTGTTATAAATCATGCATTTAAAGCACATTTGAAACACATTCTCTCCCTCCAAGAATTCTGGGCACTGTAGTTTGTTAAGGGTTGCCAGCAATTTTTAACTCTGAGGGGTAAATTAAATCGCCCAGAATTCTTGGATGGAAATAATGTATGTCAAATGTGTTTTAAGGTGAGAACAAAAAACCTGCAGTAGGGATAGGGTAGTTGGTAGAGCCCAAGAATCTCAGGGTTGTGGGTTCAAGCCCCACTCTGGGCAAAAGATTCCTGCATTGCAAGAGATTGGACTAGATGACCCTCATGGTCCCTTCCAACGACAATTCTATGATTCTATGAACCTGTGGCTCACCAGATGCTGCTGGACTTCAACTCCCATCAGCCCACCCAGCATGGCCAATGGTCAGGCATGATGGGAGCTATAGTCCAGCAACATCTGGAGGGCTGCAGGCTCCCCATCCCCACATCGGAGGTATTGACCAAATGTTCTTTCGTGGTATTAACATATAGTTCCAAACCTCACCTATGGTCCGTGCTTTTTTTTCTGGAGGTATGCATACCCCTAAACATTTTTTTAGGAGGGGAAAGCACTGCCTATGGTGCATAGTAACTTCTCTCAGTAATCCTCAGAGCAAGAAATGCCAGGGGAGGGGCTGTTCATTCTGCACATCCATTCAAGTACAAAATCTAGTATTGAACAAGAAGTGTAGCATTCTTCAACTCTCTATGTCCAGACCTCCCCCTTTTAAAATAGGAAGTTTCTAGTGCTCATGCTCATGCTCATGGCAGCTTCCCATATTTTCAGTTCAGTGCATTAGACCACCATCAAAAGAGCAAAGAACCCACACAAGTGACGCCGACACAAAACCTCACACATACACTAAGTAGAAGAATAGAAGCATTGCCACCTGACCCAGCCCTCCCTCCCCCTCTTTCCTTCCTAACCTAACACCGTATGTAACACTAATGTCTCACAACAAATGAAACTGACCTCTAGAAAATGCAACTTGAGAAAAGAGACAATGTATGTATTTTTGTAAACTAAGAAATCAGAGAGAGAGAGAGAGAGCGCAAAGAACCCTGTACCCAGTCCAAGCGTACTCCACAACATCACGATTCCTCCAGGGTAATTGTGCAAGGAATCAATACAGAGTGAGCCTGGGTGACATAAGATTTGCAGGTCATAGAGTGCATAGACAACTTCAGTTAAATGATCTTGCCTGTAGTCTAAGAGAAAAGCTTGCAACTGTGTGCAAAATTTCTGGTGAAAGCTTAGCAGGCAGGAGAGAGGATGACAGTGGGCAGACTTCCAGTAGACTTGGGTGGAGCTTAAATGCCCTGCCTAGCTCACAAATGCAAGGTTCTCCACCATTACTTCCCTTTACTACTTCCTTTATAAATTCTATACCTTCTTTGTTGGCTTTACAAATCCAAACTCTTCAAAGGTGTGCATTTTAGAAGCACAATGCCCTTGTCAAAGCATGTCAAATATGTGGAAATTGACACATTTTCCATAAGTTATTATTATGCAGAATTCATAAAATTGGAGAATGGGAAGGGACCTTGGGTGGTCATATAGTCAAGTGGGGCTAGGTGCCCATTGGGATTTGCTAAGGCGGAAGCCTGGGAGACCTACAGGAGGTGGAGCCAGAGCCAATGACGGGCAGAAAAGCAAGAAGACAATCAGAGTGGTTTAACAATCCATCCCTCTTCTGGGCTTGGTAGTTCTGTGAGGGGAATAGGGGTCTCCTAACAACTCTCAGCACCCTTAACAAACTGCAGCTCCAGTGAGTGTTTAAAGTGGCATGATACTGCTTTAAAAGTAGAGTGCAAATGAGGTCCAAGTTGGCTGCCTTTACTGCCTCTTATGGGAACGAACGCCATAGTTTATCATTGCACTATGTAAAGGAACAGAGGAAGCAGCCATGTACCAGATCAGACCATTGCTCCATCTTACTCAATATTGGGCTCATTCACACTTACCTTTAAAGTGCCGTGTCAGAGCACTTTCCCTGCAAAAACCTACTCTTTAGTGCTGAATTGGAACAAATGGCAATTTGGGTTTTCTGTGGATGGCCATTTGCTCTGATTCGAGGGTAAAGAGCAGGTTTTCACCGGAAAAGCGCTGAGGCAAAAAAGAAAAAAAAGCACTCAGACACAGTGCTTTATAGCACAGAACTTTGCACAAGAGGAAAGGTCCCAGCTAAAGGGGGGCATAGGCAAAAGAGAGTGGTCCCTGCCCCAAGGGATTTACAATCCAAAGGCTGACTGGAAGTTAAATAACAAAATGAGGGAAGAAAAGGAAGGTGAAGGATTGATGTCAAATCTCTCTTTTTTTTAAACTGTCATGCAGAGGGGCCACAATGAGCCAAAGATTGGGAGGGGGGCTCAGCAAGGCAGTGTGTGTGTGACGTCATGCATGCAACACACAGTGTGCACCTGTGATGTCATGTGTGTGATGTGTGATGCATGTGCAACACTGGGAGGAGGTACATTGTCAGGAGGAGGCCTTGCCCAGCACCCTGCACCTTCAATGGCCGTGGCTCCTCCCCCTGTGCTTGGCTTGGCTGTTCAGCCTCCTCCACCCCCCTCAATATTTGGGGAGAGGCTGAGCCCCCTGCTAAGGAATACTGAGAGGACTGACGACAACTCTGCCCCCTAGAGTTGGCGCCTCCTGCTGCCACATGAAGGGCAGTGGGGTGGAGCATCTGCCTTGTTGCAAGAAGGGCTTTTACACTTGCCAGGACCGGTCTTGGAAGGATCCTTTAAAAAAGTCTCATATGACCAGAGAATTTGTGCCTGTCCCTTGGGGGATATAGGAAGCCCCGAACACATATTTTTTAGATGTCCTTTTTACAATGAGGCACGTAGAGAAACCGTTGACTCCCTGCTGGTGAGGCTTGCTGACCTCCGGTAAAGCAAAAATTCGATCTTCTCCTGTTAGGCAAAGATCACAAGACAACCCAGATGGTCGCCAGATTCTGTGCACTGATCTGTAGGCGCAGACCACCCCCCGTTTCAATCTAGTTTGTTAAGAAAATTCCCAAACTCGGATCCACGGGCGTCTCTGGGTCATTCCTCTGTGGTAGTCTATCTTAAAGTTTTTATGTGTTTATATGCCTACCACATTTTCAAACTTAAAACCCATTGTTGTATATTGTTTTAAATGTTTGTTTTGCTTTTGGGATTGTAGTTCCATTTGTGTTTTGCAAGCTGGTCTCTGACCATAATAAACTTCATTTTCATCTGCCTTGCCCACCGAAGGTCCCAGGTTCAATCCCCAGCATCTCCAGGTGGGGCTGAGAATGCCCCCCATCTGAAACCCTGGAAAGGTGCTGCCAGTTAGGGTAGGCAATACTGAACTAGATTGCCCAGTGCTCTGACTCAATTTAAGGCAGGCTTCCTCTGTTCCTATATGCGAGGCTCTTAACAGCTGGGAGTTTGTTCATTTCAACCCACGCAGAATGTGGGACATGTAGAGGGATTCTCATCCCTGGGGAAAGATGCCAAATGGGGAGGAACTCTGAGCCATGGGCGTAGCCAGGATTTGGGGGGGGCAGCATTTTGTTAGGGGGAGACAGAACCTCAGTTAATTATGTATTTTTATTGATTTAGGGGGGCAGCTGCCCCTCCCTGCCCCCCACAGCTACGCCCATGCTCTGAGCTGGTGCACAGCTCCAATTTAATCCTAAATGGTGATCAGAGTCCTGTGGTTGCCCGCCCACCTCTCTCCCTCAAGACTGGCTGCGAACACAAAAATAAACTGTTACTGATTTAGGCAGGCAAAGCAGAGCGGAGCAGCTTCGCAAAGGGAAATGAGTGGAAAGAGAGGATTCGAGAGGTGGAGGTGAGAAGCTGAAATGCCACTGCTCCCCTTGTCATCTGTCAGTGTGAGAGGCAAGGAAAGGCGTTCCCTCCCTGCCCCCCCGCCCCCCATTATTTAAAACAACAACAAACCCAATAGGTAGCTTGACTATAATCCTATGCGGTTGTTTTTCAAATGGAGAACTGCCACAAAGGTAAGAGAAGAATACAAATGGGACCTGCAACAAAGTGTTGCAGTGTAGCAAGCCAACTGTGCCCTCTCCAGGGACACTCCATTCTACCCCATCCCTGCCCCACAACACCTCCCCACTTTCCTATTTCCTCTCCCAACAGTCAGCTAGTATTCCACGACATGCTCACTCCTCATTGGACTGTTTCAGGGACCCTGTCACTGCCATGCCCCCCCACGCCCGCGCAATAAAAAATGCTATAGGAACAAAGGAAACTTCCTTGTCCTGAGTCAGATCATTAGCCTATCTAGGGGAGCGTTGTCTACTCTGACTGACAACAGCTCTGCGGGTTTTCAGATATGGGACAATCCCAGTCCTACGTGAAGATGCTGGGGGATTAGGAAATGACGGGCAGAATCCGTGACCAGGGAGAAGAGTCGATGGAGGAAGACTGGAAGAAATTCAAAGACTATCTTCAGAAACATTGTAAAATTAAGGAATGTTAGAGTGATGTTGGATTGAAAATAAGTGGTTTCCAGCTGTACAGGTTAAAGTTAAGGATAGATTAAGATTTAAGATCAAGATTAAAGATGTTTAAAGAAATGGAAATTTGATAATAAAAGGGAAAATTTAAAGGTATATGACATTAAGAACAAGGATTATGTTTAAAAAAAAGTTGAAGTTATATATTTTAATATTTTATTAAATTAAAGATTGGGTTTAAAAAAGTGGAAAAGAAACTGCTGGACAAATAATGTAGATTGGAATACAAAAGAGGAGGTATGAGGAAGTCCAGAAAATAATTAATTTAAAATTGGGAATGGAAAAGAGAGTTTGTTTTAAATTGTTATGTTTTGTGTTTTTATTGTTAAATTTTGTATTGTTTTTCTGTGTGTGTTGTTTTTTCTTTTTTCTTTGTTTAAAACTTTAATAAAAATTATTTTTAAAAAAAAAAAAGAAGATGCTGGGGGATTGAACCGGGGACCTCCTGCAGCTTCTCACCTACACATGGGTGCATAGGAAGGTGCCTTAAAGGTAAAGGTAAAGGGACCCCTGACCGCTAGGTCCAGTCGTGACCAACTCTGGGGTTGCGGCGCTCATCTCGCTTTATTGCCCAAGGGAGCCGGCGTACAGCTTCCGGGTCATGTGGCCAGCATGACTAAGCCGCTTCTGGCAAACCAGAGCAGCGCACAGAAATGCCATTTACCTTCCCGCCGGAGCGGTATCTATTTATCTACTTGCACTTTGATGTGCTTTCGAACTGCTA